ATAATGGGAGTTCTCTCAATTCTATCCATGTATTGTCTTGCCTTGCTCTATACCCCTCCACCCACCCCCTGCTAACTCCTTGGCCTGAATTTCATGTCTGCCTCTTGGTGACCTGGGTGAACCTGTTTAATGATGTTCTATTTCTGTCCGCATGCTGATATTTTGGGAGACTTTGCCCAGTTAGGGAGAAGCACTGAACCAGAGACAAACAGATAGGGGTTATTTCCCGTCTGGGGTGCCCTAGAACAGGCAGCACGTGTGTGGGCAACTGCTCTGTTTTCAAGGCTACTTGTCCACCAACCTATCCTGCCCCCGTCTTCGCTAAAGTCGACTTTCAGGCACTATAAAAGGCTGTTACATGGAGTAAAAAGGCATGTGTTGGGCACTCCAGGGACAGGCTTTCCCTTTAATAGTCTCTTGATGAAGCCTGGCACCCCGTGTGTAAAACTCCCCTCACTTTTTAGGATAGTGATAATGGTTCAATTTAGTCTAAACACAATGATCAAAGCTACTTTGCCCTTCATGTGTAATTACAAAATGCTAATAAAATCTTTGTATGTCCACAATTAAATCAAGCACTAATAAGGGATTGATACATCATGAATACCTCCCTGATAAAATTGGACATGTTCGGGGGGATGTTCAAATCCTGCTGCCAGTAATTGTTTAGTCTTTTGTCCATTTCTTTTGCCATCAGAGAGCTGGAAGCACAGGCACCGCATGCTAATGATGCATGTTTGAGCTAAACTCCAGGACCGTCTGCACTAGCCCCACTACGCCGACAGGCTTTATTTTCTCTTCTGCTTTGTTTGCTTATGGTTTTGTACACCCAGAGCTCCCCAGCCCCCCCCTTCACTCTTTGAGTTCGGGCTCAAGTCCCCACTGGGAACATTTCTCTTATTTTCCTCGCCTCTTTCTGGCTCCGGGTGGGGTGAATGAAGGTCTGAAGAATTGCAGAGAAAACTTTCATATTTCAGTATTTATGCACAGAGGAGAAGCTAAATACTCTGAGGGGGGAGAGGAAAAGCAGAGAGGGTGTACAGTGGATGAGGTATTAGAGGGACAAATGGATAAGTGCAAGGACATGTCCTCCTGTTGCAAGGAAAGCTTTCTGATGTTTCTGAATGTCAGCTGTACAATATTTCCACTGCAAAAACACAAACTTCATCCGAGCTCAAACACGCAAATCACCAGTGCGTTCTCACTCCAAAGAGGTCAAATACAGTAGCTTGGTTTTCTGCCCAGCACATCCAAGTATGACGCCATAGGTACTCTTTTAGTGCAACAGATACAGGACTCTCTTTCCGAGGAGCGAAGTTCGTTTCTGCAGAAAATGAATAATACATTCAGACTTCTTTTACAGAGCTGATTAGTTTGAAGTTACATAACAAAAATGTGGATTGTGTCAAATAAAGCCTCACTCACTTGAGGAGGGAATAAAAGTGCTCTTTGTACTTGTTTGGATTCTAACTCATGTTCTTTTCTTAAATCTGAGTACCTCTCTGAAGCCTAAACTTTACCCAGTCAGGACTCTGCAATACCTCAAACTTTATCGGTTCCTTTATTTTAAAATGTACTTTAATGTTTCAAATAAACTACTCTTCTTTCTTTTTTTAAAACTAGCTGACAATTGCATATTCATGAAGGCTGTCAGTGTAAATCAACCTCAATATGATAAAGATGCAAAACTGACACTTCCTTTCTTCTTCCTGCTGCAGCCATGATAAAAAAATAGGGACAATAAGGAAATTGAAACAAAACCGGTGGTTCAGCCAACAAGTAAAACCTTATCTGCACTTTGTGTCAAACTTTGCAAAAAAAACTCAAACTGAGTAAGTGTTTTTGTCTCAGTTCCAGTAAGAAATGGCTTGTCTGACTTTAAATAAGCCACAAATACTCCAAATGTCCAGCTAAATGACTTATTTCACGACTTTATGAGGCAAATAAATGACTTGGATTGCTTGTGTTGAATGAAAATAATTTGCTAATGGAGTAAGCAAAATTTCTTGAAATATGATGGCAGTCTTAATTGAAGAAACATAACTGGGACATTAGTTTACCCTCTTGGCATATTGTTAGCTTATTACACACAACTCAGGTCGTATTTTTGTCTTGTAAAATCTTAAAATGAGGCGTTTATCCAAACTTCTAAAGTAAATTTAAAGTAGATTTGTTATGAGAACTGATATGAAAGTGCTCCTTAGTTTTGAGTTTTCTAGTCATTTAAAATATCGCCAAAGCTACAAATTCAAACAACTATGAGCCAAAATCTCATTACACAAATCAGTGAAAATTATGAATGACTTTGGTATGAGGGATGTTCTCCAGTTGCATGCAGAGTCAGAGCTTGTCAACAGGCAATAGCGGCCTAGGGCTCCAAGCAACTGTCCCATGACCTACGTCCATCTTAACTCAAGTGTGTCAATCAAAGCAACGTCAAAATCAGCCGTGAAGTGGAGCGACTCATCAGGGAGCGAGAAAAGAAAGAGAAGTAAAGAGAAAGAAATAAGGACAAAGCACGACAGCGGTAAATGGAGCGGATAGCGATGTGTGGCGAACACTTTAACTAGCATTAGGTGTAAGGCTGGCTGTTAATTGTTTGGTAGTTAGTTAGCCGTGTTAGGGGAGTGGGAGAAGTTAGCCTGGGGTTCCCACTTCGTTGACTCGCTGTAACTAGAACTAGAACACCAGTAAGGACGGGATTTGGACAGAAAAAACAGCTTACCCAGACAACAGCTTCTACTGTTGATAAAACACTGTTAATGACAGTCGTGTCTTAACTAGCCTAACTCACTCTAATTTCGACAGTGTGCTTTCTGCATGAAAGACCATCAACTCTGGAGCATATAACAATTTTTTAAAACTTATTTAGTATCTGTTTCTGCCCTGTTTTGGGTTTCAGATCAGTTATATATTTAACACTTGTCAGAGGGGCCCCTTGAGAATTTCTCCTCAAGGCTCCAGCACACTCTACAATTGGCTCTGGTTGCGTTGCATGTTGTGAGCGGTCACTCACACATATAAGACTTGAATGATAAATGTACAAGTCAAACTAAAACCCACATTTAAGTTCAGCAGCAGCTCTAATATTTATTATTGCAATTCCACTGCAGAGCTCAGCATGTGTCAAAGCGGCACCAAAGGAGTACCAGGATTACAGCGTTTTGAAGCCCAGGGTTGAGACCCAGCTGCAGCATTTGATGGGCTGGGGTGAGAGCGCGTTGGAATAAACCAAGTACGGTCGCCAGATTTACATCCAGCAAACACTGAAAATACAAAAGCTTACTCAAACTTGAATTTCTCTAACTATATGTACTATGCATGCTTATAAAACAATGGTAAACAGACACCGTCACACATTTTGGGCGAGTTATCTGAATGGAGTTTATTGTTTACATCATTTACAGTGTATTGATTTTAACACGCTACTGCAAAACAATAGTGCATCAATAGATATACACAAACAAACTTCCCTACAAAGACACACCACACTCATGCTTTAATAGTGATAATAAAGTACTCCTGGTTTGATGCTCCCATTCATTCCAGTTCACCCAAGGCCGTCTGTGTCGGTTCAGTAGGTTCTAATCCATCACTTGATAAATAGATTTGAAAAATTAATTTCAAGCCAGGCGTTGAGTTGCAGCTTTTCTTTCTGTGCCATACATCTGTGTCTTAACCGCAGGCAGTGCTTGGGCACACCAAGACAGCGCAGTCATGAACCGAGAGTCAGCACTTCTGAGCAGAGATAGGAAGACGAGGAGGAGGAGGAGGAGGAGGCGAGGGAAAAATAAATAAAAAAATAAGCTAATGCTCCCCATCTGCCGCTGAAGATTTCCAATTCAAGTTTCTATTTTTGTTAGTGTGTCATAAGTGTGCAAGCTGACTGCAAAATGGTAAGAATTAATAACTTCGTCACACAATAATGCATAAAGAAGGACTGGGGGCGTTGCCAGCGAGTTAGCTACCCTGCATGTACCCAGATGGCCTGTGTGTGTGAGTGTGTGATGTGTGTGTGTGTGTGTGTGTGAGAGAGAGAGAGAGAGAGAGTGTGTAACTATAGCAGCACCTACTCCTCTACCTCCTTTGAACCAACGTCACCGTTACTGATGTTCAGGCCAACCCGGTCCCCATTGATTGTTATTGTTCCATGCTGTTTCACATTAGCAGGAAGTCTTTAACCTCTGACCGGCATTGTCCTGACTCTGTTTTTCTGCCATTGCTCATGTCAGAGGGGACACAGAAAGGGAAGGCACGATCATTAACCTCTGTCAGGGAAACACACTTTTTCGTTTGTCTGACAAAGCCCGTTTGCGCCCCTAATTGGATTTAATGTGAGCGCTCAACAAAGGAAGGTTCTTATTTAAATGGCTCGCATTCTGCTTTAGTTATTGGCCGTAGAGTGCAGCGAAAGTGAAAGCAGAGAGAAACTGACGGAAAGCAATATCAGATTTTACTCTTTCTTTCCTTGTAGGCTCAAATCAAATTGCTGCCTCTTAGATGCTCTCCACATAAACCAGGGGATCCCTGCTGTCTCCTTCTCATTCATTTCCTGCAGAGAGCATCAATTTCTGTAGGGTGTAAATATGCGCTGCATTGTTTCTTTGGTAGTTGGTTTGTTGTTGATTTTTATTTTTTTTTTCTTACTTGGATTTGGGTTATTTTTACTGTATTCAGACCTAAAGCATTTTTGTGGAGACCTGGTCCAAGCGCAGAAATATGGCTCTTCTTTGAGTATATTATTGTCAGAAAATGTTTTGTAAAAATTTTGATGATGATATCAGAAATAAACATCTAAAGATGGGAGTTGTGACGTCTGGTGTCCGTGGAGATTCTGTATTTTGACTTGCATTAAAGGGCAGTTTTAACAGCTTTACATTTATCCATTAAGATGTACAAGGGTCATCATGAATTTAACATGGAGACTATAAACAATATAAACTTTATACACAGTGTATGAAAAAAAAAATCTGTTTCATTGTCATTGCCTTCTTCTATTTATCTGAAACGGCCCGGCTCTGTCCCCCTTTTCTCACCTCATAGCTCCACAGCGAGTGCATGTGCTCCATTTCACGACGAGTGTCTCACACTCTGGAGCTGATCCATGTCCACTCTAGTCAGTGCTTCTGTTTCAGGAGGAAGAACTGCGGCACGTCTCACCTCCACCTCAGAAGTGTCTCCTGCTCCTGTTGTCAACAGATATGAAGCACACACGGCATGTGTCAAGATGAACAAATCAAATCCACCCAGAAAGAAAGTTAAACACAGGGAAGGCCGAGACGAAAAAACACCAGGTACAAACTCTAAACTATACAAACTGACATACTGTATGTTGGACAGGTTGACAACCAGAAAAGAGTAATTTGTGATCCAGTCCAACTACATTATGAGTCTGTAGACTGCAGTATAAGGTACAACATAATTATTAACATATAACACATTTAAACTTAGGATATGGCTCGACCTCCGTATGTTTTAAAGCCGTTCAAGTTAAATCTTTCTTCATTTATGTTTGTCAGTCTGCAGACGTCTGTGTCTCTTTGGCTTCTCTGGCTACAGGCCTAAGACACCCGGCTAAAACTCGAGTGAAAGGCCCCTAACTTCCCTCACCTTCTTCTCTTCTCCTTCATTTTCCTGCTTTCTTCACTTCCTTCATCCTCTAACACATCTTATTCCTCTCTATCCGCTCCAAGAGCTGAAAGCTCCACAAGCACGAAGCAAAGAGATTAAATGACCACTTTTAACGGTCCTAAATATGGTGAAAATGTTCTCTTGGAAATACTGTGTTTTCAAGGCATTATCAGGCTGAGATTTAAAGTTAACATGAAGTAGGGGAGGCATTAAATTCAATGAAGTTTAAATATCTTGTTTTTGAAGTGTATTAAATTAAATATAGGATGGGAAAAGATTTTCAAATATTGGTATACTGTTTTTATTCACCTTATACACAACTTCATTGAATATGGGGTTTATATATTTTGGTTAAAAAAGTCTCAGAAACTAAATGTTTTGTGTTTTATAGATGACCTGAGTCCAGCCACAGCCATAGAAATTCAGATGTTTGAAATGACATGTGCACATTTCAAGTGAAACAGAAAACTATCATTTCACCTCCTTGTGGAGACCCTGGACATAAGCCAGTTTGTACTCTCCAAGCATTAAATTATCTAAGATCCATTCCTAGTCTTGCACACTATGACTTTGCGAAGTAGAACATGCTAATTGATTTATATACCACATTTCGTTTACCCAAGTGTACTTAATTAGCCTGGATGATATTAATCTCTATCATGTACCGAACCAGAGCTGTGGGTACATATGCTAGTGCAGGGATTATGATTAATAGTTTTCTGGGACAATGCTAACAAGTATGATTGCCAATAAGCTGATATCAACATTGCAGGGTTGGTATGTTGCTACAGTTCTTATTATGTCCCTGTTGGTGTAGTATTTGATAAAACTTACTACAACTTTCCCCATGAACAACTAGGACACAAACTTGTAAACTCATATTTTAAAAAGAGAAACATGTTCTTCTTCAGGTTCACCTCGTTATCCTGTATTCCATAATGAATCACTGGAGGAAACATATAATATATTACTCCCTGGTTACCGCAAGATACGATTTTAATTCACACAGTTAAACATCTAATCTTGTTCTATATGAGGAGGCATTTCAGCCTAAGACAGCCACAAAGAGGTGGTTTTAGCTGCTTCAACTGAACCTCCTACAGGTTAGTGTGCTTTAAGTATGCAATCAACGACACTACAGGAGATAACACCTGCTCGAAGTTGTGGGTAAGGTGGCACTTATGTAGACAATGTGCAATTTCGCTCGCAACGGACAGTTAGCACAAAAATAGCAAATCCACCATCTCCATCCACTTCAACAGCAGCAGAAGAGCCGGCGCTAGAGGAGGGAACAGCACAGAACTTGACATTTACTGGTCCAACACTCTGGTTTAGTTCCAAGAATTTGGTCCAGCTTGTCTAACTCGTGGAATTTTTCCCTCTCATCACTAAAACCTCCACTTCTGCTGGGCTGCTCTTGTCTGACATTTTACAAAGTGCTAATCTGTCCAAACAGGGATGAGGCATTTGACTTCCTCGCTGCTCAAAGTCAAAGCAAGATTGATTCTGTTGGTGGGTTAACTGGCTACTATTAGTTAGATAGCAGCTTGGAGCGGACTCCCCATGGTGCAATCAGTGTGCATGATATACGTTTCCCTAGGCAGCAAGGAAGGGAGGGTGTGCCTCATTGATGTAAAGACAGCCTTATGGTGATACAGTGTGCTTCTGCATTACTATAATGTGGTGTGAACACAAGGGAAAAATGTGTGAAAACACCCGTAATTTCCAGGGGGCCATTTCTCCAGGTTTACTGTAAATCACGCAGACAGCACAAACTTAATACATAAAAACAAATTTTAAAAAAGTAGAAAATTGACATGAGATTCCTCTAAACAAGGGACAAAAAACGGACATGGGTGAGAAAGCAGACACAAGCAGCCAAGCAAAATGATTATTGAGTGATCCTTCAATAGGAGCTGATGTTTCATGAAGCTGACCTTTATACTGACCTTTAATCATGAACCTCCAGATTACAACATGAGGATATTCATGGAGGAGACAGAATAGAGGATTCCGAGAAGGGACTGATCCAGACTTGAGGTGTCCTACCTGGGGATTTTTGGACCCATCAACATACATGAACAACATTTTTCAACCTCTCTATATTTTTACTTTAAAGAGAAACTGACCAAACTTTCTTTATCTTTGACAACAGTCAAAGTCGCAGGTTTAAAAACAGAGCTGGACTTTCATCGTGTCCAAATCTGTCTAAAATTATGGATCTGCCCAGCTGTCCTTTCAGTTTTTTGCTCTATATTAAGGGTTTCCATGGTATAGTGTTCATCATTGTTTTCTTTGCTGGCATTGCAACACGTCAACAAATGTGAAACCCCCGAATCTGCAAGGACTGACTGTAACTGACAAGTTTATGACATTCCCGAGCTCATTCAGGCATCCGAACAAATCAACATCAATGACTGTTATCTGGACTTTTTGCTACAGCAGGACTACAATCAAAGAGGCCGACGAGAGTGAGCGAAATCACAGTCAGCAGCAGCTTTGACAGCCTGTTGTTATCCTGACCAGGGTTTCCTAAAAAAACAACAACATGATCCACAAAGAACAAGAAATGCAGACCAGACTGTTAGTTCAGATCACATCACGTGGATCAGCCTTCAGAGCAACAGAAAAATTCCACACAAACACACAAGTGAAATGAAACAGTGCTTCAGGCTCATGAATGGTCTGTGTACCAAAGCCCCATTGAGCATCACCTTTGCTCTACGCTGTATGTATGCAGCGCATTGTGGGCTCTGCTGAGAAAGTGATCGGCTGTAGCCTTCCATATTTCCATGACCTGTACGTCTCCAGGACTCGGGGCCGAGCAGGTCGGATCGCAGCTGACCCTTCTCACTCTGCACATGGACTATTTGAGACACTCCCCTCGGGCAGGAGGCTACGGTCCATTCGGACCAGAACCTCCCGCCATAAGAACATCTTCTTCCTCTCTGCCGTTAAGACTCATGAACGCTTAATAACTCAGTCACTTTAACTCTGTCACTTTATCACTGGTCACTTTAGTTTAATGTACCTTGGTTTTTTAATTGCACTCCTCCCACTGCACTGCTGTTCTGGATTGTGTCGTTGTACATAGCCTGTCATACTTTTATACTTTATATATTTCCTGCATGCTCTTATTACTTTCTATTCTAGTATTTTATATATTATTCTCCGTTTAATGTTGCACCATCACGCAGTAAAAAATTCCTAGTCTGTGAATCCTGTTCATCGACAATGGCAATAAAACCCCTTCTGATTCTGATTCTGATTCTGATTCTGATGTATGTGTTATAAGTGTACATTTGGAATATATCAAACTGGAGCAAAACTCTTAATCGGCTTCTTTTTTTTTCTCCATTATTCAGTCGCTGGACTTCTTGAGTTCAGTTTTTGTGTTTTGGTATTTCTATTTTAAAACTGGTTGCCACCTGGATGTTAAAATGATCTACGCAGGAAAGCAGACAAGAGATGTGAGCGCTCACGCTGTGTCCACGGGACAGGAAGTAAAGCACAGTCAGATGAACACTGAAGAGCACTTCTGCTTTTTTTTGTGTGCAGATGGGCGCTCCACCTGGGTCACACGCTCATCAGTGTGGCTCTAAATACGACAAGAGTCGGGGGGCTAGTTCAGGTCATGCCATCAACATGAGTAAGTCACAGACAGAAATGAGTTACAGGCGTAGAAGTTTCGGCAAACTTTATGAGGAAGATGCAGCATCGTAAGTCAGGAAAGTGAGTATTTACCAAAGGCAAGTATTTATCCATCTATCCATCTATTAGGCTAATTAACCTTATTCATTCATCCATCCGTTTTTGATTTTTGACCCACAATCCAACATCCCTATTTTAGTCAGTATTTATGATACGCCAAAGTGTAGCTCTGTATCCTACACAGTCCACCAATTCCATGTCCTCCACCTCAGCTGTTGTTTCATCTCTGTAACGTCTCCTGTCTTTTCTTTTTTTTTGCAGATATTGCAGCATGATCAACAGCTGCTCAACATATTTCAGTAGCTCCTCAAATACATACGGCTCAGATTCAGTCGCCATGGTGTACACAAACAAGGAGGGAACATGGCAGGACCAGAGAGAAGACAACACAGACGTCTGTAAAACTCATGATGGTGCAGCAGTGAAGTTGATCTGAAGCATAAATGAGGCTTCAGGGTGTGTATTTCCAATGTAGTTATCAGTCACACAGACACAAATACTGACCAGATAGCACACATATGTGGTGCCGACGTCGGCCTCAGAACGGCACATCGGCCTCCAGTCTATAATAAGGTGACCAGACGTCCCCGATTTCTGGGTTAAGTAGGTAAGAAGCACGAGTAACCATGTTGCACACAGTCCTGAACAACAGTTTATTCATTTATTTATCTTTTTGGGGGGAGGGTTATTATGGGGGGCGTGCTACTAAGTAGTACCGAGATGTTGCCGGATTTCATCACAGAAATCTGGTCACCTTGGCCTATAACGTCTGACGAGCATCGGTCCAATAGCGGATTAAGTGCTTTAATGTCCCAGTACATCAAACGTCTCCGAAAGGTCATTTTTGCGTCAACTGGCAGACCCCACCTTCCAGTTTGGACAGTCACCCGATGGCAGTCGCCATTACATGCCGTTAAATGCAGAGGGAAATATGCCAACTCTCCCCCATTGTTTTCAGGTAAGCTGACGGAAATCGGCAGAAAACAACTTTTCTGTGATGGTTAATTAAGTTGCATATCTCTTCTCAGACGCAAACGGACCCAGTAGCTACAGGTAACCACTAAAGCACCACTTGTCCTGGTACAGTACAGCATCAACCTCTAGATAGAGGTCTACAACTTTGATTAATAATTAAAAAATCTTGTGTCGATCATTTTAGATCAATTGCTGACATCTTGGCAACATCGTGGTGATTAGCAAACGTTAATGTGCGTGTGCTATCTGGGTGTATTCTCATATTTTAGTCACAGTTAATGCTGATTTAAATGACATCTCCTCAAGTTATCATAAGACTCACGCTGGAGCAACAAAAAGTTCTCATAAAATCGTCCTTTCTAAAAACATCTGAAAACATTTTCATGTGTGAAATCAGTTCAGATGCATTTTGAGATTTTTCTTTCTTTTTTTAATTTTGTGTGTAATGGGGCCCTACACCACTATGAATGATTATTATGGCACTAAAGTGCAATCAGCCCTAAAGTTAAAAAGATATTACAGAACTTTTAACTAATGACATCCCTGCAACTGTACCTCTCCTGCGACTGACGCACACAGTGAGTCACCAAAGAAGCGAGCAGGCTCAGAGGAAAGTGAAAACTTCACACAAACTGCAATAACAGCCACAGCATAACCTACATTTCAGAGTTAGTGTTTATTTCATAAACTTTCGGGAGGCACGACTGTCACACAAACACCTCGGATGTAAACTTGACGCATGCAGCTGGTTCGTTCAACCCTCAGCGAAGGAGCGTCCTCGGTGTCGCACAGATAGAAGATCTGTTCGCTTCAGCCTGCTGTCACTTCACATACACACATCATGCCATCACCACCTTGGAAGAACACGACAGGCCCACTCACAGTCCGGCTCGCAGCAGTTTTCACGGCATGAGGTCTTGCTATCTCTTACTTTTCTCCCTCAATGAACACACACCCTCTGGAGTACCATCGGGACAAACGTCATGAAACTAAGCAGTTCTTATTCATCAAACATTTAAACCTGCAGACGTTCTACCATCACTTGGCTGGCGCATTGGTCGTGACCCTTTAACTCACACCTCATGGATACTGCTGATGCCATGGTAACACTAATTTGAGCAAATTAGAGAAACAGGAGTGATTATGAATCAACACAACACTTTTAACTGACCGATAGGAGCTGAATAAACAACATCTGCTCTTCTCATGTACTCTCCAAGTGTATCTAAAGTGTGTGTTAGACATGATATTACGAGATACTGTGCTGGATAGGCTGAAATGCTTTAGGTAGTATTACATCAAATACACCAAATTGCCGTGGTTTGAAGGGCATCAGCTTTTCCTCTGTAAAAGTACACCTTATCTGAAAGGTTAAAAAAGAGGTCTGACATGGCTGAGGGGTCAGCTCCTTTCAGCTGATTGCACACAGCCTACCTCGTCTCAGACTGTGTGAAAGAGCCCATGGCTGGTGGTTGATTGGCCCGGTCAGGTGGCTTGGTAAGTACGCACAGCCTGATACTCAGTGACCTTTAAAGCAGCGTGGCGGCGGCGGCGGTGGTGGTGGTGGTGTGGGGCTGAAATTCTCAACTCGAGGAAAGCAGAAAATACACAGCTTTGAGACGCTCTTAGTTTGTTTCTCAGTGTTTGGTAACTTCCTCTCTGCCGCCTCTTCAACTTTTTCTTTTTTTCTTATTAACTAGGTAGAGATTTCTGTAACACTGTAAGGCCTGCAGCCACTGTAAGTAATGGAGATCCTCAGGGAAGTAAAATGTCTTGTCCTCAAACAACCAACTCTGGCTTTTAACTGTATCCATCTTCAGTCTGAAGTAAATTTCACCCACAATAGTTGCCCTCTCTGGGAGGCCAAAGAGAGCCTTTTCCCTGCCCCCTTTGGCATTTTGCTTTTACACTCTTCACTGTTTCTTCCCCTTGACCTGGAATGAGCAGTCACCATTTAAAAATAGAGTTTATATCTGGCTCTATCTGATCTCTTTTGGTTTTGTGCCGTCATGCAGTCTTGCCTTTTTGTGTGCGAAATATAAAAGCACTTTCTTTTAGGAGTTTTCAGAGATTCATTTTTCGGGTAATGATTGAAATGTAGCATTCTGCTCGTGTCTGTGTACGCCTCTGTTCAAAACAGATCAACTCGAAGCAGACAAAAGGGGGAAAAAATACAAAATTCATTAAATTGTTCATGAAATTCTGCACAGACTGTCTACTCTAAATGTTATGAACAGCACCAAAATTGCATTGACAAAATAAGTCTTATTAAGTTGAAACAGCCTTGGAAATTTCAAACTGTGGTCGCCAAAACACAGCAAAATAAGACGATAAATTATGGATTGTTTTGAGTTTTTTGTTTGAAGAATAAAATAAATGATTATTTGTCTAAACTAAATCTGTGTTTTAACGGAAGAGTGAAACTTTTGAAGCAACCACAGTGTGAAGACAACATCTTTAGACCGTCCTGTCAGGTTTTCTTTTCACACAGAGACGAAGGGCAGCGGCTGAGAGCGAGATGCCAGCAGGGCAGCAATAAGCGAGGGTTTTCCAGCGCAACAACCCACTGTTACAGGATCTGAGCAGGGAGGGAGGGAGAGTCAGTACCCCGGGCCATCGGGTCTTAGAGACAGAGATTTGAAGATGCACATTCAAGGTCACAGAGGTTTCCTGAACAGTTTTAAAGCTTTAACCGGACAGATGTTTCTTTCCACTAGAGAGCGAAGCTTCAGAGTTTTATGGAGGGGAAGCAGGGACACATGCAGCCCCCTGAAGGGAGGGCAATGAGCTTAAGCTTAATCTGCCGCCTTCCCCTGAGGATTCACTAACATAATGAGAGGGGAGACAGAGAGGGATTCAGAGACTTAAAAGGCTCAGTCAAAACTTTTGTTGATATGTCGTAGAGTTTACATTATAAATGAAGTTTCAGGGCATATTTAAAGTAGGAGTAAGGGCTCTGGAGGTCACTGATTGAGTTTAATAAATGCTGATGAGTGTACACCAATGTCAAGCCTGTCAGACATTCATGAATATACAGAGTTAGCTTCTTTTTCTACTAAGAGAGAGTGGAGAGTGAGTCACCTGGTGAACTGAGCTGGCTGATGGCGTCTCTTGTGGAAATAATTTGCCTACAGAACCTACTCTGATTGACAACCATCTGACTTATCTAAACCAACCTGCAAAAGGTGCGACAAAACAGTGACATGTCAGGCAGGGAACACTTCAGAACCCACCAGGCACCTCAGTCACCAGGACCTCTCTGAGGAGTACCAAACAGGACAGGTTAGCATATTAGCGTGTGGGCACTTAGTTAGAAACCTCCATAACTTTACCCAGTATGACCATCTGAACGAACCCCTCTTTAGTCTCACCCCCGAGGAATCATAGTTTTTTTTGCATTTCCTTGTTGGCTTCATTTTTCAACACTAGAGGTTTCATACTGGTCTTAAGACTTGAGCGGTGTAGACAAGTCTTAAAATGTTAAACACCTTTCCCATGTTTTATTGCAAAATGTAACTTGATGTTGCATATTAATATCAACCTCACTGCTATATTTGGAAAGCAAAGCAAGAGGATGCATTATTTGGTGCAGAGTCCACCACTTCCATCTGATGTCTGAACGGCACCTAAAGGTCAATGATAGGTAATGTCCTTTACATAAAAACTGCACGGATACAAAGACGGATTAGGTCTCTTATTCTTTGGCAGTTGTGTAAAATTTATTCAAACTAATAAATCTTCAGTAATAGAATCACAGTTATTTATCTATTTATTAATTTTAATGGTCTTGTACAACAAACGCTTCCAATCTCATGAGACCTAGAGGAACAAAGGAGATGAAAAAGCTTTAGCATCAAACTTTTTGTGGCAGATAGTGTTGTATAACGAAAGTGATTTTAAATTATATAACAGCTAGCTTTGAAAAAAGAAAAAAACTTTAGTCACATGTTGTGATACTACAAAGTTATTTTCTGTGTTGGCAAGGTGCAAAAGAACAGCTGCTTCATTTCACTAACTCATGCAAACAAGTTCGACACTTTGCCTGAGGTTTCAGTGTCCCTCAGGGGGTTTCAAAGTGTCTAACTTTTTTCACTGCACACTATCTGAAGCTCCCTGGTGTGGAGGTTTTAGTCTCCCTCATGGGGTGCAATCTCTCCAAAGAACTGGATCTCTCTTACCTGACTTAAACCACTTCTGTCTAAATTGGTACTTCTTCCAAATGTAGAGACTCCCAAGGTAGAACACATACACACACACACAAAAACATACCCGTGCACACACAAAGCTCATGCATTATTTGAAAATTTACTGAGAAGAGCCTGCACTAAAACACTCCAATGGGCCAGGCCTTTAGTGCTGAGAGCGAGAGATGGACTCACTCATTACAGACTAACAGAGCAAAATGGAGCAGATCAGAGGAGAGAGGGGCTCCAATACAGCACAAGAGGAGATAGAAAAAAAAAAGTGATTTCTCTGAAGCTCAAAACAGCAGGGAATTTTAGATTTTGTGATGAAAACACAGATGTTAACAGTAGTACTTTCTCCAACGGTTAATTGGTTTTACAGATTGTTCTTATGTGGGGCAAATGGGTATTAGTGGTTTGGCTGATGGGAGGGAACATGTGGCCTGGACAAAAATCCAAGTGTAATAACACAAAGCTGATTCTTACTGTGAGTATTGCCAGTTTGGGGCATTTTACTATCAAGTATTTACTGGAAAATAACCGTTACTTGACACCCCACCTCCCAACACTCCCCACCACCTCCATGTCAGAGGCGGGATTCCTTTTTTTCATGACCACAAACTCGAGAAAACTTAAATACCCTTGGTTACAAATGTATAACTTTTGAGTTTTCTTCATCAATTTCTTTAACAAATGAAAAAAGTATTATAAAAACAGTGGGGGACAAAGTACTAAATTACTTAAGTGAAAGTATAGATACTCCTGGTCAAGTTTTATTTCTATACAAGTGAAAGTTGTTCAGGCAAAATTTTACTTCAGTTTAAGTACTGGAGTATCTGCTTTTGAAAATACTTAAATATTAAAAATACATTTTTATTTTTATGTCAGCGTATTATTGTATTGTCGCCACAATGAATTTACAGAGCCTGATAACTGAACCAACCGACTGAATGCTCTGATCTGCTTGTAGAACCTTGTAGAACGAAAAGCTTGTAGAAAACGTTATGAAGCCTGTAGAGATGCCTATTGAAACACGACTGAATCTACTAAAAGACAACCATTGCTGTTTTCATTTTTTTTCCCGTTTAAGTCCTGACAGATGATAGATGGTGAGTCTTTGTAGGCAGTGATGAAGTTTGTGCGTGGCGATCATCTAAAACGATATGAATCATTCTTCATTTCAACAATCCCAAACATAGACTTGGGTTATGGCCACGGGTGCTCTGTGTGGAATCGTCATCTGTATCTGCTGTAACCATCATTACCACTGCCAAGAAGACGAACCCTAACTGTTATCTGAGCAATGTTAGCTCTACGCTTAGCTGCCTGATCTGAGTGGCGCATGCGTGAGGTAAAGGTGCGGCATCACCATAGATCGCATTTCTCTTTTGCATGTAGAGGGTAAAAGTCACAAGTTTTCAAATAATACACAAGTACACATAGTTTACTTGTGTATTATGTTTGGCTTTTCTGGTTTTGGGGTATAATTTCTGAGTCAGCTGGTTTTATTTGAACCATTATTATTTAGAACATTTTGAGTTTGTATTAAAACCCAACAATGGCTCTTGGGCTGGCTCTACAATTTCACATAACTTAAATAGCCAAAAAAGCTCTTCCTAAAGGTCATCAGGGAGGCTGAGGTGAGGTTTTCGTGATGAAGTGTAACCTCACAGCTCAGTACCACAGAGTCTGCTCTATTGAACACTGATTTTTCAGGCTGTGTTTGCAAAGTTGTAGGAGTTATGAAGAATATAAACTCTGACAGGCAAAACCACTCCATATCCAATCCAGAAGATTGACCCTATGGTCCAAAAACCATAAAGGGATTTATTCTTCATTTATCCCTTTAGGGACCATGCTGTCCAACAAATCAGTCCATCAAGCCTTGGTTTTAAGCAATATGTTTTTCAATTTGGCCGGACTTAACCCTCTGATGGGATGCGGAAGCTGTGTCCAATTGGTATTACTGGCATGTAACTGAATTCTAGGTGAAATATAGTTATGTTTCTGGCTCTGTGTCCACAGTGCAGTTTGTTAAGACATGCTGTGCTGGTTATAGGTCAGGAAAGAGAAGAAGGAAGGAGGGAGGCGAGTGCGAACGGAAAGAGCGGTCAGGCTTATTTGAATTGGTCGAGTGCCCAGAACAAGAACTTATTGGCTCTGTGTGTATGGGTATGTGCGTGTGAGTATTGTTCAGTTTTATCTTCTGTGGAGCACGTTGAAACCAGTGCATTTGGTAGAGTTGTCTCCAGGGTACTTGACTCACATTATGAATAATAAAAGATACATTTTAGAGTCACGGGGGAGACTAAAAAAAGGAGAGCAGTGGGCATAATCCCAACTTGATAGACTTAGATGTGGCTTTTTGATAAATGTATGACCTTGGTTTTTAACTGAAGGCCTCTTTAAAGGCTTAAGAAAGGGTTGAATATTTTAAGAATACTATTCAGAGTTCATTTGGGTCCTCACAGTTGGGTCCTCACGCCTAATGAGAGACCTGAGGTGTCCGAGCCTAGATTTTATTTTCATTCTTATTTCTTCTCAAAACTTAAGAAAAGCCTTTTTCTATGCATGATGTTGTTGCTGGTCAATCGTGAAAATTTTACACACTGTGGAGAGCCAAGAGAGAAATCAAAATTACTATGATTTCTGTCAGGAGGTTGTGAGACACTGCTAACTTGTTCTTGATTGTTGTTCGTGGCAACACTACATGTGACAGAGCCCTAAAAAAAGTGGGCGGAGTACTTTCCTTGATAGACAGACTACTGTAACCAATCACTGCAAACAAACATCTGACGTCATCACAGTGCGCAGCTGTGTTCCCTGCTGGGCTCTCAAGCATCAAGTAAAGGTTTGGTAATATTTCAACGTGTGCGAGCAAACAATGTCTTTTACGTCTTCTTCTGCGGATATAAACGATTTCTGCCGACTTTGCAAAGTCAACTGCAGAATTAACGTCGTTCTGAATGAACGGCGCTTTGAAAAGTCCTGCAGCATGTGTTAAGACGTCACCATCTACACATGGACCAATCAGGGACTGCCTTTCCCTGTTGCCCGGGGAACGGTGGAAAAACAGTCACTGACTGGCCCGGTTATTTTCTGATTTCTAATACTCGCTCCCAATTGGCCGAAGTCCAGACTGTTGTGGGAAGGAACGGCAAGCGATTCACGCAACAAGATGGCCCAGCCAGGCTAATTTGATGTTGCCAAGCAGCATGTTGCCATCGCCAGTCCTCTGCTGATACTGAATTATATAGAGGCATTGAGTAACATTAGACTATCAGTGCTATGAGGTCAACTATCAGTTGTAACTGCAGTTGCCCCAAAGCTGTGATACTGCATATATTACGGCTGCCCTGCTATGACTTCTGTGACGTGCAGAGCAGCTGTTTGTTCCAGCTGCTGGGTCGATTGTGTTCTCACTGCAGAGAAACGCTCCAAGGTTTAATTGGAAGTGAACCGAGTCCACCACTCCAGTGATCCCAGTTCACCTGTTTTGCTCTGCATCTCAGTACGAAGGCTGTGTGTCCATACATCCAGACGATTTGGGTTAAAGAGGAAACTGGCCCTTTGAACCCACTAAAACAAACTGTTGTACCTTATCACTGGAGGTAATTGGTCGATGTACTGTATATTCTGTCTTTGCACCCCATTGACCATAAAATGTAACCCTAACCTAGTCTACACTCGGGTCAGAACTACAGATGACCAAAGCCAAATGAACCAAATCCAATTCAAAGGGGTAAAAGGAAGAGGAAAACATGTATGTGGAAAATGAGTGTTATTTTTCTTTTTTATCTGCCTGCTTTAACCTTCCCTCTGTGTTTGAGCACAGACACATTTTTGGCTTTGAAAGCATAAAAGAACCAAATAAACTGATTTTTTTACTTTGTCTATTCCTAATGAAGCCGATCAAGGCCACCGAGAGATGAGAATCAAACTGAATAATAAATCCAATGATAATTGTTTTGAGTGTAATTCACAGCAGATTTAAGACACAGCTCCAAACCGACATGTCAACATTATGGGTGCGTTGTGAGAGATTACACAGGAGGAAGGTTAAGCCGAGTGCTCTTGTATTTGACTGAACACTGCAATGGCCTACTGTCAATCAAAATACAGAGATGACAATGAGAAATCTTTATCTGGGCCAAATATGATCATTTCTGGGTCCAATCATGATGCCCAACCTAATGCTTCAAAATTGGGTTTTAAAAAAAAAAACAATCCTTAAATTGACTTAGCAGCTTTTGGGGTCAAGGTTCGCATTTTTATAAATATATTTGAAGGTTAGGGATTATGAAGGGTTAGGCTGTACAATGATCCTGATGATGGTCTCACAATAAATAAATAAATAAATAGACTTTGTTCCTGACATCTCCCAAAACTCTAATCTATCCCTCCTGAGTTCAACACCTGTCAAAAGATTTGTTTTATCAGCTCTAAATGCCGTACCAGGGGACTCTGCTGTATTTCTCTGAGAAGTTCAGATTGTCAATCGGGGGACGAGGGTAACTTTGTCAGAAAAACATAAACCCAGCTCCATTCTTTCTGGTTAGCTGTTTCAGGCCAGAATGGTCACTAGTGTTCCACTTATCTGCATAAACACACAATCAGAGCTGTGCCACTCTGCCCTCCCACGCACAAACAGATTCATTCGCAGCCACAGAATTAGCAAAAATACTTGTGTGCTAAACAATGGTGTTTGTAACAATGCCTCTACTGGAGCAGAGCATGTTTACTTGTTGCTAGTTTATTTCCTGAAGGAATAATACCAGTTAGAGATACCTGATTTAGACCAGTATGTCTTATTCAGAAGCAGGGTGTGATAAATAGTGAATATTGAGTAGCAACAAAACACCCTTTAAAAAGGGAAATCTGTGTTTATGCTCCATTCACTGCAGGTTTCATTTCTATTGCAGACATTATCGTGCAATCTTGTTTTTCTCCAAGGAGCAATAAAGACAGACGTGTTGGATTCAAGCCAAGTAGAAAGATGAATGAATGAACCCCACAAAAAGCACGGCATCTTGAATAATAATCCGGCGGAAACATGGAGCTCTCCCCATGAAAACAGATCTAATGATGAACATTTACATGATACAAATCAAAGTACCGTTCCAGTGCATGCAAGTCTTGAGGGTCAATCTAATTTACTCAAAGCATTTCTTACTTCCATCCTCACTTATTTTCTGTGTTAAGAAAAGATAGGCTCAGAAAACGGCCTCTGGGTAAAGATGGACATCTCGCTCTCAGCCGCTATCCAAATAGTGCGGCGCCGAGCTGTTACAGGCCTCTCATTTACATTCATAATAGGCTAAATTTATCAAGGCACATTAGTCTCTGCAGGGCAGGGAATATGCTGGCTGGGGTCTAATGGCCGGATGGAAAAAAATGGCGGAAAAAAGACCATGAAGAAGATGCATGGCCCCTGACCTGTTCGCTCTTGCAGAGCAAAGGCAGTTGTCTTAGATTACTCCGTCAAAGACTCGGCTTTAAAAGGAAGGAAGTGGAGCATTTAGATGTGTCCCAAATAGATGTTTCATCTTTCCCTTTTGAGAGATGATTAAAAGTATGTCACTGAGCCTTTTGAAGCCACGAGGTTCTGCTTCCACCCTCGCTATTTAGGCACTGGCAGCATGTGAAATAGATCACATTTTATTCATGTGTGAATTCTACATGCTAAGTATCCGTTTCTAAGAGACATTTCTATTGACAGATACTTAGAAATTAAATTAAGAGGATAACAGTTAAAGCAATGGAGGACATCACAACTCTCCTTCCAGCATCTAGACAGCAGTCTGTAAGTCACACATGGTCATCTTCAAGGGCACAAAAGAACTGAAATCCTCTATCGTCCTGAATCTGTCTTTGCCAACAAAGCTCCAGAGTGCTCCTCTCTCTTCTCTCTTCTCCCTCGCCATCAAAAACTCTGGTCTCTCAAAATGCACGTGCTCTTCGCAGGAAATAGATCTGAACTTCAATTGAAAACACACAGAAAAACTTAAGTCTTTGAAAGTTTGCTGCATGTTATTTTTGGTGAAGCTTTCGTTTGCATCAATGACTGTAACTTCTAAAGCACTGAATCTCGCCTCAGGAGAGTAACAAGTAGATCTCATCGTTTCACCACTTAAAAGTTGCAAAGCTCAGTCTGCACACAGTTATCAAACACGGAGAGGCTGTTTATTTTTATTTATTTATTTGGAAAGCCAGATTTACAAAGAGAGCTATAGATGTGTGATGTCTTTAAAATGCATGTATTTTAAGGCTGATTTGTCAAACTCCTTTTAAGAAACTTAAAATTAATTAAAAAAAAAAATAAAAACCTTTGTTGTGGTCGTTGTGAACTGCATGGATGTGAATGCATCACATTTCCCAATTACTGTCACAGAGCACCAGCTCACAGAGAAAGCGCCTCACCTTGTTGTCTGTAGATAGACTTTGTTGGCCGTTTGTGTGTCGCTACATTTACCCAGGTAATAATGCTGCTGGATGAGCAGCACTTGAAACCAGCAGTACAATAGATCAGAATCCATAACACCCTCTCCAGGATGCCACCACAGCAATATTAAAAGACCCCCACATCGAAGGCTCTGTTGGTGGCATGAGCCACTGTTGTGTAATTCTCTCCATTTTTATTATCTTACAATCCCCTGCTGTCTTTGATTTATTAGTCTGTTTGAAGTTACCCACTCATTAATAATACAATGGCTGTGACTGTGCTGGCCACAAATCAAGCTCCCACTTTATTGCATTAAATAAATAAGAGTCAGATGACAGTGATGACATAACAATTAGAAGATTGACACTGTGTAAAAGAAGGGTTACTGTTTTCAAAGAACTCCATTAGGCTACTCATCTCAAAGTGTAAAGGGCCAGTCCACCAATTAACGTCACATAGCATCTGCTTGTCTCTGAGTGTTTTTAATAACAGCCTGAATATGAAGTTTGATGATTTCCTCACCGGTCAGTGAGCTGATTTTCAGTTTGAAACCAAGAGTCTGTCTGTCATTAACACCGGTAGGCCTCCAGACTTCGGCATCCATTGGTGTTACCATTGTTTACTTCATTTATGAACACTTTAACTAAACTTTTAATTTGAAAACATTTATGTAACCTTTGGTTTAACGTTGTCTGCTTGGTATCTTGTTACTCGGCCTCAACACACTTAACTCAGTGTGTAAGAAGTTTGTAATTACAGCCTTTCACACAAGTCCACAATTCTGCGAGCGCACTCGAGTTCAGCCGTCAAGTGTGTCACTATTAAATTGTTTCAGCGCTGTAGGATAACTTGCAGGGATCGTTAACACACAACAGGGGCGCCACCGTAGACTGGATATGGAATGGACACAGTCGGCCTCCTCGGGAGCAATTCGGCGTATAATGGTGGAAGGCGGAGCCAAGTTGTCCATAGTATATACAGTCTATAGGCGCCACATTCACACACTCAAACATGAACATGCACACAGTGCTGCCCCCCCACTGCTAGCTCCAATGCAACAAATGACCATCTCCACCCCCAACGTTGCTTTCTTGTCAGATATCAGGTCAACCATAAACTTCAGTACTTTGTTGCTGTTGTGGGTGTGGGTGTGTCCTGTGTTTTCTGCTGTGTGTGTCTCTCTCTGGTAGGTTCCTCCCCAGGTGTGTCAGGTGAACCTGCTTGGTGTGATGAGTGGGGCGGATAGAAGAAGGCACAGCTGCACTGACTCTTGTAAATAAATTACTCACTTATTCTGATTTCCTGTTTCCTACTCCTCATCTCGTCTCCCCTGACCGGTTTAAGTTATTGTTACTTCCCATCTTCCCCTAACCGTTCTTCCGGGTCGTAACAGTAGCTAACAAAGCTGCTGCTTCTGCTGCCACTTACCTGTGCTAGTGTGTTAGCACAGCTTTGTCACATGGTCGAAAACCTTTTTTGCAGCCAATGTACATAATCAGTCTTGTAATTTCACTTTTATCACATTAAGCCCGTGTGACTCTATTTCCGAGGTAGACTGTATTCATCAGTGTTGGACATTGTTATTTTGTCACCATGAACTGACTAATTCTACTTGACCTGCCACCTGAGTTCACAATATTCTTATGAAAGGTAAAACATCACAGTCCTATCCTGATGAGACTGAATAGGCCAGTAACAATTATTCATAATTATGCAGCAAAACCCTCTCACCCGAACAGACCACAGCTTTGATGCCAGACTGGTGCATGACACTTTTACTGATCCAGGGCGCCGCAGACCACTGAACTTGAAGCTTTGTAGTTAAATTGATAATTGATTTTTACAAGGAAAAGACTCCGTGTTAGATCTGGCCTCAGTATTTTCATTTCTGAACTTTTGCAGTTGGTTTTCTCTTCATAACAAAAATTTGAACCTTAAATTATGTTAAATAAAACATATCAGACTGACTCATTCCTTATTGTTTAATACACATATGTATATCTATCTGGATTTGATCTGATTTCTCCGCTAAGATATATATTTTTAATTAACCCTCTCCCCCCAGCCTTTTTTAATTGTTCATTATTTGGCCATTAACAAAAACCAACAACAATGCATCTGAATTAATTGAGCCGTGTGTTGTCTGCCTGTGGTTGGGATTAACCAGGCATGTCCCAGAGTGATTCGCTAAACTTCCAGACACTTGAGACTTAATGGGGACTTTGGCACAGTTGACATTTACAGGGAATATATCCGACAAATAGGCGTTATAATTGTGAAAACTGTCATCGTGGGTATTGGGATGGTCTCCTTGTTACAAACTTGGAAGAAGAATTTAAGAGATGGGTCTTAACTGGACAGGATCTGACAGAGGACACTGAAAGTGGATAAGGGCTTAAGCAAAAATATAAATGGCATTCTGTTGGTTCTTAGTGTTTTTAAAAGAACCTTCACTGTTTTTTGTTTTTTTTCTTTGTTTTTCTTTTTTGTGAAGATGCTCGTCACATTGGACTTGATTTAATAAGATTTCAAATAACAAGCACTTAACTGCCTCTACATTCAACATTGCGTGTTTCATTATGAGGTGTTCACACCAGGTGCAAGTAAGATAATCTACTCCCTCTATTCTCGTGTATCTAGACATGTGAATGAAAAGTATTTACTCTCTTCATTTCCGTGAATGATTTGCTCTTTTCGCAAGATTCCCGATACCCATAGATAGCCGATAGTTTAGATAGTTTATGTGAATTTCAACAGTGATCCTGGCCAATTCAAGTAACAGGTAATGGTTTTTCACGACTTACCAGATAATCGGACCTCCTCACTCACTTTCCTCCAGGTGAGCTCCTTTTTATTTCTGTTTTTGTTAAAAAAATTTTTAAAAAAGTTGTGGATATGAGAGAGGGGGACAGTCTCCATCAAGCATGATAGGAGTGAACCACATTCAGAGAATTTCTGCTGCTTCGTTTTTGTTGTGGAAGGCCAACAACCGTCAGAGATGTAGGTGTCGCCATGTGTGGGTCTCCCCCAATAGCCACGCCTGGATGACAGATGTGTCCAGCGGTATTTTTGGGTTACCAAACCCAATTTGACAACCTGTTGGTGAGGGTCGTCAAATTGGGTGCCAGGATATCCCTCTAGGATACCAATTACTGGCACTGTATCCCAGCTGCAGAGCGCCTGTCCATTTGTGTTTATATTTTCAACCCTCACGAGTTTGAGCGTCCGCTTAATTTGCGTGAATATCTCACTCAATGCGCATGATTGGCGCCACCCAATTTGTGCCGCCAGAGTAGGACGAGCGTCTAATCGCATCTTTGCAGCCACTCAACATGTATTTCATTCGTGCAAATGATTTTACTCGTGCTTGGTGTGAATGCCCTATTAGTGTGTGGTGCAAAACCTGTGGAGGTAGCGGTATTTTGGTTTTATTCAAGTATTTCTTCAAGCTTTTTTTAAAATGAATTGTGTAAGAGTAAGTAAGTAAGTAAGAGGCAATACAAAGTGAGCAGATGGTCTTTACTTGGATCTTATCAATCCCGTTTTCGATTCTGCTGGTGTACTGCAGCTCTGCTCCTCCTGCTGTGGCCGAGCAGTACGGCACATTCTGAAGTGTAACGTTTTTGCCACAGGTGTTGCACTTTGCTGTGTCATTAACTCGTAAAGCTTTATCAAACTTCTGATCACTTGCTGCAGTCTGCTGGGATCCTCCTCTCCCATCTTTGTTGATGCGCTGCGTCACACTTGATGTTATGTTACATCAGCACAGTAAGTATAACTTCTGTGAACTCTCAAACTCTTTCCGAGGTTTAATCCTGAAAGATTTACGTTGCTACTTGGAAATGAAACCAAAATTCACGTGCCTTTCAGTTTCTTGTTGGAGATCCTTCTTTACACCGAGGACTTGTGACCTGACAGGGTGAGCTGGACTCTTTTTGCCTACACGGTAATTTATTTGAAATGCCAAAGGAAACGTTCCACAGATTGATTTGATCGTCGTTTATCAACCTAATTTATATATGAAGAGGGAAAGAGAGAGAGAGAGAGACAGAGAGAGCACTGCCTATCGGTTTTCTTTATGATTCATCTTAAATTAGGTCCATGAAGCTTTGTTTGACCTTGCTCATCCTTATAGGTAGACATTAATTCATTTTATGTTTCTCACAAAAGCCTTATCCCTCTGTTTTTGTAGTCTGTATCAGTGAAACACTCAGAGTCCGGGATGAAGAACTCGCTGTTTTTCTAACTTTTTTAAGGGATAAAAACACTTTTTTCACGAACCGTTTAAATCGGAGAAAAGTCTGAGTCTGTCTTTGTTGAGTGTACAGCAGCTTTTCTTTGTGCTGTTATTTCAGTCCATCTTGAAATGGATTTTTATTCATTGATTTTAAAGTGTTTTATTTCTACTTTAGTAATTTTTTTGGAGTCGACAACTTTGTCTTTTTTATGTGGTCATTCTTATGTAAAGCACTTTGGGCTGCTTGGTTGTAAATCAGGTTTTTCCATAACCTCAGTAAGTGGATTTAAGATCAAGAGATTCATCTCGTATCAGGCATAAACCTTGTTAATCATTTGATGAGCTGTCACTGAAGCTTCTATATTTATAAGGTGTGTCATATTTTCTTTCAAGTCCAGAGAGCTCCTGTCAGAAAAATTGTCTTGAGGGTGAGATTTTGTCCAACCACATCATATTACATGCTCCAACCAAGCTGAGACATGATGCATTAAGTTCTGGCCTTGCAACACTGTCCGGAAAATAATTTCAAATATTGGACAGGGGCGAACTTTGCAGTTAAATACAAAACTAAACTTGAAGAAAAAGCTTTGCAAGAAGTCCCTGAAGCCAACTCAGGTTGTTTTTGGGCACTGCAGCAAAAGGAGAGAGTGAGGACAAAGAATAGAAAGAAAGAGACAAAGGAGGATTAACTGGAGAATGAGGCTGACAAGGCTGAGACAGACAAACAAACAGCTCAACAGATTGACCGGGGATGGAGGGACAGATGAAAGCTCCTGACTGAAACTGTGACTCAGCCAAAATTTCATAATCTTGCCATGGCACAGGGGAACGGAGAGTTGTTTTCAAAGTTGATAACCTGCGTTAAGTGTCTCAGTCCGGCATCGGTGTAAGTGTCTCCCTGGTGAGATATGAGAGAAGAAGAAAAACAGACTGCAGAGAGTAAAGATGATGAATTCTGAGCACAAGATGCCTGCAGCCGCTTAAGGATCAGTGTCTCAATTAGTGTCTGCAATCAGCCAACAGAGTGACTATCGTTTCACTCATTACCTGAAGTGTCAGTGGTACAATAGACTTTTCCCGGTGTCTAGTTAAACCAACACAGCAAATGAAGGGTAAGTCAATTTGCATCATTTAGGTAAACATCAGATTCAACTTCTAAGGGAGGACAAGGGAAAGAATAGGAGAGAAAACACATCAGTCACATCAAGTGGGTTTGTGTGAGGTACGTTTCCACAGTAAGTGTTCCCACAGATTCAAGTAGGCGCTGTTTCTTTGAGAAACCTGGTGGAGAATGGCTGTCAACCAGGGTCAGCTCTACCAAGTTATTTAGCTGAGTTTAAGAAACTCTGGGCTCTATTTTCGTGTCCGCCGGCGATGCGGCGAAGGTTGGCGGACCCCACGCAGTGGTATTTTTGTCTGGGGGAGCCCGGCGTACAGCCAGTTTGGTATTTTCGTAGACTGAGGCGCACCGAGGTCCGCCAAGCTGGGTGTGGTGGCGCGGCAGGGGGAGGTGTCGACAGAATCAGCTGGCGCAGTGACATTTTCATGCTCGCCGGTGGCATATAAAGTGCGCTGAAAGCTTGCCGATTCAAACCTGGTCAGCTTTCAGCGCACAGGTCTCAGCTGTGTTAAATCCACTCCACACCCTTTCTCCTCCCTCCCTATGACTTACGCCGCTGGGAGGAGCTGCGTTAGGGAGGAGGGGATACTTACATCAGGCTGCGCCGCTCACCAAAATACCAAATAGTGCTCGGGAACGCCTTGTCGGCGCGGCGGACCTGACTTACCCTGCGCCTGCGCCACGACGTTGGCGAAGCACGAAAGTAGAGCCCTCTGAGTCAAACACTAACATTCAGAAAATGTCCAGCTCTTTATTTCTGCTTTTAGAAATACAATTTGTTTTTGCTCTAATTGCAGGTTTAGTCAGTCCTAAAACATACGGATCCTTATTGAGTGAATTCAGTCAGCGTCACGTATCACGCATCAAATAGGATGCCATTCTAATCAGTGCAGCATCGCACAGGACGTGTTGCAGCTCCATCTCAGAAGCGTGTTGAGCGTGGCTCTGCTAAAGATACTCACGAGTCTTTCGCTCTACGCTCCCAACACATCTCAATCGACACAGAGAATATCAATCTAGACAGGATGTCAAGCATGGAAACCGCGCACCATATGTGGACTCCCGACTGTGTATGAGTTCATGTAGATGAGAAATACTTCCTGGTTATGGATTTATCAGTAACACAGAACAATCTGAAGGTCAGCGCCTGATCCATGTGGACCCCAACAGGCCCTAGAACTGCTAACTCTGTCTAAAGGTGTTGTGAAGGTGTCTGTCATGATGCTGACGGAACATGCTCAACACGGACACACCGGCTCCACGAGGTAACTCAGGATCTCACCTGTCCTCTCTTTTAGTCTGTCGCGCCCCTTTTCACCTTCATTTAATCCACAAGAATCAACAGATCTGTTTTTATTCTTCTTGTATTTGTGTAGAAATTTCTGTCCAGAGCATGACGATTTTTAAATATGCTTAACACTCGGTTAAATATGAATGTCTACTTACAGAATATAGTGTGTTGAATGATACATGCATCAAATAAAATACCCAAATATGTACTCATAAAATACCTGTGGCGTATCATCATCCTTTGCCACTGGAGCATAAAAGCACTGAGCAATATCTCGAAGAGTGCCAGCTCATAAAGCCGGCCTCTTGTTTCCACGGTAAATGTCATATCGGTGTTGCTGTCACTTTGGTCGTTGTTGTTCAGATGATTCGTATTATTAGTATTTTTGTCTCTTTTAAAGCCCACAGACTCAACCGGCTGATCGGTGCACTGTAGGCAGAGGACCAGGTATGTGTCATGTCTGTGAAAACTGCAAAAACAAATGGGCCGCGGCGTCTGTGCCAGCTTTTTCTAGCGAGGGTGCTGAGCAGACAGAGATACGCTTATGGTAATACACTTACTATTGACAAGTATCTTATAAACCCCACTTAATAAAAACTGAACCATCCTTTAGAAATACTGGTATGTTGTGTTTTTGTTCCTGTTTGGGGTCGTGTCAGGTTATTCTGGAGTGGATTTAATATAGTTCTCCTCAATCGTCTGTCTGGTTTAAGTAAAATCTGTCATACTGTATTTCAGGCACTTGTTGGAAGAATACTGATTTTTCAGAGATGATCAACCTTAAAGTGTATCAGCTGTAGCAGAGAGCACCCTGCTGGGATATATCATTTGATATAATTACTGCTTTCTTGTTGCCAAGGCAGCCGAAGAGGAGATGTTTTGCTGCTGCAGCCTGTCTCCTGCTCAGCCTTGAGGCTTTTTGTAAGGCTGCTTTGGATTATCAATGCAAACTTAATAGAGGGCGGATTCGTGCTGAATGCAGTTTGAGAGAAGAAACCCTCTAGTGTCAGTTTTTTAAGGCAACAATAACAAAAAAAAAAAAAACGTGTCGGGTTTTGATCATTTACTTCACTGAGACATATGACAATTTCACTGAACTTAGTTGTCAAGACAAGATGTGAAAACATATTTGATACGATTCTCTTCCAAGCAGTGAGATGCTGAAACTGGTGCAATTATTTCTACTCTGACTGTTAAAAACATGGAGTAAAAAAAAAAAAAAACACAAATGGGACCACTTAAGAAACAGCAGCTATGATACAAAACACTTGGCTGAAAATCTCTAACACCTAACTTCAATTCTCCTCGGCGCTCTGAGCGGCGCGGCGAGAGGAGGAGAACACCTGTTCCTACATTTGCTCCATCAGACAGGTAGACTCTCTGGGGACGTAACTGAGGGCCAGCACAGGGTTGTAAATCTTACACAGTGTCCCTTTTTTTCCTCCCTATTTTTGTGCTGTTTATGGGATGCTAGTGGATTTCGTTAATTAGTAGGAGCCAGGTGTTAATTAGCCGAGGCGAGAGGGGATCGGTTTGGTTCCGATCCATACCGCTCTGTCTCATGGAGCTCCAACTCTTTGATCTCCCCTGCAGGGCTGAACGCGCCACTGTGCCTGTCATTTCCAATTAGGATGTTAAACAGATATTCCAGAGATATCCACCTTTGTTACTCCATCCCTTCCTCATCCCAGTCAGACGAGTGGAACGACAGGGATGACAAATCGGCACAGTGTATATTCTCCCTCCGTCAAGTGTTGTCTTTTCAGGTGTAGAAAACACCTGCTGAAGAGGACATGGGACGAATATAAACACCGCGGCAGTAATCTGTTTCAATAAAACAAAATCAAATCTTATTTTTGTCATCGTCGTTATTATTTCAGCGATTAGCAACAGAACAATTGAAGGCTTTTAAAGCGCCGACACGCACGCTGAATGCAAAACTTGCACAATAAATACACAAGTTGTGAAGGGCCATTAAATGCCTCATCAAATCTAAATGTGTCACCAGTAGAATTGAGTTGAGGAGTAATTTAAGCCAATCAATCACCATGTTACGCTAATTAGGAGTGTGTTTGTTGGCATAGCACCCAAAGACTCACATATGTGCACACATTTCAGCTGAGATGAAATACAGAATGTACCGCCAACTGTGTGTGGGAATACCAGTGCAGGTGGCGCCGTACCTCAATAATCTAGCACTATTCATATCACTGTGGGGATGGGCCAGACCGTGTGTCGGCTTACACTTCCGTCCTGTGGTATAGAGCACAAAAACAAACTCCTTATTGACCTGTTTTTAGAGGCTCTTTGGAATCGGTTGCAGAAGCAGGAACCCTTTTAAGAGGGGATATCGTGCTCGATGTTTTTCAAACGATACACTTCCTGTCTGCATCCGACTGAAACGTTTGTTTTAGCTTCTCTTTTTTTAAGAGTTTTTAAAAATCTGTACAAAACCTGATCTTTTTGACCAAAAGCAATAATTTCAAACACGAACACACTAAAGTAAATAGTTTTTTCATTTTGCTTGAACACATTTAAATTAAAATGCCGGATCATTGATGCAGTTAATGTTTTATTTTTCTCTTACGCACCAAATTATTGCCTGAGATGTTGATTTGAAAACAAGATTGAAACATTTCAGTCTCATTTTCTTTTAGGTTGATGTGAAATTTTGATGGTTTCTAACATTATGCATGCCAATTGATCTGTTACTGTTGAGGTTTAAAGCTTCAGTATGTGGGAAATCAAAGTTTGAGAGAAAGTGTTGCTCTCACCTACAGTATCTAGAACTTTTGGACTCTTCATTAGGAGGACCTCAGGATCCTTCATATCATTAGCTGAAGTGTGGCATGAGCACAAATTATCTTAAGTTTGGGCAAAGGTCCCATACGTTGTGTTAAAATTGCAGCTATACTTACTTTATATAAAATCCTTTTGCAGGTATTTGTTTGTAAGCTGAGACTGCATGTGTAAATATGTTGATGAGTGAAAGCTAATGTGAATGTGTCATGATATAAATTTATGTGTGCAGTCACGCCACGTCTGCTCATTAATGTCATTCTTATTAATGTGATGACTTGATGTTTTTTTCATGGACATTTGTCCTGCTCAGAGCAATCACAGGAGTCTGCGAGGGTCTTATCATGCCTTGACATTTTATTCTGATTCATGAAAGACATTGCTCAGTGTGAAAATGCATAAAAAATGGATTAGAGACTACAGAAATTTACTGGTGTCTCATTTGCATCTCTGCAGTGCCTCAAATATCTTGCAGCAGTTGCTGCACTGACTCGTGTAAACACCTTTGTTTTGTATGATGAAAGGCAGGTGGTGGTGGTGGGGAGGGTTGATGCATTCTCAGAACAGCATGCAAATACAGAATAATAGAGGATTAGAGGTGGGGGCATTTGCATATGAAGAAAAAAAAATGTTCACTTATGGGGAATGCTTGATGCCTTAAGTCTTTGGGTGAGATGAGTAATGTGTCTTGTGTATGAACACGTGCAAGAATAGCTCATGGGTTTTGTCCTCAGCAGGATCCAATTGAATGGTTTACATAGAATTAGCTTGGCCCTGGAACAATAGGATTTGGCTCCACAGATAGAAATGACAGGACATTTAACATGCAGCTGTAATGTTGTGCCGTAATGTGGTAATTGATTGCCCCCTGTAAATATGAACCTCAAATTTAACTGCAAACTTGTTTGAACAAACCGCAGAGGAAATAGACGATTAATTGAATGGATGGAGCACATATCCTGTGTTTGCACTGTGAATGGGTTAGATGGGTAACAGCATGCAGGGAATTTTTTTGCTACAGTAAGATGTAAAATCGCAGCTTTAAGACACAAAATCTGTGTGTGTGGGAGGAGAGGATGTGAAAAAAAGGGACAGAAAGCAAAGAAAATCCATCAAAGATTGAAAGGCATGTCACTCAACAGAGGAAGTCAGGCAGGTTCATACACAGAGAGGGAGATGAGGCACAAAGGGAGAGAGAGAGTGAGAGCAAGAGGAAAAGGGAATGTATGAACAAGGCTAAGGGGAAGACAAAAAATGCATTTGAGTGATACTCCTCTCAAGTTTGAAGTAAAGGAGCTTCAAGGGTTGGGTTGGGGGCGATCATTTTGAGGGAAAACGTTGAAATTGAGGAGGTTTAAAAGTGAAAAGAGAGACACGGGTGCGGAGGGGGGGGGAGCAGAAATGCTGAGTCCTGTTGCCAGGACTACAGCTCAGCAGTAACAGATGAAAAATAAAGTCATAACTGATAGCAGTGATGTAGAATAACACAATTTCATGAAGTGATTACTAAGTAACTTTCACTGAGATAAACTGATGAATTAATTCTGGTACATGCACGGGAAAACTACAGACTTTCTGCATTTGAACATTTTGAAGATTAACTGAATTTCTGCTCAATGTTTTTGTTTTTATGATTAATATAATTCTCATTCAAATTGTAAAGAATGAGAATAATGAATGCATTTCTTGTTCTCATAGTTCAGACAAAGAATATACCGTGTGAACATTTTACATGAACGCATTAAGTTGTTTGGGGACCCTTTGTTGCACTTTCATGTGCTCTAAATAAGACTAATGGAAGAGAAGTTGGTGCTGCAGGTAGGCCAGTTTAGTGCCCTAACTTTTTCAGGGTCTTTTGGGGAGGGCAGCATATGAGGCATTTTCCCTCAAATCCTATATTCGTTCGAGAAATCGTGAAAGCAATGTCTTCTGGTTTAACCTGCATCCAAACTACTGTAGGTTCACAAATAGTAATATTGGGGGTGACTTTAAGCTCATGGGGTGACTTCCACTACAGAGCCATGTCTGTTTTAAGTGCAGTACCACCACCTGAGGGACTTTGTTGAGAAATTTCACTTCCAATATTTGATATGTTGTCTCAATGAATTTCCGTTTGGGGATGAATAAAGTTCTTGTGCTGTATTGTATCAGCACTATTTTCAATTAGGGGTGTAATATTGCAAAAAAAACACAATATGTTTTTATCAACATTTTACTCACTTGGAGTTTTATGTCCTTGTACAATTCATATCAAGTAGGAAGTCTTCAAATTCACCATAGCACTTCTTGCCAAGAGATAGAATAGAAGATACTCTGTGCAACTTTCTATACCTGTAAATAAAAAAGGGTTAACTTTACCCTTTACTGATCACATTACTATTGTTTTGATTGATGATTCTTCAGTGCTTTTCATTCTGGATCAAAATAACAGTCTTTGAGAGATTGGTCTGACAAATGAAAGAGTGACTTATGGAGGGAGGTCACCGCCCCACGAGGACCTCAACATATCACCTCAGAGGCTCTAAATCTTCAAATCATTAGACACTGTCTATAGAAGAAAAAGAATGGCTCCTTTCCCATAGGAAAGCATTATCAGGAGAAAGGCAACAAAGAATAAAACATAATGCAGTAAGCAGTGTTGTTTTGCAATGGTCACAATGGCCTTCCTTTTTTTAAAGCCTGTCATTCAGTCACGCCTGGAAACTCTGAAGGCTCTTATCAATCAATGTCCCTGCTGAAGCAATTACATAGAAAAGCATCCCTGTAATTCCAAATCATCGTCATGTACTGCCTCAATGTTACTGTTCAGATTTCAAGGCAGCAGTATGTGGAAATTGGAAAGCAGCGCACTGTTATGCTTGAAGGACTCCAAAAGAATCAGCCAAAACATCCAGATGCTAATTCCAACCATATGAATCACTGCACTAATGCCCATAGAAATGTCTGAATGCGTGCTGCATAATTATCACACAAGGTAGCAAAAACCATGGACATTGCAGTTTCAATACTGCATCACTGCCTGATCATCTTTCTTTTTCTCCCCCCTCTCTTTCTCTCACTCACTCAGTTATGTGATGGACTGACCTAGGGATATAAACGGCATGAATTCCTATCTATCATTCCAACTCCATTGCCGCTCCCCTTCTTCCTCCCGTGTGCTGTGGAAATCAAAGACTGCTGAGCCAAGGGGAAAAAAGATTCCATCAATCTTCGCTTGTCCCTAACAGTCACGTTTACCTGACAAAGTTGCACAGCACTCTGTGAAATGCGGTTCCCACCCTGCCAAAGCCTTGGCTTATGCCCCTGAAATACTGTTTCTTTCTTTATATTAAATTGTATTTAATGGGCTGCCTCGGTGTCCCAGCTGGCATGGCTGCATAATGTAGACCTGCAAGATCATGGAGTCTGTCTTGTGACCTTCGTCACACGTCTTCCTCTCTCTGTTTTAAGGTGTATTTATACAGAGAGGGTTTGCTGAGCATGCAGGCTCACTTCTAACAGTCTTGCTTAACATTCATGCAGTACGGCACATTCAGGGGGAGCTGTCTCGCACTGATACAGTCTTAACTGTTGGACACTGAGCTGCTCCTCTGGGGGTTTGCCTTAAGGCTCCCTCGGTGGTAGTCGAGTTTTTAGTGAATTCTAACAGATTGGTTGTGACTTTTATTTGTTTCAGCTAATTTACACTAGAAAAAAGAACATATGCACAGTTGATTGAAATACATATGTAAAACTCTAGAGGTCAAACCGCATTATGGACCAACAGCCAATGTCTATGTACTCAGGATAGATTTAATTGTGAACCAGAATAATGCCTCAAGGCTTTTAGGCTTTAGCATTATAGAAAGCAGCTTAACGATTCAGCTTATAGAGTAATCCTCACTGGAAAGTGAGTATAATATAAAAGAATATATAGCATGTGTAAATGCAACCTGATGTAATCAATTTTTACCATGTAAGTCTTGTATTAGTCCACTGGACAGACGCTGCATGTGCTGCAATGCATTTCTTCGTTTGCTGTCCTTTTTTCTCTCTCTCTCTTTTTGTTTGTTGTTTTTGTTTAAACTTTAAGGCTGGATGTGGCACCAATAAAATCCCTGTGGAGATAGTAAGGGCCCAATTTTAATGATCAAAATTTGCACGTCCAACCGCTTTTTGTTAGTTAGGTAGTCTACAGATTGGATGAGGTCCCTTGGAAATCCCAGGGTGTGTTTTGGGCATAACATGAATCAAATCAATCAGTGTGTGTGTGTGTGTGTGTGTGTGTGTGTGTGTGTGTGTGTGTGTGTGTGTGTGTGTGTGTGTGTGTGTGTGTGTGCTGTCACTGCCTTTTAGACCTGAGTGCAACTGCATGCAGCATACTATTATCTACACTGCGGATTCCAGCCTTTAATTAAATAGACACGGCTCCAGACAGTATATTTTACTTCCCCCTCCCCTTCTGCTGTGCCTGAAAACACACACAGGTCGCTGTATGAGCTACGTCAATGTATGGATTGATGTTTAATCCACTGAAACAATCCCTCCGAACAATAGAAATGAAAGTGACTTTCCAAAAGTGCGTACATTTTTGCACGCAAGGCACAGAAGCTTTATATCCATCGGTTATTTGAAACTTCTGTCACGGCAGCTACATTGGAGGGGATCTCATATAAACCATCCTTATCAAAGAAAAGTGGGCTTTAATTTTTAATTACTTTATTCTGGTTCTGGATCACTACGTGCACAATGGATACTGTTCAGACTTCATCAGAATCTGTGGGCACTATAGTTGGGGGCATTTATGGTTAAATGTTGTGAGGGAGTTTGTTGTCAACACGCCACTTTTTTGTCTTACCACACATCATTTCAAGACCAAAACCCCAACAAGTCCCTTCGTGGGCACAAGTTCATTTGCTGTTTTCACAATGTGGGCACTGGCCGTAAAAATAATGAGAGGGAGGCATGGGAAATAACAATGACACTGTTGCATTATTAAAACACTTTGGGCCGGGTGTACCAAAGAGGCCTCGATGTGACGCATGGAAGTCAGCACATTACATTCAGAAAACAGTGTAACACGAGAATAAGTATGTGTGGGGAAACAGAGACTGCCACTGAGGAAGACTCAGAATTTAAACCTCCAATTTCAAGGACATTGTTCCCTCTCTTTTTGTCCCCCAGACCTGCTTTCTCCTCGCCGAGCTGTGGCCGAGGGACAGCAAAACACAGAGGGAATTATGAGCTAAATAACCACTAACTCTGGATGATACCTACTCGTTTTGTGTGACTCAGACTGCTAAAGGCTCACTCAAACTAATGGTTGAACTCTGGCCTGGACTGAAGAACTGCTTAAGGATTTCATATCTCGTCCAACTTTTCCATTACATTCAATTTTTACACAACAGGGTCTGGTGGTGGAGGGTGATATCTACAGTAACCAGGAACTACTGCAATACACAACTTTGACATAGGAAGATTATTTAAACAAAGACTTCATTATGTTGGAATCTGTTGCTGAAAGCTTGGATATTGATGTATCTGGTATATTATAAGCTTTCATTATAAGATCTTTATCATCTGACTCACTTTTCCAGAAACTGTGTGTCATGGAAGTAGATTCAGCAGTGCCAGATATTGCTCTCTTGGTATGGTTAACTAGATGACAACAGTTACCTCTAAATACTGAGGTGAGCGTGTAGAGAATATGTCCTTGGATTACTATGATTGCTTGGCTAATGCTAATGTTACCAACCAAGCGAAAGTCCAGCGTGTGAATGCCTGTCGGCTGAAACTCTAGGTTTCCTTAAATTCAAGGGTTACCTGTCATCTGGTTACTTTTTAATCTGGTCGGGTCCTCTCGTCTCGTCATACAGACTGAGTAGGAGCAGAATTTAGTCATATACGCTTGTGACTGAAAGCATATTTTAACCAAATGCCTGCATGACTTACTACACTTTCCAATCAATTATTTTCTAGTTTGAGGCATTCAAGAATCGACTTTAAGAAAAAGAGACTTTTTTTTTATTCAACCTCAGAGGAGCTGACAATTAATGCAAAACACTGTTTTTTTATTAGCTCAGTCCCAAACAGCAAAACAAAACAGATCAATTGAACAGCAATATCTGGGATATAGTGTTTTATTTGATGTCATTTTGGTCGTTATTCTAAATTATCCACTCTGTCAGCTTGACAGAACAGTGAACAGTGTCGTCTTGTACCTGCTTTTCTACTTGCTCCTCTTCCACATGTTCAACGGTACTGATATTCTTAAGTCTATCTTCTACACGGTGTCTGACTCTTTCTATGAGGCATATACTTTAACTTGCTTGATGAGAGAGGAGATAGTTATTTAAAATGTGTATTTTTTATTCATCTCTACAAACTCCAGCATCTTTTGAGATGGTATTGCTTATTCCTCCACAAGATCAGCTTATCTCCTCTCTTCTTTCTTCCTCCGTCTCTTTCCGCAGAGTGCAAAGGTTTGAAAGTAATCTGTTAAAACTTAATTTAAGGCTTCAGTCCCACAAAATTATCCGAGTGGATTTACTTCAAGTACTTTGTCATGATATAGCAGTCCTGCCTGCCAAATGCACATAAGTAATTATTTTGTGACATTCGATGATTTGGAGTAGATTTGTCCTCAGTTAGCCATCCAATGAGTTCGATGTTCAGGGGAGTGTTTTTCCAAGACTGCTGTGCAGAGTCTTCAGAGCTGGAGAACATATCTGCCCTCATTATTCTGATATGATATTGCCCTAAGACAGATCAGACAGCAGATGCTAACAACTCCACTAAGCTTGAATAACCCCTAAAATCTTTGCCCAGCCTTATTTTTCATTTCTACGTTGATAATGTTATTGCAGATATGCTTATGATGGTCTTTCTAAGTATAGAAAGTTCCCCGGGTTTGGCTCAAAGCCTAAAGGATCAACATTATCATAGTGGGCCAGAGGAGAGCTGCCCAGAAGCTTGTCCCCTGAGGCTCCTTAATGAGAGGACGGAGAAAAGAGAAGAGGAATTGAAGCACCTGAAAGCTGGCTGTTTCCAGAGTGGAGCAAAAGCCCCTGCAGTGAGCGTGTTGACATAGCCACAGGGCCTCTTCAGACAATGTCACGACCCTGTTCTGCCTCCCTGGCAGCGGACGACGTCGTTTATCCAACACGTTAGCCCTGTAGCCGTGGTTAAGGTGACTTAACACAAAATGACTCCACAGCCAAGCCGGATTCCTGAGGATACATGTTTCATCTGAGAGGATACTGGCCTCTTAGTATCCCATTTATCGTGCTGTTAACGTGACAAGACATATAGCCACCTCTGGAATCCACCACGACAAGTGTATGATGTTACTGTTCAGCATCAGGGCCAACGCAGAACATCGTAACTCTGCTGCTCTATCCCTCAGGGTCTCCAGTTTGTGAAAAACTTGTTTCTCTTAAAGGACAAAGTGACTGAAATGTTTGTCTTTGGATTACTGCAAAGTACATATGCAGTGTTTTAGCTATTTTTCATTGACAAACACTATCCGGATCCAGGGAACATCGTTGACCGTGAGAATAAGCAAAATACATGGAAACGGCATGACTGGAACATATGAAAACATGTTTTCATTCCCTTCGTTGTGGTCGGATCGTAATAGTCTGTAACCACAAGAGAAGAGAAGTATCTGGACAGTCGATGCTCATAGAGGCAGAGGAGCCGTGCTTTTCATAACAACATGTGAAAATCTTAACAGCAGTCTCCGTGTGCGGCTTTGCCCTCTTTTCATTGTAAGCCTCCGTGGCAAAGGCTTTTTGTGGTATTGACATTACAGGGCAATGAAAAGAAGCAATGTGAGTAGTGCTGACAGGGAGCAGCTTCCTATTGTGCGGAGGACTTTTAGCCAGAGCCATGTGAGCATTGGCATTATGCTATGAAGTGGAAGCGCGCAGTGCGGGATGTGGGGTAAAGCCAAGGCAAAACTTAACTTGTCTCTGGCCTTCTGTAACCTTTGCAGGAAATTATAATGCGGTAATGGAAGTGCACTCCTTTTCCAAATGAGAATATAAACAAATGATGGATAGCAATAATCTGAGCAGTCAGCAGAGCGCGTCGAAAGCCCTACACCCACATGAGCATGTCGGAACATTAAGAGAGAGAGAGGGAGAGAGAAAAAAAATGGGGAGTTGTCCAAAATGGACGATAAAAATAGCTCCTGTTCCCGAAATAGACCCACACTTTAAGTGAGATTGAAATGTTTGGACCAGAGCAGTGAAAAATTACAATAAAATAAAAAAAAGGAGTTGAGAGCTAAAGGAAAAGCAGAGTCATGCTCACCTCCATGTGCACATCTACCATGTTTGCTGTCTGAAAGACTGTGGCTTTGTGTGCGGCTGTTTGTGTATTTTTGCATGACTGTGTCTGACTCCCTCTCAGATGCTGCTCCAAAGCAGTGTTTATACCTGGCGGCTGGCGGTGGGTGCAGGTGCAGAGTTGGCCTGGGAGTCCTGTCTCCTGCTGCATCATTTCAGTTGTTGTTGTTGTTTTCAGGTCTCAGCTGCTTTTATGTTTAATTTTTTTTGTTGGCCAGACGACTGTTTATTCTGTTGTTTTAGCCCAGCAATTATTGAACACAATCTCATGAGGGGTTCATTATTGTTTGTGCAGAAACAAACAAAGAATTTTTCATATACTAAATGAACCAAGCGTGTTTAAAGGTGGCCCAAGCGTATTCATTTTTTAAAAACATATATCCAGTAAAAATAAGGGATGAACATTTCAAATTGTAAGGTCAGTGTGTTGGAGTTATCCCAGGATGACAAAACTTGCTCAGTTTTTGATACTGGTAGATAAACTCAATGTAATACTTTGTCTCTATTTTTTACTCTCTAGGTCGTCCTCAGACAAGCCTTCTATCGTCGCTTCCAGTCATCCCGATTCTCCATACATCTCTCCAGTTCGTTGGTACTCTGAGCTCCTGCGTCCTTCTTGAGTATGTCCACGTATGTTAGTGTAGGACGTCCTCTTGACCGATGGCCATTTGTTGGTTCCCACAGCACCAATTTGCTGGCTGGCAGTTCCCGATGCCTTCGGCAGTGTCCTGCTCGTCTCATTCTCCTTACAGCAATCTTCTCGCTCACCCTTGGTATTCCCTCGTACAGCGTTCTGTTGGTTACATGTGCGTTCTTGCTGATGTTAAGCACTGCACGCAACATCCTGGTGTAGCACCCATCTAGGGATTTCTCCAGGGTTGGCTTCAGGACTCTACTGTCGCGTAGAAGAAGTTGAGTTTGATTTGGCGGGGGAGGTTGGAGTTCCATGCACTGGTCATGCCGTTCAGGGCTCTCCATGCAAGTGCCTTCCTCACTTTTAGATCTAGCCAACCTTGGCCCTATTTTTTACCATAGACTGTATATACTATGGACAACTTGGCTCCGCCTTCCGTCATTATACGAATTTGAAGCCGAATTGCTCTCGGTATTTCTGGGATTTTCAACCAGTCTTACAACAACTAAATGTCGACATCACAAGCACTGAGGGAGAAAAATTATATTCTGTGTGATTAATTTCTAGAGTTTGTTAACGATTCTATAGAGATCACTGGAGGAGGTAGGATTTATAACCTATAGTGCCGCCTGTCACCAGAGAGCGCACCCAGCGAGGAGATACACTGGGTCTATACAGTCTATGTTTGTTACTGGGGATTTTCTCAGGTCCTAAAATCTCTGAATCAAATTCAGAACCAAATAAATGGCCATATTTCATAATTTGTTATTCCAAACAGAGGAACCGCTGTTAATGTAATAGAGGAATCTTATTAGCATGGCAACAGTGGAGAAAGCCTCTAGAAAACTAAACGAGAAAACTCTGATACAGCCCCAGGAACACATCATCTATGGAGGAAACGTCCTTATTTGTCAGGGTCGGGCCTCGTCTTTATGGTCCACTCAATCAAACTGATGTGATGAGAGATGACGTAAGCGCTTCTAAGATTTCTCCCGATGAGGATCTGCTGCTGGTGTTATTGATAGAACTGTAATAATCCTTCAACACCATGTCTTTGTTGGATTTGTGACTTTCTAACTCATTGGTTGAATCAAGGCAGCTAATAGCATGTGAGGAGGGTCACTCTTTAAATGGCTGCATGAATGAATGGATGTTTTGACCACAGAGCTAAGGTGAGTGGAAACACGAGTACACTTGTCCTGCTCTATGACAAACGATGACAACAACAGGCCACGGGGGTCAGTGGTATCCTCCCCTCAGAGCCCCGTCACACCTCTCACAACCAGCCCACTCACCTTGGTGTGACCTGGTTATTGTGTACTATTTGGAAGCTGAATGTTTAAGCCGTGTCAGCTGGCCTAAATAATGCCATCACCTGAACAAGCAGGACTGAGCGGAGAGATGGGGGGATTAGCCAGCGTGCTGGCTGCTCGCTGTCTCGCCTGCTGAAGGGCAGATGGAAATTACTTGGAAAAGCAATCCTTTTATCACCAATGTCAATATTAATATTAATCACCCAGGGAACAATTCTGCGAGCAAAACTTGGAAAAAAACACAATGGAAAAAAAAAAGCCAAACATACACTTATGGAAAGACAAACACAAAAAGGTACATAAACAGGGATTTGTGGCCAACATGACAGTCACAGAGGGGATGGAGGTCAGCCAAGGGTTCACCTAGAGAGGCTGTCAGCAAACTAAACCCCGGCATCAAGTCCACTAGTACTGTCGAAATCAGGAGTTAAAATCATTTTAAAGCAGAGTTTAAAAAAATAGAAGACTGTAAGTTTGAGAACTTTAACAGACATCAGTGATGTTGTAACGTACGTTTTCTGTTCATGTACAATATCTGTGATGTGATCTGACTATTATCTGTTATTTGTTCTGCTTTATTACTTCAGTCTGTCTTGAAAGCATCAGCAGAGAAGGTGGAGAGGATCATTTGTGTGCATTACACAGAAACGTTTAAATTACTTGGAAACAGTAAAAGTGCTGTTGTAGTGACAAATGCAATCAGTCTTGATAATAACAACACAAAATCTGTGAATGAAATGCATCCTTTAAATCTACAGATGTAGGGCCACACTAATGCACGTTCTAATTGAATGTCTTCTGTCAAATAAGGGAAAACATTTCAGACTGTTTGGTGTTTTCTTGTTGGATCGCTTCCATACATCTGATGTATGGCTGTAAATACTGGGTATCCTTAACAGCAGGAGAAAGGGAAAGTCACTCCTGGAGCTTCAACAGCAGGGGAGTTACATGAGGACTTTGGGCCTATTTTCACTCTCAAGCTTTTAGCATTAAAGAAATACATGTGCTAGACTTTTAAGCTATCAATTAACTAAAAGACTACATCTCAAGCACAGCCGAGTTAAAAATGGTATGTAACTGTTTTTATTCACAGTTCTCAGTTCCAAAGTTTAGGAGCAACAACTTTAAACACAGTCTCCTTTACTTTGAGTCTAGAAACAATCAGCAAACCCTGACTGGAAGAACTCAAGAGTCCGGCTGGAGTTATACGGCTTCAGCAGCTCTCTAATATAAGCTGGAGCTTAACCGTGCTACACTCTGTGCACAGTCACAAGAGTTTGAAACTGGATTCTAACTGTAACAGGAAGCCAAAGACCTCAGGGCGGGTTCAACATGAGGCCGTCTGGATGATTCTGTCAGAAGCTCAGCAAAAGCATTTTGAACCATTTACAGGTGGCTCAATGAAGTGATACCGAGACTGGTAAATAAAGAATTCCAATAATCTAAGTGAGACGAAACAGAAGCATGAACGATCACCAAAGACATACCAAAGATAAGATATCCCAGTGGGAGCAGACATGAGGAAAAAACAGAGGGCCTGTGATAATAACCTGTGGAACACCTCAAGGCAGGGCCCACACCAACGAAGCGTATTTAGAAGAAGTGACTAAAACTGTAATTCTGAACAACTAAGAAAGAAGCCAGTCTAAGGCATGGCAAGTTTATTTGTAAAGCACCATTCATACACAAGGCAGTTAAAAGTGCATTATGGATGCAAGGAAATACATATAAAATAAGTAAAGAGAGATTAAAACAATTCAAATTTAAAAGGAAGTACACAATTTTAAATCAAAAAGACATAAAATGATTTAAAATCAACAAGACAAACAGATGTTTTTTGTCTGTTTCATGTTTGGCCTGATTATTTATGAAAACAGTTGTTTCCCAGAAAAACAAAATAAGTCATAAGCTTTCAGACCTGGGGCTCCCCAGATGGTAATTAGTGTCTATCTCAGACGGTGTTGATTTTTTTGGTAGTCTGTCTGGAACGATGTTAGTTGTACTAGTTTTCCTCTCGTCTGTCTCAGACGGTAATTTTTCATTGGTCTTATTTCTCAGACAGTATTATTTTTTTCTTCGTCTATCTCGGACAGTGTTACGTTTTTTGTTGTCCATCTTGGACAGTGTTAGTTGTACTAGTTTTCCCTCATCTTTCTCAGACGGTGATGTTTTTTTTTTTGTCTTATTTCTTGGACAGTATTAGTTTTTTCTTCGTCTATCTCGGACGGTGTTAGTTTCCTCGTTGTCCATCTTGGATGGTTTTAGTTTTCTCTTCGTCTAACTCAGACGGTATTAGTTTTCTCTTCGGAGCTCCGGAGCCTTTCACCTGTTTTTCCCATTTCATTAGTTGGGCATTAGTCTAATGCTCTTCCAGAGACACCCATCTACTGTCTGAGCTGCTGAATTAACAGACTGTGCTCCACAGTATTAAAGACTGTGCTGAGGTCCAAAGGACCAGTACAGAACACTCCCATGTATCAACATGCATCAACAGATTATCCATGACCCTGAGTAGAGCTGAATGTTTCAGATGGAGGCCAGTGTGAACTTTATCTAAAATATCCTCCTCATCCAGACTGCCAAAACCAAACCGCCCCCGAGGGACAAATAAAGCTGTCTGATCTGAACTGAACTGAGAACTGATGTGAGCTTCTGTACAACCCCTTTTTATTTTTTTATTTTTTTTTACTCCCTTCAAAACAAAAGGCAATTTAATTATAGGTCTGTAGTTTTCAGGGAGTGAAGGGTCAAGATTGGATTTTCCCAAGAGTTGTTGAACAGCAGTGGGTTTGAAAAAGGACAAGGCAAGACCAGATGTGAAAGAGTCTATGATTATAAAGAAGTGATGTGGGCCAATGGGGTAAATTCATTTTTGATGTTTTTAAACCACCAACTTGTCTGATACATTCTTATGGTAGAAGGTGAAAGAAAATTCAAGAAATGGAGGTCAGGAGAAACAAGGATATGGAAGATAAAATAAATGAACAAGTTTGTTCATATGTTATAGGAAATGGGGAATTTGGTTCACATCTTACACAAGTGTGCTTTCAGGAGCTTTCAGCACAATCCGTCATCAGAAGCAAAACTCAAACCACAGAGTTTTTTTCTGGTAAAGGTGATTAAAAAGAAAATAAGTTTCAGAGAAAATTCCTTTGTGAATAATTCTCAGGGGAGCTCTTTAATGAAATAATCCAAACTCTGATTTTACTATGAAAATCTAGCCTTAAACTTTATTGTATTTACCAACTCTGATTCGCCATCTGCCTTCATAGCTTGTGAGTACTATGGTATAAGCAGATTAAATTATATTTGTTGTAGATTGAATCAGAGATGCCCATAAATTCATGGCGTCTCCAGGGACCGTATTACTTGACCTGATAGCGTTTTAAAGCAATCATGGCTGCTGCACGAAAACATCTGACACTGTCTTCTTTATGGCTCACTTCTCTAAAACAGTTTCATCTGTTAAGCTGCAAATAACAGAAAAGAAAAGAGTAAACACAAAGATTAACTCAATACTATAGTTTGCATTTTCTCTGACTACAGCTGATGATTGTTATTAGTGCTTAATGTCCTTTAAAGTGCTAGCGACAAAAGTTACAGGCCTGTATAACTGTTATTTTCTTCTCATGAATTAATCTTTAAGTACAGTAGAACACATGCTTTATATATAACACTGATTCGTCAGTAGAAGACTTGTAAAATAAAGTCTCAGGAAATGCTTGCTGACAAACGACTTCCTGACCCACTTTACAAAGAGCAGAGTGACGACAAAACCTCCCCAGAAAAGGCAATTTACACAAGATTGAGTGTAAATCTCCTGTATCATTACAACGTCTCAAATCTACCAAACCACACAGATATCTGATCAGATGAAGTTTTTTTTTAAAGAAAATCATTTTTATCCAATATAAATCTATCATCTTGTTTCTTTTACTTGCTTCTGTAATTTAACTTGATTCCTTAATGATCTCTCTATCATACAAAAGGTTGATTGTCTGAAATTAGAAACACTTACGGGCATGACATGATGCACGGTACAGACAGACACTTCCTTTGTAACTACATCCGAGTATCCCTGTGAAATTAAAAAAGTGAATATAAAGGCAGTGGCTTCTGGCTCCAAACTTAATCCAGATATAAAATCAGTGTAAAATCCCTTTTGGTGCAGCCCAGCCATAGCTTGTATTTTAAAGCCTTCTTAGATGCCAATACGGAGGAGGTTTGGCAAAACTCTTGCCTGGTGTGACTTTGCTATGCTGATTGAATCAGATACAAACAAATGGTCTCAGCTAAATCTGTTTTGTAGTGATTAAAGTCCTGGGCCAGGTATACTCCCAGCTCCTCCACAGTGCTTAGCTTTTCGTTCTTGGAAACAGACTTTAGTGCATGAAGTGAGAAAACAAGGACGCTGCAAAAACATTGTTTTGGCATGTTACATTGATCCTTCCACGAGCTGAGAGAGGGGAGGCGGGATGTGGAGTCGAACTACTGGGAAATATCTCTCGGATATCTGGCAGTAGGGAAATAAATGTAATCTCTCCTTGTTATAATCTTTGTCTGGACTAGTGTGAATTTGAGATAATGTCAGCAGGAAGAAGCAGAGTAAAAGCATGCTTTCTGCAAATAATACATGCTTCAGACCAGCCTTTTACTGTTATTGTCAGGCAAGGAAGTGACATTATCTGAAGGTCCAACGGCAGATGAGGGAAAAAAAGCACGAGGCAAGGAAATTGATGAGGAAGGAAGAGTAGGATGCACAGTCATGTTGGACGTCATTTTACATCTACAGTGTATCAATGCTGTCCATGAGCTAAAACCAGTTTACCTACACAGACTTTAAGGCATATTGCAATGAGTTTAACAAAAAAATATCAAGAGGACTTTTAAAGGGACGGTGCTCCTTTTTCCATAGTTTTTTGTCAAGTGTAAATGTGGCCCCCATGTTGAGAACCTCAAGAAAAACAAAACTATCATTTCAGTCAGATTCTACATTAAAATGCTCACCCCTCCCTTCCTTAAAGCTATGGTGGCTCTCTGGGGACAAGAAGCTCTTATAATGTATGATATATGCAATATTTTGAACCTGCCATAAGATCAAAGTATTAAAATAGTCAATCATTACAAATTCTTTAGTGCACAACAACTACAACTGTCTTGAAACTCTCATAAAATATAAAAAAGTGTATGCTCTAGAAGTAAAAAAAATAAAAAATATATTTATATCAGTTTATTTGAGACAAAGTTGTGATTCTTATTTTTTTTTCCATCACTAAAAAGTCTATTTCACCAAATTTAGCTGAAAACTACATACTGTCCCTTTAAGGAAATTTAGATGTTTGGGCAGAATTGGCTCATGTCCTTATTCAGCCGAGCTTTCTTGTTCCAAAGGAGGGAATACTTAGAATAAATTATAGAGCCATAAACATGTTTTACTGTGTGTGAAAAGCTGGTATTTCAGTGTTAAATGGAGCCATCTCTATACTCCTCCACATGCTAAGTACCCTGCATGTAGCAGGCTGATTTTTGTCACTTCATTATTCCTTTTGGGTTCCTTTTCAAAGTGCATATTGCGGCTGTGATTCTCTTTCTGGTTCATAACACCAACTAGATCAGGCTCAGACTCATGCCTAATTCTATTAGTCATTCCAGCCCTCTGAGGGGGAACTAGTGTGATAAAAAAGAGGGCAGAAATACTGGATCCTTATCCCTCTGTGGGTGTTGGCACAACTCTAAACTTCCTCATACTTACTCCTCATTTTGTCTTTGTCTCAGAGGGTTCTTTTGGTCCCTCTATTTTTCCTTCACACACTGGTAGAAACACACACACACACACACACACACACACACACACACACACACACACACACACACACACACACACACACCCTTTTTAACATTGTTAAAAGTAAGCGATGAAATGATTCTGGAGGGCCAACATGTTTCCCATTTCCTGAATTTGTTACCGCTGCTGTTGTTGTTACAAGTTCAATGTCTTCCCCTGTCCCCTCTCTTTGGCGTCTGTCGGCTGCCGCTGTGCCTGCAGGACACCAGAGGAGATGACTGGCATCCCCAATGAGGAGGGAAGCAGTGCTCGCCTTCACGCTCCAGCTCCTGCGTGCCTGAAGAGACGACAGCGAGGGGGAAAGGTGTAGGTTGACAGCCAGAAACAGCTTTTGCATTTACGCAACCGCATGAACTCATTTTAACAAAGACGTATGCAGGATGCACATTTGTGGAGACAAACGGGGGCTGGATGTAATGGCAGCAGCACAGGCGAGGAGGCAGGGCGGACAGAAACAACTCCTCAGACTATTATAGAGTAGGATAAACACCACCTGGGATATCTTGATAAAAATAGACAAATGCATAAAAACGCCCTTTAAAAAATAACAATAATTCAAGAATATAAGAGAAAGATTGGTTTGAAATGCCTCTGGGAATAGTTTGGTCTGTTCTTGATAAAGAGTCCTATTTTCACCGTGAACCCCCCTCATTTTGTAGCACAACACCTTTTCTGAACATTATCTCACTTATTTTCTCCCACTGCGTCTCCTCCAGTTTTCTCAGCCTGTTCCTCGGCGTGTTTCCCTGCTTCACTTGCTACGCCGATGTGGAAAAAAAGATTTGATATGTTAGGAAGTATCGCATGTGATAATTAACCGTAAACCTGTTGGTCAGTGACTTTCTGGGCTGTTAGATGTAAAGATGAAAATGGTTCATTTCTTGCACATTTTACAAAGTCACTCTCTTTAGCATTGGATATATACTGAAATATAAATGTTCAAAGGTATTTCTGAGTTGGGTGAAAATCTTAGTTTCCAGATTTTGAGATCCCATTCATCTATTTACAATGATGCCAGTTATGCTTTAACATGCTACTCTATTAAGTCCACTTTTTTCAGTAATCTAACGTGTTTCTATTTCCAAACCAGTAATTAGATTTAAGTTACATTACCAAGTCACTGTGTGCATTACTTTTTACTCATTTTCCTCAAAAATAAAAACGATAGATTTGTTTTTGTCTAGGGGGAGTGATGTCAGTTATGTAGGCGACAAGTCATGTTTTCAGCACGAGGACCACTCATGTGTACTAATAGCAGCCGTAGCAAAACAAACATAACCAACAATGGAGGGAGGAGAGAGGTGCACGGAAATACAGCCACTATTTTAAAGACTGTCTTTACTTTATATTTAAAAAATGTGAATGTAACTTAAAAAGTAACTTGTTATCTTACATTAGGAACTTGTAAAATCAAGTAATCGGTAAAGTAACTAAGTTACTTTTTAAAGGCGTAGTCCATAATCAGTAATCAAATTACTTTTTAAGAGTAACTGTGGCAACACTATCTATTTAAGCAAACCGTATTCTTACCTCAGCAATTTAATGGAATTTGGAAAAAAAAAAAAGGCTTTAAGAAGGAGCACTCTCGGAGCGTCTTCAGACACGGCTATGTCAGCTTCTGCAAATGGAGAATTATACGCAGTCCCAATCTCATCAATGTGAAACAAATGAGAGGTTTACTCACGTTAGCGAGCGCATTTGGGATGATAGCATGTTTCAGAAAAGGACAAAGAAATGACAGATGTTACGAATTGTCTGCTCTGGATTCGTCCGTAAGTACACATGGTCATTCTGAGTCATTTACAACAACGTTAATTGTTTGTCTTGACGGGATACCAAGTCTCTGAATACGTTGCTCACTAGTTTCTGGGTATTTATTCTTAATGTAATGGATAAAATCTCAGCAAAAACAAAAGTTGCTTTTGTGGACTGTATCTTCTATAAGACAACCTTTCCTTTTTTTTAGGTGTCACTTCAATATCCGCCTTTTCAGTGTATATTAAAGCTCATATTACTGAACTCACAACCTACATGAAGACATCAAACTCGGCATCCATGGTCTAAATCCTGCAAGGAAGTTTTTTCAAACAGCATTTTTCTTCGTCCTTGACACCTCTACCGTTTATGCTTAAAGAAATGAAATTGTACAAATGTGTTTAGTGTGACCTTCTCGAGCAGGTTTCAGGATCTGCAAACTGAATTGTAAATTCAGTAAAAATAAATAGATATACTGAGGTGACGGGAAAATAGAGGAGCAAAGAAATACCTCGGCTCCAAATGCAGGACAGAGCCTGTACAGTTATATTTCTATCAGTTCTGGGGGTGACATTTTCAGTCTCTGCTTTAAACTGTTGGGCATCTGAAGCTCTCGGTCCTCTCTTCAAATGGCTCAGCTGATTATCCAAAATGAATAAAAGACTAAGATTGGCATTTCAAATTGATGGAGACAAAAACAACACCAAATTATTTCAATCTCTCCATGTAATTGGTACCAACTGGGCTCTCATTACAAGTGCACTGTGGACCTCTGTGTAACCATAAAGAGAGATGCCAGATTTCACAGCTTTGAGATTTGTTTCCAAGGTGAATATGAATACATGCACAAGTGTTCTGTCAGTAAATGAACAGATTGGTCGTGCCTGATCCAGCATGTGGACCGCCTGAGCTGGTGGGTGAATCTTGCACTGCTTTGTAGACAACATGGTGACACATAATCAAAGCTTGAGCTGTTTGGTGAGTCAAATAACTGTAGCTATGTGGAGTCAAATGATGTTCTCCTGCATGTGCACAGTCAAACTCAATGCTAACTTTGAGAAAAATCAAAGTTGTCTCTGCTGCCTCAAACAGAGATTTACAAACTAAACACAAAGAAATAGAAACTGAGATAATTAAAAAACAAGCAGAAAAACTTTCTCTTTGGTCAGTGCGTTTATGCGCTCACACTCAGGCACATCACAACTTCAAATCCAAGCATAATTAAATTAAACGTGTGTCATGACAGTTTTAATGAAATGCGTCTAGTTTTTCATTAAAACAGGAAAACAGAGAGAGAATAAATAAGTGAGCTGTTGTTGTTTTTCATGGTTTTCGGCTGGTCTGTTGTGAATACAACACGTTAGATGATGGATGGTTTGAATTTCAACAAAATATTTTGTCTTCATCATTGAATCTTACTGTCTGTGAGAGTTTTTCATCAGTAAGGCAAAGAATTTACCTTTTTTTTAATTATATGCATAAAACAGATGAATCCTCGTCATTTTAAAAGGCTTTCATTTTCAGCAGTGAATCTTAGTCGCTTTTGGTGATCTCCTAAATTGTTGTCACAGCTGACTTCTTTATCCCAACTATAATTTTTCTTCAGGGGGCACCAAAATTGACACTAACCAGATGTTCCTCATCTGAGCTACAGGTCCAGGTACTTGAAAGGGAAAAACTCAATTCTGAACGCCTCAAAGTAACTGCTCGATTTGAATGAAGGACAACAGCTTAGTCTTATCATATCTCTTTATTCTCTCTTGTTTCCACGCGAGTTTAACCTACAATTCCAATGACCAAAATAGGTAAACCACTATCACTGTATCTAAGGGTTACATTTCAGTCCAAACACAATGTTGACCTATTATTACCATTAGTGTATCAGTGCAACACTATGTACATTGTTAAACGATGTGGCTGTATAAGCGTTCTCAAAAAAGACCCATGCAGTGGAGACTTGCATGTATGACTCACTGGTAATTTAGTGACCTTTATTTTTCCTGTGCATCATCTGGCTCATTAAATCTGTATGAGTCAGCAGAATGTGAATGTGCTTCTTATAGCATTACAGTTAAATGGAGGCGCAATACTTTTTTTTTTACAACTGTTTTTGTTGCTGCTTTTTTCTGTAACTCTTCATAGAAGGATCCTATAAGGACACAAATTATGAAAAATTAGAAAAAATAAGATCAGGTGTAGACAACATCAGCCATTGGGCCTCATAGAAAAATTCACCTTGTGCATCATGTATTCACAACTCTTCAGTCCCTCTCTTTTTCAATCATGTGCAATTTCCACCTTAATAGAGCAAAAGAAGAGTCAAAGATTGGTGAAGAATAAACCTTAGACTTCTCTTATGAACTGACTTAAGAAGAAATTTGAGTCTCAGTAAATGAACTCTTTAGAAAGTAAAGGAAAGAAATGTGAAGTTTTTGTTTTCCCCATATAAAATACATTTTAACGACCGTGTTGCAGTCACTAGTAAAAGTAGACCATCGAATACTTGCAGGCCTGGAAAGTTTCAAGGTTTCTTTGAAGAGAAAGAATTTTGATCTGAGGCAGGAAACAACATTGAAAACTGATTGGATATTTCTCTGAGAGCATTCACCGCACCAACCATTGATGCTGCGTGAGAGTGAGGTCTGGCTCGTAGTTTGCATTCCAGTTTTTCTCAGTTCAACACTTTTTGAACCCTCTTAAACCTGTTGAGTGGAGAAAGACCAACCTCAACCAAAACACACCCCTAATCAAAAGTTATATAAGCTAAAAACAGGGCTAAGATATACTGGACCTGATCTACTAAGGTTAACTAGCTAAACACACTAAATTGCATGTGCAAACTGAAAAATTGCAAGTGCTATTAGTGGGCATGTTGTTGGTGATCTACTATCATTGCATGCGCAGTTGATGACAGGTGCAAAAGTGGAGCAGATCGCCCTCTTTAAACGAGGATTTTGCAGCACCATCGGCTGTCACCATTGAGAGTTTGTGAGAGCAGAGTGATTGTAGATTTAAAAATGAAGTTTGAAACCATGGAGTTGCACATATCATTTTGGGGATCTGCATGAAAGGCAAGGAAAGTTTATTTGTAAAGCAATATTTATACACAAGGCGATGAAAAATGCATTACAGATGCAAGAAAATATTAAAACAATTTAAAATCAATAAGAAAAACAGATATTTTTTTAATCGTCTGTTTTGTGTTTTGACCTTATCATTTATGAAAACCATCATTTACCAGAAAAACAAAATAAATCACAAGCTTTTAGACAAGGAGCTTCACAGCAGTCAGCCCCAGTCTCCAAGACTTGACTGTCCCTAAGACCTGCCATGTTTCTTAATAGGAGATATTGCATGGATTGCATGGATCGTATGGCATGAATAGGCAGTTTGCACGTGCCTTTCAAACGTGCTAAATATAGACGCAAAACAGCGACCGCAAATCGGTTTTTCAGATTTGATACATCACATTGCGGGTGCTAAATGATTCCATTTGCATCTGCTCCTCCCAGTATTTAGCAAATTCTGATGATCTGCATACATTCTGCATATTCATGAAGGCAAACACGCTAAATGGATTGGGCATGCTGTTTTTGTTCATTTGACAGACGCAATCCTCGGTGCACCCTGTTAGTAGATCAGCTTTGCGTGCGCTATCACGTGTTTTTGCACGTGCAAACCTTTAGTAGATAAGGCCCATTATGTTCCCATTACAGTTATAACCAACCACCAACCTACCACTAAATATTACAATTATTATTACCCCCCCACCCCCTTAGTATGAATAAGCTATTAAAGGGTCATTGATGGACTCCAATATGTGCAAAATGCAACCTACTTGAACCCACATTGTCCTTTTTTGTAAATATATATATTTATAATGAACAATGTCACTTTATTTCAACTCATTATGAGATATGGAGACATGGAACCACCTCAGTGGTGCCAACACACTGCACTAGTTCAGCCAAGGTGTTGCCAATCGTGACATGGCTGGTCGAGTCACAGGACCGACGTCACAGCCTTTCTACTGACCAGAACACACATTTAACATCCCAACAAAATGTCAAAGATTCCTCAAGTGGGCGCCATCCACACAGAACACATTCTTGTGTTGTGCTGAAGCAAACATGCATGACTTTGGAAAGTTTAATGGCCCTTATGTTGGTGTTTGCTACCATAACTCCTGTACTCTGCAAATACAGAAAGCTGCAGGAGCCCAGTCTTGTCAACAGAGTATCGAATTAATCAGTAACTAGTGACTAATCTGAATCAACCAGCAGAAACCACGGTCAGCTGGTTGTTGCTAATAGGTTATAATTTTAGTGTTAATTGAATCACAAATATTAAAGTTTCATGTCCTCAGAATGTTGAAGCCTTGCTCAGCTTAATTTATCCGATGGGAGTCAGAATTGTCATGTTCTCCTTTAAAACAGGAGTTATAAGACATGAACCTCTTCTGTCCTCTTCTGGTCATCTCCATTGGCTACACTCTATTCCTGATCCTGACTGTACTGTGTGTATACCTGCAACTATTGGCAAGCATTCTCGATTGGGAGTTGGAGAGAGGAAGAGAAAAGTTCATCTTTTTTTTATGTGAAACAACATCATAGAGCATGATGTGACAGAACATGCTAGCACACAGAGTTTAGAGTTCCAGAGTCAGAATAAATATGGACTCTTTAGGTGGTCACAGTGATGGGGGTGGAAGGTTTGTTCCTGTCAGAGTGCATAAGAGTAAGAAATGGATAAGGACTAACCGAGACATGCAGTGTTAAAGAAGATATCTGTGAGTGACAGTCACTTAGTTGAAAGTGGGAAAAGGAGGCTGACCTTTATGTGAAGAAAGGTGTCAGCTCCAGGAGGGGCAGGAAAGGGGAAGGTGTCTCCTCCGCTTCACTGACTTCCTCTCCCCTGGACAAGAAAACGGTCGGCCATCTTCCAAGAGGACTCCCTTTCACTGTTGCACTCAATCTCCTTTTATCTCTCTGCCTATCTGCCACCTCTCTCCCCCTTCACTCTTTCTGTATGCAACGTCTCCCAACTCCTTCTTTCCAGCCCCCACCTTCTCCTCTGTCTCTCTGTCAGCAGCCGTTAAATCAGATAGATTGCAGGTGTGTTTTCACTGTGGAGGAGGATTCACTGCTGCTGAATGCCTACAGCCCCTCAGCATGACGCAGCATCTCTCCCAATTTACTATGCTGTAATTTATCCACAAACCTCCAACATACTTAAACAGCATTTATACATGCGAGGCGTATAGAGATCGTATTTGTCATAGACCCCTACCTCTGCATTAATTCTGAGGTGTGATTAACTACAAATGCGGTATATGAAGTCAAGCAATAAACTGCCCAGCTTCACTCACGGCCCATACGGCGATGGCGGTATTACTCAAGCAACCAACCTGTGATTATTCTGCATTCGTTTACCCCAGGCATTTTAGCATGGGACTAGATGTATTCACGCTGAATACAATTTTCCATCTCCCCTGCTGTGTTTTCAGGCATATTTTCGACCCTGTATCCTTAAACTGGCAGCTGCTATCAGTAAATGGCGCCAACCCCTCTCTGCAGGTGAAAATGACTGCCTGGAAAGCTTTGCACCGGCCGCAGCCCTTTCCCAAGTTGGTAGTTAAAAAAACCATGTTGACCTATACGTGGCCTCAGGACTGTATATCTTAGCCAGAACAGCACACAGGAAATAATCCCCACAGTTTTGAATTATGATGTGTCCCAAGGTCCCTAAATGGATTTTCTGAGGAGCAGTGCAAGTCTGTAGATGCCGGACGTCTGCCTATTTTGCTTTGTTGGTGTTTTTTTTCCCCCCTCCGTTCATTGATTTTAATATTATCCAGACTTCTATAATCCCACTTATACAATTAGATTTATCTTCACTCTTCCAATGGTTCAGAGCAGATCAGACTAATTGAGTCTCTATTGACAGGTCTCAATTAATTGGACGAAGCCCTGGATTCTAAATGGAGTAAATTCATTAATAACCGACTCTATACCGATGATACCGCAGTGATGGATGACTGAGGTTTGGCCTTTTAATATCACAACAGTAAACAATCTGCTGGATACTATCATGACATTTCCAAAGCAAGCCTTTTGTCATTTTCAAAGTGCCTGCCTGTGTGTGCAGGGTTCCATATGAGACAATCGCTGTCCTGGCTCTGTCCTCACAAGCTCTCAAAGGTCAGCCTGGACACTACCAAGTGCTCTAATCATATTCTGCTGAAAAAAAAACACGTCTAGGGAGCACAAGTTCAACAACATTATGAGTGCTGCTGCACATTGAGTTTGTCTGCACTGGGGTTTGGCTTCAGTCTAAAATATGTTTGTTTTCTGTGTACCTTCTTCTGCCTCAGATGTGCGCCTGTGTGTTTTTCACATACTTTTATACCCGAGCTCTCACAAAGAGTATGGGAAGTTTTCAAACAGAAAGTACTGACTGTCCTCCATCTCAGATATTTTATGTTAAAACATCCTGTGTTTCCCAGCCCCCCCCCGGAGATATCGCAAAATCATGTGCACAATTTAAGAAAACAGACAAAAGAGACAAGGCGAAATAAAAGAAATCAATACAGAACGCTTCAAAGAGGGCAGCGAGAGGAAAAAAGAAGCAAACACTCAAAACAAGTTAAAAGTTTGAGTGGGATTTACTATAATCTTCTTCTTCTTGACAGTTTTTGAGACCTGGGGCAAACATTTCCTCAATGACACTTGAAAATACCTTTTATTTGCTTTTTCACTTCAGTCTAAATTGCTAAGCTTTGTCCTCACACAACATAAAGTATGACAACAGAAATTTTAAAGACCACTTCCAACCCACTTTCTTGTCTAAATAAATGAATAAATTAGACTCAGGTGACTGAATATAAGCCTGGCTGGACGAGGCAAAAATAGAAGCCCTCAAATTTTGATCAGATTAATCTTCTCTGAAAAAATGTGAGGTTTAGTAATAAACTGTTCTTGTAATTTCTTGTAGTAACAGTATCAACTGTGGTATAAATTTAAAGCAGAGGAGAGATTTAACTACTTAGTTCATACAAATCAGTGAGGAGTCATAATGTGACAGAGCGCACTCATAAATGTTGATCTTTGCTTTACCTTCAATTTACTTATGTTTTTTGTACCTTAGCTTCCCTGCCACACTCCTCTTGTCTGTACAACTGTGCAGTGTAAACCTTGTCCAACGCTGTAAGACTGTCAATAAAGAAACATTTAAAAAAAAATTATACTCTTATCTTTTTTCTTTATCATTAATGGTGATGATTGTGAGGGTGATTATTATTATTTATAATAATGATAATAATGATTATGATTATTATTATTCCCAATTAAATAATAATAATAATAATAATAATAATAATAATAATAATTGTATTATTATTATTATTATCATTATTCCCAATTAAATAATAATAATAATAATAATAATTGTATTATTATTATTATCATTATTCCCAATTAAATAATGATGATAATAATAATAATAATTGTATTATTATTATTATCATTATTTCCAATTAAATAATGATGATAATAATAATAATAATAATAATAATAGTAATAATTATGATGATGATGATGATTATTATTAATAATAATAATAATAATAATAAATATTATTATTATTATTATAAATAATAATATTATCATTATTATTAGATAAAAATACAGTAAACATACATACATTTAAAACATTCAGTTTACAACAAAAAACTGTTATTAGAAATCTATACAGTATTTTATTGGATCACTGCTGCCAGTAAATCTGTAATTTTTACAGTGCATAGTCAGTTGTATTAGCTGATAAATTTTAGATTCTTTGCAAATATCGGGGTATTTTCATGAAAACTCATCAGACTTAACACTCTCCACTTTCTTAGGGTGCACATCTCAACATTTTACCCAGAGACTTCCATGATTTGATCAGAAGAGGGAAGAGGGTGGATAGCGCGATCCAGCCTAGAAGGAGACATGGCAGGTTCAGCCAGCTTTAATGATAAAAAATAACTCAATTGGTGGTTTCACCCCCTCTGTGTGGTAGACATTAGCATTCTTTCCCCCCAAGATAAACCATTTTAGCTTGAAAGTGTGTTATCAATCCAGGCCTTTCACAGGGAGTGGTGGTTGGTCATGGTTTATTGAACGAAACCATTTTGTGTCTAAACCATCAAGCGACTTCCTTGTGAGATTTTTCTTCTTCTTTTTTTTTTTTCTTGCAGCTTTCATTCCTTACATCGAGGTGGAAGCAAAGGTGACCCTACCTCAGTCTGAAGCACTTTTCCCTGTAGCTCTCTGCTGCCACATGGGCCATCAGAAAGCCAGGTTCAATCCACTTTTCTAAATTGCTACCATTTAATGGAACACCTTGACCTGACTTCCCTTTCTGCCAAAAATAAATAAAGAAGGTGTTGGTTTAAATGAGGCTTTTCAACTTCGGTGATACCTGTTGAAAATTGAACATAGCAGATGCCACTTTCACCGAATTGCTTGACAGGATTCTACATCCAATAATTCTTCATCGGGCTCAACATGGTGCGATATAGAAGAGAAAACAAATACTGTCAGCAGTTTATGTCTAACAGGCATTTAACAGAGAGAGTACAATTCCAAAAGTCTAACATGCATAAAAAAGGAAATGTACTATACGTCAAAAAATAGGTTTTTGTTTGGAGGCATTTGCACACCTTAGATGTCACAAGCTGGTCCAGCAGAATGAGCCACGGCTGGATCTCAGTCCCAGAGAAAAGGCTTGATTCTTCACTTTAGCTTCATCCCTGGTGGGTGGACAAGCAGCTTGTTGAATGACCTGCAGGTACAAGTGGAGGAGTAAGAAGTTCAAACAAGTAGGGCGGTGCGTTTCTGTACTAGAAAGCATAAAGAGGTTTTTCTTTTAAAATTCAGTCTTGGTTTCCATAGCAATTATCCGGTTCATCTTTGCCTGGCAAATCCTGCAAAATTCCGAGGCTGACTTTTATCTTTCCACTTGCTTGAAACTCCACATAGATACACAGTAGCTCAGTATGACTCCTTTGAGAGATCTGACACAAAGAGAGCTTTTGTAACCCGGCCTCATCTTATTCCAGTTGATTGTCATCCTCTCAGTGTGCAGTAATCCTCTCAGATCCAAGATCTTGCTCCATCAATCTGTAAGAGTACAGCCATCTTTAAGCACTGACAGTTTCAAAGTGTTTCTCTCAAGGTTTGACACCTCGGAGGGCTCTGATGAGATTTTGAATGTAACTGGCCATAAAGCGTCCCACACATTATATTAGGCCAGCTCCAATCTAATTAGCAATGACTGCTGACTTGAGTGACAACTTGTTTATGCATTGTGTGGATAAGAGAGCGCTGTTTGCCAAAACCAAGAGATGATTTAAAGTCCTCCTTCTGAGCCATTGGCTTAGTGGTCAAACAAACTTTATTGCTTATGAAATTATCCAAATAATGAGGATGCCAAAGTTCTTTCTAAACAGTTTATATAATATCCGAAATCGAATGTGAAAAAAATACAGAGTGGAGTATTACATTTGCAAAGAAAATACACCAACCAAAAGTGTTTATCAGTTTCTGTGTCCTTTGCATTCAGATTGGCCAAGGTGAACAGCAGATGTATTTAATCTCCACACTGACATCTGCTCCAAATGTTGCAAAGGATAGAAAGTAAAAGAGCAGGTTTGAACTTCCACTGGCATTCTATGCGGTCTTTTGATCTCAGCTGAAACCCCACTTGCCTGCTGGGTGGACTTCGAAGGGAAGCACCAGAAGCCCAGTGAACCTGGGCTGAAAGCCAGCCCTCGTAGGTAGCTCTATACCACATCTGAACTTTCCATCGATCCATAGAAAAACAGAGACATCAATTTGTGGTTTTAAACCTTCATGTCAAGGACAGGCACAAGAATTTCCACACGTGTTTGTGTCAAGAGAGTCCCTGAAGTTGGAGACATGGACAGACTGCATTAGAATCTTAGTAGTACGCTGAAAGGACAACAGAATAAATCACTGCTTCCCCGACAAGGACTGCAAAAATCCAATAAAAAGGTTAAAAATGTTAGATTGTAGATTCAACTTCATTAAAATGTGCCAAAGTAGTTATAGCCTGCATTCTGAAAAATCATCCGTGTCCAGTTTTTCCCCATTTCTCGTGCACTTGGATTACACAGATGAAACAGGAAGTCAAACATCAAAAACATCAGTGAGAAACTTTGCAGGCATCAATTGTACTCCAGCCTGGCTAAAGTCCTGATTGCCAGGACTGGTGATTTAGTTTGACCGGTGCTCCAATGATTGCTAGGAGGACTTGGGCTCATATACTGATGAGGCTTTTTATTATTATTCTTGTTGTTAACATTTTAATCCAAGGCCCTGATAATGTCCTCAGTAAGGGGCCGGCATGTTTGTTTGCATGGATACCCGATCACACACCATCTTGTTCAGCTGCAGTTAGAGGCAGGATGTCTAAAGTGAGATGCCTCAAGTGTAATGTTGATTTTTCACTAAAGTAAGTAAGGGCACTGCACTGAAGGGGGGATGAGGACGAGCTCAGACTGAAGTAGTCGTCTGTTTAGGGTGCACCCAGAAATGTAAGAGGGTTGCTAATTAGTCTATTTAGACCGTTGACTCTGTCAGTCATGGCGACTACAGTGACTCAGTAACTTGAACCAAGATGTTGGTTTGTTAAAATTCTGATTAATAGTCGGTTGATTGAGGGTGTTTTTAGGTTAACTGGACATACTGTAATTCCTCAACGGCAGAACACACAGCACTGTTACTTCATTATTGAAATTTCCATACACTCCTACAGAAAGAGTCTCACGTTAAAGAAATTAATGTGCTTTATACAAATCCAAAACTCTCCCACAGCACCACCAGTCCAGGTTTATACAGTGAACAGTTTGGAGTAATGCCGGCACCCTATTAACAATAATGAGGACTCAACTCGGACCAGACTGAAGCAACGGGGGTTCAATTTGAGAAAAAGCAATATTTTTGCAAGCCAGTCATTCCTTGTATTGTTTTCATTTTAAGAAGTGGTGAAAAGAAATTTGTGAAGAATAGATTATTTTACTTTAAGATCTCATTCAGCTTCATCGTTGCATACAGACAAACATTAAATCCATCACCCAAGCATCACCCAAGATGCTCTGTGAAAAAACACAGCAGGTCTGACAGAAGAACAGGTAATAGAGGGCCTTCTTCTTTATTATTTTCCTCTCTGGTCTCATCCACCTATGACGATCCTGTTAGCACCATATAATCTGTCTCAGGAGGGCACCTTTCCCGGATCCAGCCTACCAGGTTTATAGATAACTACCTTTTATTGGAGAGAACAACAGAACAAGGACAGGCTTTATTCACTATTGGAAAGCTATAAGGAGCGTGTCTCCCTGCTGTAGATGAGACACTCAAGGCCCTTAAGCCGGCACACAGAGGCTATGCGTCTAAGGAACTGCAGGTGCTCGTACTCAAGCTGTTCGAATGGGAGATGCAGAATAAATATGAATAAAAAGATTCATTGCTAAATGTGTAAATATATGAATGATATACACAGTGATTGCGCCCACACTTCAATGTGATCTAGATACATATATGAGGTTTGTATGGAGGACAAAAAGAGAAAGAAATATAAATACATCTTTAAATAAATATTTAAATATGTCATTAGTCAGTAAAAATGGAAACTAAATACACAAATGTGTCATTAATTCATTAAAATACCAGTTCATTCAATGTGAAAACATATATTATTATTTTACTATTTAATTAATTATTTCATGGACCTGTGTCGCAGTGCTTCATGAATTTATTTTATCTGTCAAACTCACCCATCAAAGTCAGTGGGCGGGACTAATGCTGATCTAGTGTGAAGAGCGTCTCCAGAGGATCTGCTCCAACTTTTTATTAATATGTTTCATTCTGTTTCTTTTTGTCCTCCATAGCTGTGAGGATAGTAAATTCCCTTTAAATGCAGCACGCTTAGTCTTGTCCTGGTGGAAATGAAGGAAATAATTTAATCAGGTTTTACTTGGTTATTGATTAATTGCTTTGTGAGTATTTCCTGGAGGTTGGAGGACTCAGGAAGCCGATGATTATAGGGAATTTTTGCCAGTTTGCATTCATCTGTTGTAAAATACACCTCTTTCCAAGTAAATGTGCCTCATTGCAAAATATAAAAAATAAAAAAACTTAATTCACTAACACCTGTGCTAAAAGCTGAAGTGAACTTTTTACAGTCTGCTGAGAGCTGGTGGTATTTGCTCCAAAGTGCTCATGGACATAGTTTTACTCAAACTCTTCAGTGATGGAGACAACAGTTCCACTCCCAGAGGACCTAATCTGGATGGTACATGAACTCTGTAAATATCACTTTGACATTACTGGGAGATTAAATCAGTCTGCAGCTCAACCCTGCACATACAGGCTGCACAACCATGACAGACAGTAGTAAGGTCTGGACGATTTCATGTAGTGGAGTAACAGGTTTTACTGTGCGGGGGCCACAGCAGAGAAGGAACTGTTACCTCTGATCCCCCTCAACATACGTGTGGATGTAATGCTGCACTGTCTAAATGAGAGTGAACAGACAGGTTCTCTATAGCAGAGAGAAGGGATGCTAAAGTGAACAGAAAAACTAGTGCAACTGCACAGAGATGGCAACATAGTTCACTTTCAATCTTGCATTGCTGTAATTGTATTTGTATTTGTTTATTTAGCACAGATTAAAAACAGTGCAAGGAGGGAACGAAGCCGATAGGCTTATACAAAGGTATACATAAGGTGCAGACAACTAAGTAACATAGACAGGTTACACATGTACAATGATTAGGGAAAGGTCAAACAGGTACAAACTGCAATAAATGGAACACAGACTAATCAACAAACAGCGATAAAGACAATAAAGTATTCATAAGAGGAAAGAAACATGATCATAACAAATAATGATGCATTTAAGACATGATTAGTTGAGATTTTAATGATATTTTAAAGGAGTTAAAGGATGATATTGATTTTAGAGATGCATCCAGATTATTCTACAGTTTCTGACCTCTAAAAGTGATGCTAGACTGATGACTAGAAGTTGGACACGAAGGTAACTGAAGATGGCCATTTTGTCGTGTTGAGTACAGGTGAAGGTCGGAAGGGCTTGTTTGTTATTGATGAATTTGTGGACAAACATACAAGAGTGAAAGACACTGAGTTTGTCGATCGGTAAGATGGAGTATTTAGAAAAGAGAGGTGCAGAAGGTTCATGTTTGCTGGATGTACAGAACATGTGACTGGTGTGGTGGAGATCACGGTGAACAGAAGTTGTGACAAGTTCTGAGAGAAATATTCAGTGTCCCAGCCAATGAAGTGAAACCTGGTTTGAGGCCTGACGACTAATTTAATCCCAGACTTTATTTAAGGATTTTCAGTGTGCTGAGCACTTGGGATTGAGTATTTAGCCGCTGTTTTAACCGTATTGAAAGATCACTTCCTCTCGACTCCTGCTGTCTCAGAGAGCTTATCTTTTCAAAAGCAATGTCCCATCCACCATTATCTAGACACGGTTTTCAGTTTTCATTACAGCAACTTTCTATCAGACAAAAAGTCCAATTCACTGTGGAAGTTTATGTGTATAAATAAAACTATTCATAGCTCCTGGATCAGGTTGGCAGCTCTGAGACAAAAGTTCAGCGCATAAAGCTGTGTGCATGTTTAGAGACCACAAGGGATGAGAATATATTTATGCATGATTTGGCCTTTTCTGACCCTCTCAAAACTCCAGCGTGTGGGAGTTTCAAGATGTCGGGAATTTTTAAAACAGTATCAGCGATTGATGACAATACAGGTACAACGCAGGCTCTTTTATGTCTGAATAATGCAGCACATTAGCATAAAACTGACTCACTCATATGTGACTTTTGCTGTGCTGCTTGTATATGAGTACTCAACATTGTTTCTTGAAGCGCTGGAAAAAGCAGGGCGCAAACATATGAGCAGTCAGGCAGAGCTGTATAATATATTTAAAGCATCATTTCCTTTGAGGGAGAACAAAACTCCAAATAAATTTTAAAGCATATTTTGTTGAATATGCTTGTTTGAATTATTGATTTCCGTTTGGTTAATTCATTTTTCAAGAGGCTCTTTTTTTCTCTGTGATGATTACAAGGCGAAATTATTTCATTAGTCATTCTTTCTGACTCATTCTTGGTACTAAAACAGTTTCAATCACCACTGAAGTGTTAGTACACTTCTGAAAGCCAAACCCAACCAAATGTCTGAATTGTAACCCACCAACACTCTCCTCACTGAATTCTTCTCCCCAACTCGACAAAAGCCTGTTTACTTCTTTTCAACATTCCTTTTGCCATTTCTCAGTGTGTTTTTTTAACGCTTGAAATTGATGAAGCACGATTTGCTGCTGTGTCAGATGGATGGTGCAGGAAATGGATCACTTGCTTTGATTAAAGCACCCCGCTTGGCTGCTTTTGCACATCATAATCTAGGAATGGATTACGCTGCAGTAATGTGGGTCACAATATTTCTCCACAGTGAAGGTAAAGCCACTTTGGTGCACAGGAAACAATACTCACAGAGAAAGATTAAGAAGAGATGAAGCCTTACACTGTGTGATTAAATTGTAAAACTGTATGGAAACTCACCACTGCCCACTAAAAGGTGATGTTCGCACTCCAACCATCCATATTACTCCCTCCTTCTGCCTCTGAATGTAAAGGTGAGTGCACTGAGGGCTGTGCAGGGTGAATACCGACGCTCGTGCATGTACACATCCTCGTGCATGTGATGGAGTGAGCTGAGTTATTGACCTCTAGCGAGGGAGGAGCATTAATGTCCACTGTGCCGTGAAACTGGCCTACACCCGTGTCCAAGGTGACTGGCACTGCCCTGTCCCATGGCACACTTCTGCCTCTGATGGATTGACTGGGCCTTGGTGGAGGACCTCTGCTAGTCGACTGCTTGTTTGTGTTTGTGTTTGGAAAAAGTTCAAATGTGTACAGGTCTGAACTTCTGTTTGGGCTATCATTCTGTATATATGTCGTATAAAACAGTTATTACCTCTGTAACTCCTTTAGAACATTTATCAAGACAGGGTCTCTCCCGCCGCGCCTCATGCTAATGAGTCTCTGAACATTTTCTTCTCTCTAATGATCCTAAAGAAATGCTCCTCTCTTGTCTCCTTCTTATCACTATCTCCCATGCCCCTCTCATTTATCTAATGCACTTTTTCATTTAAGTAATGCTTAAATGAAACGTGCCTGCAACATTTTCTTCCCATCGTGTTCTCCTTATCTCTGCTCCTCTCTTTTTTTTCTCTCTGTACACTGCCACTCCTTGTGATTGAATGGATGAGTTGAGCACCCCGGAGGACGAAGCGAAACTCCTACACAAGAATGTGTTGTACATGCCACTTCCATTTGTGAGATGAATTATAGATTTCCCTTCACTACACGCGGAGGCAGGAATGTGAGAAAAGTGCTAACAACATACCTAAGTTGGAGATTTGATTACAGGCTGCCACTCGCCGAGTTGCCAGGGGAAAGCTAATGAAAGCTTTGGTTGTCAACTGTGTTACATTGGCTGAGAAATTCCAGCACTGATTGACTGTGGATGAGGGAGTGGGGACATGTTCTGTTGTTGGTTGCACAGCTGATATTTTTCAATTTGTAGTTTTTTTTTTCTGTGCATCATCGCCGGTTATGTAAGCTGCTCAACCTGCTGAAAGACAAAACTGTAATTAGTATTTAAGAGATTTGAATCTGAGTCAATTACTACTGTTCTAACACACATGCGCAGAGGAAATGCTCTGTTTACTCTCCTCTGATATTCAAAGGCCCTGGCTAAATTTACTCATAGGGCATATTATTACAAAACATCCACAGTGCATTCCTAGAGCACTTTGTTCACATTTTATCCACTGGAGGGCCAACCACAGGGCACCTTCAAAGACATTTCTTCATGGTTTCTTCTGCAAGGGCATCAGAGGTGGTATTTCAGAATATTATATCTACAAAAAGGTGCTCAAGACAGGATTTTTTTTTTTTTTTTTTTCAGACATGAGGGCTCCAAGGGGGGCGACTGCACATCTGAGTTGGTTACAAGCCCTAAAAAGAAACAGTAACTGGTAAAAGCCACCATGTGGAGTTTTTAACTGGTTGACAAACAGACTGCAACTGAAAGTGATGACTGACCATCAGCAACCGGACTGATCAGTTCTCTGTTGTAATTTTTAATATCTAGGACCACTGTGAAGGGGCATGAGTCAGATCAGATGATTTTAAGCCGACGAGAGAAAATGCATTTTTGTTTACTACCACGGCAGATATTCACACTGAGTGACACACTAAACCCTTTAACGCCTGAAACCACAAATTATGGCCAAAAAATTCAAATTTTTTTGGGAGCTGGATTGTTTATTTCATTTATTTCAAAATGTCCTTAAAATTTAACACACACACACACACACACACACACACACACACACACACACACACACACACACACACACATATTGATCTCATTTGTTACATTAGATGTTTTTGGAAATTGACAAACCAAAAGAGGACATTTTTATCATTTATCAGTCTGTATTGAGGTGTTTTTTCTTCTTTTTTTTTCTTTGTAATTTGTCGATTATATTGATTTGATAGAAGTATCATTAAAGTATGTATCAAATATGATACAAAAGGCATTAAAGGGCTAAGGATATGAAAGGTCTCACTGTGTCCATCAGAACCAATAAAGCTCAAGTTCCTCACAAAAGCTGCAAGTGGTATGAGTTATTTTGATTTTTTTATTTCATATATTTTTAAATGAGTTTACCTTTATCCTGCCTTGACCAATAATGTCACAAAATGCCAACTTTTACTGAGACAAGAGAAGAATACGTGAATGATCGTAATCTGGGCTCTTGTGGCCGTTTCTCTGGGTTTGTGTAAACCTTGCATCTCGGACACCCATTCCTCACTGTATAGTTTCCCATCAGTGCTGACTGATAAGCTGCTTTGACCCTGTGTGTCTACATGTCCCCACAGTCAATGGAGATGATGATCGATGTTTCAAGTGACATTTCTCAGCTAATAACCTCTTATCCTATTGATTCCCTGCCCAGATATCCTGCTCTGCTCTCTTTCAACAAATGGATTTTGTCCCCTGCTGTCCTTCTCTCCACCCATCTTCCTTTCTCGTGTTTCTGTATTTCACAGAATATCAAACATGCGCGTTGAGGATTTCATTATTCTCATTTTTACTCTGCACAGCTCATCCCTCAGGCTAAACTCCACTACAAATTAAAACCAAGTATTACCATTTTTAGAGAGTGGCCCACTTCAAAAGTCTCCCTGTAGTTTGCCCCGAGGAGGTTCTGCCACCACAGTCATCTGAAAGGGGAGAAATGGGAAGGAATTGAAAAAGAGCCCTGCCAAAAATCCAGTCATGAGTTACAAGAGTCTTTGAGGAGCTTCTCAAAGGAAATGATGTTTCTGCACGCTCATATCACAAAGGCAATCACTGCGCACTCCCTCACATCTTAATTAAAAACTGTGGGCATACAATGACTGCTGGTTGTGCTGCCAACTTCCACATTCTTGTTTAAAAAAAAAACAGCCTTGTCTTTGTGTGGCTTTTAATCTGTATCCTCCATTAATTAATTTGAAGTCAAAACTCTAAAGGAAACTAGTCAAGTTTAACCAAGGATAAACGTGAAAATGTTAAAAGGGGCGAGAAAGTTGTGTACTAACACAAAACACTTAACAGTAACTGTGAGAAATATATGAGCCGGATAATTACATAACGTTGTAGTCACACTATCTTCATTAGATGCCTCTCAATGTGCCTCTACCCCTGCAGCAGACATTTGATACGCTGAGAGCCTGAGCAACAAAACTCTACTCACACAGTTATCTGCTTATTTGCATTTTCATGCTGTTTCTTTATTGTTAAATTTTATGTCCATTACATTTTAACACACATACTCTGAAAATGGCACTAGCCTCTCTGCAAATTTGGATTACAGCTATCTAGACAAAACAAGCTTTAAAGTCTTTAAAGACCAACGCTGAGTCTTTCTGGTTATGACCGTGTTAATTGCTCCGTGCTTGACCACACTTCTTTTAACTTGGCAGTCCATAAACAGAAAATCAGACCTCACTGAGGAGGTTTATGTCTCAGCGTCTTCCCAAAGATGCTGCTAAAGCCAACTACTGATGTAATCCCACTGTGTGGACAGAGAGGCAATGACACATTTAACAAGAAAATTAAACTGAGTTTTATAGTCTCAGTCATAATCTCTGAAAAATGTGTTTTTTAGTCATTTTAACTTCCTGTTTTCATTGGTGTCATAATTTCTTTAGACATCATAGTTTTTAAATGAGAGCTATTTTTCCTTCTTGTGGAAATTTTAGAAGGGGGAAAGAAAACCTTCGGCTTTTTTTGGTCATCTCCATTTTAAAACGGTCCCTATTGCTCATCTTATTAAAAATAAAAACAAAAAATGATCATTTAAAGTGCAATAAGTGATACCACTGAAAAAACTTCACCTAACTAATCCTCTGTTCCAGGAACTTTAATCCACATCAGCAGGTAATAACAGATTATACAGCCATTTATAGCAGTGACAGCTGTTATCCTGCATCACCTGCTCCTGGACATAGAACAGTTAACTAGTACGATCCATCCAGTGACTGTGAGCACCACTTAACCAAAAGGGACCTTTAAGAGTACATCTTGTGATATTTCTACTTAGGCTTTGTGACCTTACTGACTGATTAACAGGCTATGTTTAGCAATAAGCAGCATATTGTCTCACAGCCATGCTAACCCAATGCACAGTACTTTTCTTCATGTATTTTCAATAAATCAAAAATCTGAGATCCTGAGATAGCAATTTATCACAACCGGTCCAGAGTCCACTGACGTGTTCACTCATGAATGTGATATCTGTCTTATTATGAGTTTTATCGGTAAATCCCCCAAATGTTTGACTGATCATCCCATTTTTTAAGTACTGCATGGTAATTGTAAAGTCTTGCAATGACTAAACAGAAGAGAAGCAGCATGTGTTTATAATGTGATTGAACAACGATCATTACTTTTCTTTGCTGGATTCATTCTTGCTGTGTTTTCTGACTTCACTTGATCTGCCTCCTTGGGCAGAGCAGATCACTTTCAGTTATATAAGAAAAAGATGCCAGAGGCAAGTCAAGTCTGAACCACAAATTAATGAAATGGCATTAATATACCGCTCTGGCTTCACCCTGCAGAAAATAATACTCCAACTGTGGGGAGGTCAACATTTAAGGTCCCACAGAAATAACTGTTTTCTGTACAAGTGATAATATAACTTTTTTTTTCTCTCTCTCTCTTTCTGTCAAATTTCAGCAAACATTTTCCTGCATGAGCACAGTCAGCCTTATTTTTTCAGCAGCTGCCACCTGCAAAACAAACCTTGTTTTTCTAAAAGGACACGGGAGAAAGGACCACAGGCTATACGATTTAAAGTTTGACCCTCTCACCATAACTATAAAAATCCTCTAAATTTGGTCACTCAGAAGAAACAAACACAATATCATTATCTATCCTATTGAATGTAGAATGCACAAAACGCTTTTATTCCAGGTCATTGTGAGACAGGTCGCCCATAGACAGCCTTCGTAAGTACTGTCATGTTGCACTGGCGGAGCCTCCCAGGTAACTGTGGCCTTCAATAACAAGAAGCTGGGGTGATACACAGGGCTAAGTGTGATCTTCCATTTACAAGTGTTGAGTATCAAAACATCTTTCATTAGAAACTGTTTTGCACACAACTACCTCTCTCTTCTTCATTGTGCATAACAGCAATCGCAAAATATCTGTTATGTAGAAACTGTAGAAACATGACAGTCAAATGGAGAGGCATAGACTGTTTATACTATTGACGACTTGGCACCACCTTCCGTCATGAAATGAATTTGAAGCTGAATTGCTCTCAGCATTTCTGTGATTTTCTCCACCTCCTGGAACCACCACTTGCGCAGTAGCATTGCACCCATTTGGCGGGAGAGTCGCTGAGAGTCTTAAAAATGGCGCTGCACTGAAAAAAGAGGATTTGAGCACAAACCAGTCTTACAGTAACTACATGTCAACATCGCATCCAAGGGTGGAGAAAAATTATATAATTTATATTCCATAGGGATTGTTGGAGGAGGCGGGATTTATGACCTATACTGCAGCCTGTCACCAGAGGGTGCTGTTCTCACAGTGGCTTTACCCAGCGAGGAGGCAGATGTCGTCCACTCTATATACAGTCTATGTGTAGAGGACTCTGCAGAAGGGGGGCAAACATTCAATTAAATAAAAAAACAGTTTATTCTGACTTAAAACCAAAACAAAGAAAACACTTTTTAAATTGAATTGATTATAAAATAACTCAACATGTCTGCTATTCACTCAAAAGGACATGTTTGATTAATGCAGGCCACACTGTCTACATCACTGTTTACACAACACTGTGAACAGCCAAAACTTGCACCTCAACTTCAACCATAAATATTTTCAGCCAAAATTCAAATGAAATATCTGCAAGACATGGGTGAGCTGAGGCGTGAACGCTGAAGGATCCACACCGATGTGGTTACTAAAACAGATTTCTTAAAATAAACAATAAGCAGAAGAAAATTCAGAAAACTGATTCAAATTTGTCTAATGGAAACCTTGGTGTCCTTGTGTTGCTTTTCCTCCTTGTATTCCTCAGCACTTTAACAAGCTTACATCATCGACAAACCCTCTCATAAAGCCTTAATATTCTAGTAAAATTGGTGACATTACCACTCTGACCCCAAATCTGGGTAAAAAGCCAAGCATTTACCAGTCATAATAACTATTGGAAGCCAAGCAGCATGATCCCACTGTCTTTATGAATACAAATGACTGAGTGTAAAATCTGCCACCGAGTATCGGACAGAAATTACTCCTGATTTGGTGCTACATCGCTGTTGCCTCATCTGCAGAGTAAATGTCTCAAAACAAATCTCTTCAGCTGGACCGACATGTGACGGCTAAAAGCCAATATCAGCAGCCTGGATCTCAGAACCCAACAGCTGTCCTGGTGACAATTTTGCCTCTGGAGTTGATGGACCATATTTCAGGGTCTCAGTGGTGGCCAAGAGTCAGCAGATCAGGGATGTCTGAGCCAACTAATGTTTTTGTGCACTCATCACAGTTTGAAGGCTTACTTTAATATACACGGAGGCTGGGGTTGTGTGTCCAAGTGATGTCTATAAGGAAATGATGTCATATTTGGGTTTCTGGACCGCAGTTTGACCAAAGTTTCTGCTCTCTACAAAAACTGTTTCCCGGGATACAAACAAAAACCTGCATCAACATTATGTGTATATGAGCAGAACAGTGTTCTGTATGGGTTAGCTATAAAGGGACTGTCAACTCCAGTAAACAGATGCAGTCCATGTCATATATGCATTAATTACTGTAACTGTCATTATGATAGTTTGATATAATGGTTATGGGTAGATTTATTTCCTGTTTTGAAAATTGACTGGCCTATACCTAAGTATCAAAATCTTGAAAACATCAGAGACTTTACACATGACAACAGATATATATATTTTTATTTACAGTCCAAACTTTAAAAAGTGAAAATCTTTCAGCAGTCTAATGAGACTTTAAAGTAAATAATCATGGTAAATGATGGGATGGTTGTCGAGTTGAATGTTACTAGCTGCTGGAGCATTAATTACAATTTATGTTAATCTCGCTCCCACATGTCAGTTTCTATTGTGGCAGAATTTACAGGACAAGCAAAATCAAACCTCAACCCTCCACTTCTGATGTCCATCTAACTCTAAGCTTCATGTTATTTCCTCCATTTGTTGTGCCTCCCAAAAACCATAGTTTCACTCCACGAGTGCCTGTCGGGCTGTCTTTAACCTCTGATCACTGTCTTTATTATCGAGGCCCTATAATTCTCAAAAGACTCAGAAGTTTAGACTCAAAAGTTACCTACAAAAATAAGAAGTCAGAAGTTGATAATAATAAAGGCGATGAAGGCGATAAAGGCGATGATAATAAAGATATATTTGATTAAAGATGTGTCATTATGCATTTTCAAACTACACTTCCTTTTTTCATCCCTCTTTCATAGATTTACACGGTTTTCAGATTTTAAAAGTCCTTTTTCTCTCTCTGATGTATTAAAATAAAAATATCCTGATGCAATCATTTTAGTGAGTCTCATATTTTCTCACAAGGTACTGTTTTTAACAGTTTACATCTAATTTCTAAGATTAAGACAAAATACGATTACCTTATAAATGTAGTATGAACACTAATTAGTTTTTGTTGTAAAGGTGTAAAAGAATAATATCCCCAACGTGGGGGTCTGTGATGCCGTTTAATTCCTACACCTGGATAGAGCTTCACAAAGTCTGTAGTTTGAGCTGTTGGCCTGACTGCTCCCACATCTTTAGTATGACTGATGCATTTGGTCCTTTTCTGCAAGCTTGCAGAGAACATGAGAAATATTAATAGAGAGTAACATGCAGAGAACTAATGGGAGGCTTCGTCTGTATCCGTATGCATAAAGAGGGATCAGAGAAGAGCGAAAATAGTCTGAGCACATAAAGCAAAATAGTTAATGAGGGAAAAAAAGAGACTAATTTCAGGGACTGAAATTTTAATTCAAAGTATGATGAACTATTATTTATGTGTCTCTGTCGTGTCATGGGGTTATGTGCACCTACAAAAAAAATCTGGTTAGTATAAACGGTTGGTTGGTGGCGCTGGTTTATCTATATTCTTCTTGTCACTTTAACATTTAATGGAGCTTTACACCCAGACGCTTTGTTCCCACATGCATTAAAACTTAATACAACATGAAAACGCTTTAAGTGAGCCGCACTGCTTTTGTTCTCTTTTATTGTATAAATCTCTCACACTACAGCGTTTATCAGTCATCTGCACAATCTTCTCATCTACAGGCAGTTATTCGTGAGGTATGGTAGTGAGTTCAGTCCTACAGTTATTTCAGACACCTATTTTGTCTTTGCACATGTAACCAAAGGCATTTATAAAATGTGACATCCTTTATTTAATGCAGCATTTAAAGATAGAGGCTTACGAAGGAAATGTGTCCATCACATTTGATAAAGGGATAATTTTGGTCCATGTCAGTTCGGAGAGCTCTAAAAGTGCATTTTTCTTCTCTTCCTGCTAAAACATGAAAACTGTTATTCAGGAATAGCATATAATTTTTGTTTTACTGCAGCTCTTTCTTAACAGAGTGAGAAACTTGTTGAAATTGTCATGTTTAAAGTCAAGTACTATGAGAGAACATGGAGTACAAAGCCTCACTTCCTTTTTATTTACCATCTCATTTTCAATGGATTGCAACTCCTTTTGAATTAAATCAGCGCCTTTAGCTGTCTGGTTGATGACATCAGTGAAAAACAACAAGGATCAGATTTTTTTATCCGGCTTTTCTCTCATTCAAAAGAGGAAACATGCAGGAATGATGTTTGAATAATGATTAAGAGATGTGATGTAATGGTTCAAATGCAGAGAAGAGGAGGATAACCTCTTTTCTTCACAGAAAGCTGTTATCAAAGAAAACAGCTCTGGGAGCTTCCGTACAGATTGTGCATTTCTGGAGTTTAACTTCAGGTATATTTGTTGTATTTCTGTGAATACATAAAGTAAAACCCGTTGAGTCACTGGCTGCTGTGCTGTCACCAAAACACCCAGTTGACCTGCTGTGTGCTACCTCCTCTGACGGCTCATGAGGCCGCACGGGTCCAGACTTTTCCACTGAGTCTCTCGACACAGTTTTTTATTTATGGATTGTTTGAAGATGAGACACTTGTCCCTTTGGCTTTGTTGAACCTTGCTATCAGGTTTCTCTATCAGAGGAGGATATTATGGGGCGGGGAAATGTGGGATGAAGATGAATAGAGATGGAGAAGTTGAACTCTTTCGAACGATTAATGAGCTGAGATGTGGAAACATTTGTCAGAGATGGGAGTTTAAGAACGAGAGTTGGACTTTGAGTCCTGGCTGAGGGGGCTCTGTATGTACAAGATGTAATTAGCAGCTGTTCACATAAGGAAAAGGGGGATTAATTACTAGAGTTGTCTTTCTTAAAGCTTTGATCAGGAAAGTCTATGCTATTAGTCAACTTCTTCAAGTGTTTCAAATCCCTGAGTGGTTTATTTTCAAGCCAAGGTTGGAATGCAAAACAGACTCATCCTGAGTGAAACCTCTATTTCTACATTTCCCAGGACAATGGTTACAAATGTGCATATTTTTTCTTGAACTTGCTATATTTTGACTAATGAGTATCTGATGGTAAAGCTCAAACCGTGAGGAATAAGGCGCCATTTTTAACTGTTTGCACTTTTAGGATGCTGCACAACAGAGGCCTTTGTCAAGTTTTTGGTTTAAAGTCCCGGCCCAACCCTTTATTTTCACTACTTAAAGTGTTCTTAGTGGTCATGATGAAGTTAAAATCATATTTAGCTTTCTTACTAGCATTGCAGTCCGCTAACGCACACGCTTGTTCCGTGATCGTCCTCACTGCTTTTCCGAGTCAGGTCTGCATTGTGGGGGCTCTGGGGGCGGAGCTTGGATTTGTGACATAGTAAATCTCAGTAAATCTTCACAACGATTTGAATGTAGAAATACTCAGAAATGCAGTTTTGCACTTGCTTTTTTCGTGATATGTTTGTCTGTTTGTCTGCTATTCTTAGACCCACCCTCCGTCCCTCTTCAACAGTAATGCTTCTACCACCTTCGTGGTCCACCTCTTTCTGATCTCAATCCATTTTCAGGTACAGTCTGGATTGGACTAAGCTCGAGCAGAACAACGCCTGAGACGGAACCCCCGTCCTGGGTCTCTCCCTGCCGGGCCTCTACAGAACCTCCCAGACCAACCAGACATTCAACACTCTTCATTAGCCTCATTATCCATCACAACACACATAACACAACAGACAAGACATACACATTCCCAAATTCATGTTGAATATTCAAATGCACATCACTGTGGCGTGGTCATTGCTATCGAAATGTCCTGTAGCATCAGAAAAATACCACACGAATACGTAGACAACAATGATTTTCTTCGGAACGGATCTTTAAAGGGAAACTTTTGTAAAACTTCTAGTAACTTACTATGAGTTAATCCTTGTATAACACAAGGCTCTCCCATCAAATAAATTATGCAATGACCATGCAGCAGCAGCAGCAGCAGCAGCAGCAGCGTGTTTTTCTTCTGTTAAATGTTTTACAGTGTTGCAAATGGTACTCTGGGGGCTAACACCTCGTTCCCTGTAAGAAATAATCCAAACACTCAGCGTATAAACAGGGAAATATTAACCAATGAGCTGAGTGAAAATGAAAAAAGCATCAGGCACATGAAGCTCATTAAAAGGCGTTAACACAGAAAATAAGAATTATAAAAACAAAATAATGATTGATAAATCTGAGGCTCTTTTTATACAAAGCTGTGAAACATTGGAAATGCGCTTTGTCGATTAATTCAGCTAATTAGAACTGATTATGACACATTTAATAAATTATGATTAGTTGGAACAACTGTCACTGTCACCCTTCCATGCATATGAACACTGTATCTATGGAGACTGACACATGTTGCCCAGTTTTACAGAATGTAGAAAAGTATGGCTGTCACACCTTTCCAACAGTTATTTCATACAAAATATACTTCTATAGTCCTTTAATTCCTTTAATAATTGATGCTAACTTCTTTCCTGAGTCTATGTCAGTGGGAGAAGGAGACAAAAGTGGAGGCATAAAAAATGTAAATCTTGGAATCAAACACGGTAAGGGAGAAAAGACGAGGAAGAGGGTGTAGCAAAAAGGGAGGCAGGAGAGATGACAGGAGGAAAGAGAGCTCGCACAAAGTGAAACCAAACATTATGTCTTCTGTTTCCTCAAGCGGTCCATGGCTCTCCTTCCATTAACCTCCACAATGACAAGAAGAAAACAAACGTATACTCCCTGCCTCTCTTCCCCGCACCCAGTCGCGCACGTGCCGCCGAGGTGGAGAACGGATCACAGGCGACACAGATTAGGAGTCAACAGGGTTCCCTTCATCTGGCTGGATGCAGCTGGAGGGCCGATTAGACAGCCCTAGCGTGGGTGAGGAAGGGGTCGCCCGATGCTATCACAGCCCCTCAAACTCACTCCCTCGCCGGGAACTCTGCAGACTACCGTGAAATTGATCAAGCACCCCGAAACCATGTCCTGGCATTTGTGAGTGGCATGTCAGAGGTAGGAAATGAGGATAACTGCTGTCTGAAGATGCCCGCAAGTCATGAGAAAACTCCAGCTGTTGTGTCGCATAAAAGATTATAACAGTCTGCTAACTGGGGTCCGGGGTCAACGCGCTTACTGAAGCAACTTTTCTGAGCATAAATGATTAATTTCTTTACTTAATATCAGTAATTTGACATATTGCTGCTAATGAGCAGCAAAACAGTACAGCAGCCCAGGCAACCATTACTAACAAAATCATAACAATCTGAGAGTGTCTTTGCACAAAAAGAGGTGACAATAATGTGACTTTATTTTAGACATTACTCATATTTACAAGGTTTTAAAACTAGAGCTGGAACACAATTAAAAAGAATCAATCTATTTTAATCACAGGCTTTGTAATTTATTAATTGCGTTTTAATTGCATATAAGTATTTAACCTGAGGACAGTGAGAATTGTTTTTTCTTTTTTTTTTAAATGGTAAACAAGTGAATCAATGAATACGGAATAAATGAATACATTAGCTTAAGCAAACAAAACCTGTTTATTAATTTTTTTTTCAAGGTGATACTTAACCAAGACTAACAGATCAGTGCTTTTTTTTAATGCCATAAGGTGCAGCAGATTTAGGAACGAATAATACAGAATGTGGAGTCGAGTGTGGGTCTGGTGTGGGTTTCTGTACTCTGAGCCCGACTAACGTTAGCTTCCACCCTAGCTGCAACATGTTTAGCATTCTGGTGATACCGGAGGCTCGACACACTGCGGGGATATGCAATTTTTTTTTTGCAGAATTTGCTCGAGACTATATTTATATCTAGGCTTCCATCCATCTTTTTTTTTTTAAACAAAAATGCCCATCCACATTGGAGCCAATCAAAGCACATTCATCCGCGACTTTGTTCATTTTTCCATACGTTGGATGGGACTGGAATCATTGCTGCGCTCACTTACATTAGGGTGTGCAGGTACAGGTGGTATACCTGAAACTCGTCCGGTCAGAAATGTTCTGTGGTGCAAAAATACAGTAGGTCTGATCAATATGCGTTCAGATTTTCAATGGGAAAATAAAAATAAACATGGATTTTCATTTCCCAGATGTTATTTGTGGTCATATTGCACAGGGCCCTACCATCCTGAACACTCCCAATCTCGTCTGTTCCTGGGAGCCCACCTGAGAATGCTTGGAGCAACAGTGGCTCAGTGGTACAATCAGAAGATGTCAGGTCCTGCTGTCCACATATCAAAGTGTCCTTGGGTGAGACATGACCCCAACCTGCCTCTAATGACTTTACAGTGTGTGAACGGGAATAGTTAAAGACAAAGAAGCCTCTACAGTTATGTTCAAATGAATGCATGTGACACGTAAAGGTGGTCAGAAGAAAACAGAAGGTGCCAGTCACTTTTTCCAGAGCAACGTACATTTCAGAGTCAGTATAACACAAGCAAAGATCTCGACAAGAAGAAACGACACGACTAAATGCAACAAACTGCTTCGAGTCCATTTGGTTGTAGTGCAGTAACGCAGTGAAAAAGCTTTTACATTTTACTGTATCATCATTGCAGCAACTCCTATAAATCAACATCAGCAACATGAAATCACAATGTCATCATCATCATCATTATTATCATTATCTGTATCCACATCAACATCACTTTAAGCACCAAACTACCAAGTGCTGGGCTGTTATTTGATGATGTCCAGACCGCAGATGGCATTTGACTTTTAAGACCAGTGATGGTGATCACAGTCTGACCGACCAGTCGATCACCATTGTCTGTAAAGAGTTAATCAGATATTAGTACATGGTTGGAATATAGGCTTCAGGTTTTTATCTCTGTCCTTGTCTCTCCCTCTATCTCTCCTCCACTCTGACACACTCACTTTTTCACCGTCACTGACTGTGACCTGTGCTTCTTCCATTCACTCATCCTGGGCAGGAACTGGGTCATGTTGACCTTTTATCTGTCAAAACATACTGCTAAAGTGACCTGACAGCACAGAGTATACGCTTTGTGCTGGCTGGCGCTTTTCTTTTCTCAGGCAGACTCAATTTGTTTGCTCCACATTTTCTGTTTTTTTTTTTTTTCATCTGCATCTTAAAAGAGGAATCCAACTGAAAACCATCGCCACACACCATCCTTTCTTTTCAGGCCGAGCTTTGATGACTGATCTGAGACTTGCAAAACAAATGGCCAAAAGAGGTTGACTTCAGCCTCAACAAGAAAGAGCAAACTCAATGCATCTTCAAATTGCATAGAGCCAAGCTACAGTGTGACAGTGGATACTTACCTCATCTTGTTCTATGACAGATCCTGGTGGGAAATGTATGAGGCATATGCTTCATAAAAAAGCAAAGCACTCTCCCTTAAATTGACCATCTAATTTGATAAAATTGGGTAAAGGCCAGACCGAAGAATGACCGTCTGAGGATGAAAAATGCAGCATTAGCCAGAAAGCAGAACCCTGTGCTGAAAACATTTGCATTTGAATGATTCTGTGACGGCTGAACAGATGGACATAGAAATCCCCCGAGTTACCGCAACCATCCTCCTCAGTGTCATTTATGTAACCCAATAAAGGGATAATGAGCCATCACTGATCTGTCAATTACAGGTGCAGTTATGCTCTGTGTGGCGTGTTTGTTTTGTCAGATGATGTGCTATAATGTCATGATGCTTTAAGGGTGTTGAACATCCTTCAGGGAACACAGAATGTACAGAAAAGCTGAGAACAATGGGGGATTATGTAAGTAATGACTGAGGAGAGTAAATTCTCCTGCTTGCCTCTGGAGCTCTTTTTACTGGAGCTTCCATGTAATAAGAACGGGGACATTAAATGTGATCCTTTATATCCTAATGGTGCTTAGTTTACAGCAAATCTGAAGAGAGACACGAAGAAAGCAGAGGCTGTTAGGACTCTTCAAGTGTAAATCACTGCTTTCGTATATCCCCTGCTCTAAATATCTGAAAAAAATAAAATAAAAACTAATAGGACTGTGGACCCATTGACAGTAACTCTCTTTTCAAGAAATAGAATATTGATATAACGTTAAAGATGAAGCATTCGGTGTTACTGTGCAGCTAAAAAAACTCTGGTGAGCCCAGAAGACAAAGACAAATTCCCAGAAGACAAAGATGAAGCAGCAGGAGGAGACGACTCGGAGGCTGATTATTCAACACGTAAGAAGCTTAAATATTGATGCATTCTGACTGTTTTTAACACAAAACTGTGTTTTGGGTTACTAAGGGCCTGATTTACAAAGATCCCAAATAACACTCAATTGCATGCACATCCTAACAAATTGCACAGTTTGTTGTGCGTTTTACAGGTGATGAAGTAGGAATGATGAGACTGTGGAGGAGGTGGTATTCAGTTGAAGGTTTGCCGTGTTTAACTTGTTGAAGCTACAGAGAGTCCTCTGGTGTTCTGAAGTTTACACTTGCTTTTTAAACACACAAACCCTGAGAAAATCAGGCCCTAAAAGCACGTTTTTATCTTTAGGATTCAGACTGGAGTCTTTTGAAAAAGCTTTCCCCGTTATACTCATGGAAACTACCAAATACAGAACTCTTCAGAAAACGGTGATAGTCCATTTGCATGAGGATAGTATGTTCCCGGTCAAACAGCTGTCCAGGACAATGAAGCAGACAGTGAACTGTGGAGCTGGGTTTGTGCTGTTGACTCTGCCGAGTTGATTTACACCTCTTCAGCTGTGTTTGCCATCACCTTCTTGTGAGTTTGTTTATACTCACTGCTCTGTTAAAACTTTACTGCAGGTACTTTGTAATCTTCAGTGTTGGTGTTTCATCACTAAGTTACACAGGCAACCACTGGTCTGTCATGCTCATTACAGTGATTTTTGTTGTTTTTGCAGACTTGTGTGCATATGAATCATTCATATGAGCAATGATTTGTTTTCAAATGCAGACTTTTCTGTTTATGATGAGGCTGTTCTTGTCCAAGAAGAATTCAGGAACCAGGTAGCTGGCTTGCCTTTCTGCAGCATGCTGCAGATACTGTTGTGCAAATCATGTAGAAGGCGATAACAGATGAAAACAAGGTACTCAGCTTGCTCCCAAATGAAGTTTACAAGAAATGTGGAACAACAGTGACTGCCCCTTATCAGGATGGAGAGAGTTAGTTGTAGTAAAACATGGAAAAATTTTGTGGAAAAATCTTGATCTTGAGGTCAGTAGACAGGATCATTCATATCACCCCATTCAAAGTCTGCTAACATTCGCCATCATAAGCTGCTAGTCATGCAAGGAAAAACTACTGCCAAAAACGTTTAGTGAATACATCAAATGTGTTTAAAGCTCCAGTCAGTGACTTTCAGTTTGTGTCAAATCTGATGCCCCCTCTGGACAAAGCAGGAATTTGTTTAACTTGTCTTTTTCTTGCCTAAGTAGTATTTTCTGACAAGAATTCTCATCCCACTGACTCCTGGCAGACAAACATATCATTTATTGTGAATATTTGCCTCCTGCGCAAGTTTCAGGCATTAGAATGTACAATATAAAAATGATATTTGTTTTGTATATCATCAAAAAATATCAACATGAGTAGTAAACCATTTCATAAATGTCAAAAAACTCCTCACAAGAGCGTTTATGACCAGTGCACACAACCTTAAAATGTATTATTTAAATGACTTTCCTTTAAAAACTCAGTTTTATTGAGGTTATACACGAAATTTCACTCTATATTCATCAAGTGAAACTAGCAGAGATAGTGAACGATGAAGGAAAAATATCCATTCTGCAAATGTAATTGCCTATCCTAGTGTGATGTCAAATTGTGGATAAGTAAATTAGACATGCAGTAAAACAGAGAGTAAAAGCATTTCTTTCATATCACTTCAGATTTTGTCCTAAGCTGCTCTCTGTAAGTGAACCCTAGAAAATGCCAGTGGTCCTGATGAGAAAGGTTCAAAAAGGCAGAAGAAACTCATTAGCTGACTGTGCTTTAATTATTGTCCAACAGAGTGGGCCGGCAGTATCAAACCATCCATGAGCACTTATACTTTCTGAAGCCTCTATACGCTTCTGCTCACTTTCCGTGACCCCAAACTGCCCCTCGGAATGAAATGACAGCTTAAACCGCCCACGCATGTTTGAAGGGGATGTGGAAGAGCTAGCCGCATCAAGAGAGTATAAAAATGCATACTGTGAAGGTCTGTGTGACATTGTCAGATTCTATCATCAAATGCACAAGTCTCAGTGTGCGGTTGTTGCTTCTGTGAAGTTCAAAACACAACATTTCAGCCGGTGCAAGATATTCCCCACATAAACATTCAGTGCCGTCCTGTTCCCTTTGGTGTTTTGTGCTCTGCCAAAAAAGTTCGTAAAAGTGTTGTGAGTTTTTGATTTTAAAAAGTAAAAGGTGAAACCTATACGAGGTCTATTTTCATTCTATTCCAATTCATTTATGTAGCAGATTTAAGTAAGAACAATTAAGTTGTACCAAAGTGCTGTACGAAAGAGGAATAAAAAAAAAAGATGTAACATAACAATTAGGGCTGGGTGATAAAATGATAACGATATATATCAAAAATTAATTTCCCTCAATATCAATATAAAACACGGTCAATATGCTTTTCAATAGTCGGCATTCTGCCATGGTAGACTATATGAATAGCCAATGAAAATGGGAGTTACTCTGGGTCCACTTCACACTGAACCAATCATGTGCTGAAGTAGAACCAAGTATCAAACAACTGCGTCGTAGCAGACAGCAGCTACACCCGACCATAGCAGTTAAACAGGTGAAGCCAACAGCACTGTTGGTGAGAGAAAAAGAAAATGAGTGCTACCCCCGACAGAAATGACCATGAAGGCTCAACAGATGACCACATCGTCAACAACACTGACGAAAACGTCGGTGGTGTGGAGGTATTTCGGTATTTTGAGGTCGGACATGAAGCAGAGTAATGTGGACTGTAAATTATGTCGAGGCTCTATTTGTTCTGACGGACAGGTTTGCTACAGTAGTTACGCGCCTCAAGGTCAACAACACACACACAGATTTCATAGCACACTTTAGTAAGACCACGTGAACAGTGGTTGACCTGTTCACATCAGAGATAACTGGCCAATGATTCTTGGTTGTGTATTAAGTTCAACCTCTGTCCAGGGCAATCCCTGCCCAAGAAGATAAATGGGAATGATACCCGGACATGGGCACTCGTTGTGATGGAGATCCTAGGAGCTCTGTCATTATGAGTCCAACGCTGTATTACTCTACCTGTGTAGAGGTTTAAAGGTTTATGTGAGAACTGAAGACTTCTCTGGTTGTCTTTGAGCAGTCAACTAAAGAACTGATTCTTACAGTTTAAATAAGCGTATAGTCAGCTGAAAAGTAAATCTCTTTGTTTTTGTTAATTTGAAATTAACCTTTCAAGAGCAGGTCCCCGTAGAGGCCATCGTCTTGTTTTGTAAAGTAGTATTAAAAGACAAACTAGCAGCATACATGATAGTGTATTCAGCATATGGTCAATGCACCAGTTAGAAAACAAAAACAAAGACAGTAGTTGTTTTTGTGTGCAAAAGAATTTCTGTCCACGGACGTTTTTGCGCTAAGAAGTGGCACTGAGTGGTAGGCCTGTGTATCCAGCATGTTTTTACATTGAAGCAGTCCCTTATATTATACTATAGATGCATTACACAATAGCAAACTGCTCTGTTTATTTTTATTGGTATAGGCTATTGGTCATACAAGTTTGTTAACAGCAGCTCTCAAACGTCACAATTCTCGAACTCTTTCTCAGACTTTCCAAAGTTTGTTCTGAAGTTTATTTCATGACGAAATCCTATTTATTCCCCCCTTTCATTCTTTAATAGGTGCATCATTATCTCAGCAGATATCGCTATTATTTCTCATTGAAGGAAATGTTTTGCGGCGCAGTGGCCAGTCATTCGGCTGTGGGCCAGCGGGAGCTGAGCTGCATGCTGCAGTGTGTGTGGTGATTAATCACGCTGTGACTCTGAGTCTCTCGGGCCTGTCAACCACTCGGGCCGCATAAGGTCCCGGAACATCTGGGGATGTCTGGGGACGTCGCGGGGTGACCACGGCCCATTCGTCTCCCAGGGACAGCGAGCAGACGTGTCGCCTCAATCTAACATCAACCCCCCTCCCATCTTGACTGTACCTTCAGGGCCCCTGTAGACCTAGCTTGGACAAAAGGTGTACACTCTTATTACATGACACATAACACTCCTAGGAACTGTGAACAGGGGAAGGCAGTGTCTTGGGGCTGCACATCAGTGACAACAACAGCCGGGACTGGTAATATGCCTGTTGGTGAGCTATCAAGAAGAACAACAACCTGCTGGGTGTGGGAATAAGGCCTGACACATCGCTTTAGCAGCAGCAGCTTTAGACAAGGATGTAGCTGAAAATAACACAGCAGCCGACACAAGAAAGTGACACAGGATTCGACTGATAATATAGATAAATCTTGGAGTTATGCTTTAAAGCACTACAGCAGCTGAAAATACGCAGGGGTTCAAAGACAAAGAGGTGTCAGTGGCGTATCTTCTCTTGCAGAGTTGCACAAGCAGATCAGTCTTCCTTAAAATAAAAACATGGCTTCCAACGAACAATCCCTTTCCAAGCCATCGCCATCCCTGGCTGATGTTGTGAAAATGTAAAGCTCAGTCCTCCTGTGATATTCTGAAACAAAGACTCTATTCTGTTTCAGTCTTTGTAAACTAGACCCCGAGGGTTTCATTAAACATCCTACTCCCAACTGCTGTGACACAAATTTAAATGCAAACTATCCACTCCCACTCAGTTTAGATACAGGATTATGTGTAATAAAGATAACTCCTTTAATCGCAACAATTCAATGACATAAGTGGTTGCATAAAAAAAGGTGACCTAAATTTGAAATTATGAAATATGCAAAGATAGACATTCCTAACGAACACCTCACATGTGCAGACTGCCGCTTATTAAAACAATTCACTGATTTACTCTCGCAACCCACTGGATCTTCTGCTTCAAGCATTGTGTCTCGTAGCTTATTTTGTAAACATGAACCTGATTTTATCTGCCATACAATCTCGGTTATTCACAGTAAATCAATTCAGAGGAGATAAGAGAAAGCAGCTGCGGTGAAGTCGATGCAGATGAGGTATTTTAGGCATAAAAGAACCAACCGATTATGCAGTGGCCCCCATGCATGTTCCAAGAAGTCACTGTACAGCAGAGATACACGAGCCGTAGTCCCCCTTTGCTCCGTGTGACGGCATGATGAATGATCGCCAGGGGGGAGCAGAGGACATCCAGCCAGGGCAGCTCTGACATGGGGGAATCATGGAATATACAGGCACTGGCTTTGTTCCTGGATCTCTTTCCTTTTTTTGCCCTTCTGCCCCTGCAGCTGAAAGCTCAAACTACAGGTCTTAGGAAGCAGTGTTTTTAGCAGCCTTGAAGGCCCCCCTGTTGTGTGACGTTTGACAGGTGGTGGCTTACAATGCATTGTTTCCTAGAGGCGGAGACTTGATGTTTGAAATCCGGCTTAAATCACAGCCGCTGGACTTTTTCTTGGCACATGAACGGGGACACATGGGCACACAAAGATCTGTGGAACACATGGCTCTCAGTGATTTAGCCGAGTGTGATGGGATTAACATGAAACTTCAGTAGAACATGAATATAGACTCTAATCTATGACGCAAAGGGCAAAAGATTTTTTTTTCTTCAAAACAGAAAATCCATTTGCACATGTGTGTGTGCCTAAAAAATAGAAATAAAACATGAATAAAAAAAATAAGATGTCAATAAGTTTTCTCCTTATTCAAAATCAGGCTCTGTTTGGTCATTAGAGAGGGTCCAGCCCTCTGCAAAATAAAAAGGTGGTGGAGATTTACTGTTGCTGTGGTAAACATTTGATCAAGAATCAATTAAGACAGCTCATCTGCCAAGTTGACTGGAATTAAATCCCCAGAGTTTCCATATAAATCCACTCAAAACTCCAACCACATTTCGCTGAACAACACTTGAGGGCAGATGCTTGCGTGAGGCTCTTCATGGTGCTGTCCATGGTGCTGAAGAGGAAGTGAATTTCATTCTACTCAAGGCACTTGACCTATTTAGCTGAATCCCGTTAATGTATGTGAACACACAATACAGAAACCAACAAACAAATGACGACAATGTTGATGCATTCAGATTCAGAGTTCAAAGTAAGCGTTTGAAAGACGAAGAATAAAGTCAAGAAGCTGCTGTGATGCGTAATCCTCTAATTGTCACATATGTATCATCATAATTTAATTATTTTATGCATAAAACAGCTCTCTTTTCTACATCTTTATGAGGTTGCACTTAAAATGGCTGCACACTAAATAAAAACACACAACTCTACAAAACCACTGTACTTCTACAAAGACAACAAGCTTGGGTCTTTAGAGGGAGATTAAAAAACTCCCGACCTTTTAACTCTTAGATTGAAAAAACAAACAAATTCCCTCCCTCTTAATTATGGAATAACAAATTAAGCTAATCATGTTACAGCTAATTTAAAGGACTTGTAATTAAGTGGAAAAATCAACACCCATTGTGGTAAAATTCATTACGCCCAACACCTTTTGAGAGGAATAACATCCACTCAAAACCAAAAGAAAACAAACAAAAGGTTAAAAGATCAGTCATTCATTTAAGTTCCTCCAATTAGAAAAAAAATAGTTTTGCTACAAATTTTTTGTAATTAATTTTGCATTGCACCAAATAAATTAAAAAAGAAAACTGTTCTGAGAGCAGAAACCACCAAACTCAAAGACACTTAAAGACTACAGTGGACTTCTGAAGACACAAACAGTCTTTTACAATAGTTTGATTAAATAAAAAAAGACTTCAGTTCAACAATAGTTCAAACCTTTTAAAGCTTCTGAAATAGGTCTCTGGGGCGCCTTCAAGCAAAGGGGAAACACAGAGGCCAACTGTTGTTTTAAAGGAATCACTGGATCACATCAAAAACAACCCACAAGGTGATAGTTCAGATGGAGTTTTGTGGTTCAAAGATTTTATTTTTATTTTTCTTTTTTTACAGGATTTGTATCTGTGGTTTTGGATCCCGAGCCACCTCTCAGCTGATTTAGAGAGATTTTATGTGCCATGGTTCATCAAACCTACTGTAATCACCAATGAATCTGGGTAGTTCTAGTTAAAACAGTCTGTCTCTCTCTCTTTTTTTTTTTTTTTTGCATACGGTGCTCTTCGATCAACATCCTTAGCTTTCCCATGGACTGCATACTTCACAGTGCTTCCAAAATGTTCCTTCTCACCATTGCAGACACAAACCAGGAGGCACACATTTCTGCTAGAGTGAACTGAGCTGAGCAGCTTGCAGCGGTTGCTTGGTCAGCCATGTTTTCAGTTTGATGAAAGTCTTAGTGAAAAGAGACAAGGTCACAGGGAGGATGTTCTTGCCGACTGAATCAACCGGGCAAACAAGAACAAGCTGCTGTGTAAATTAAATATATTTTCTTCAAAAATGAGGGAAAAGTGCTGAGAGGTCAACCGATGTAAAAAAGAGGAGTTTTTTTTCTCCTTTGCAGATTACTTCTTTAGTGTGTCAGTCTTTCTTCACATGGATGTGTGTGTTGAACCGCTGAGCGCACTGCGTATAAAAGAACACTGACTTGTGAGAGCAGAGGATTGAAAAAGAAGGAAAGTCGGGAAAGTGACATCAAGCATTCAAACATAATGTGTGAACTCAAAAGAAGCTTTCATCCCTCAGACAGGAATTGTTATTTAAACCTGTGAATTGCAGCGTTTGCAACCGTCGTATGTGGAAGTTCCTCTAGAGGTGATTAAACAGACCTGCGACCAGTCAGGTTCATGCTGAGTGTGTTTTGGCACATAGCAACAGAAATCATCTCAAATAAAAAGCTGGGATTGGGCCACAGAGGGGAAAGCGGTGGATAGCTGACGGGTCTGGTAACACCAGGCCTGGGATGCCTAGTGTCTTTGATAGTATCTACTGTATGCAGGTATAATGAATTTCCCTTTGGGGATTAATAAACTTCTTGTTCTTCTTCCTTTTCTTGCCCCTTTCTGAAGTGATTCTGACAAAGGATTGTAAAGAATGGCACTCTTAGACAAAATGCATTTAACATGATTAGTTTTTTTTTCTTACAAATCACTTAAATTAATGTTTAAGAATAACTATCCAACCTTTGTGTGTGTGTTTCTCTTGTACAAATAACCTGTGAAGTGTCTTGGTGTATGTCTGGAAACACAGCTATTTTATTAAACCCACACACTGACAGAACCCCAGTAGGACTGTTCTTAGTCTGGCAGTGCCTCCGTCACTGTGAAAGACCTCTTGTCTCTGGGCACTGGTGGAAACGACTGCCCTTTCATTAATCTCCCTGTCCACAGTGCAGACCTCCCCTAATTACAGCCATTGTTTACCTTTGCGCTGGCACACCCATTGAATTATTGATGGCTGCCCTGCCCCAGTCAGTTTAAAGGCCTCGCCAATGGGCACACACCAGCCAATGGACAGATACCTGCCAACATAACCTCTGTGCCTTCTGTATGACAGTTCACTGAATTATTATGCTAATAGCAATTTGTTCTCCTGACAGCAGCTGGAGTGCAAGGAAAAGTGTGCCATCATTGCACGCTACACGGTTTAGGTGTTATTGATAAGATACACTTTCATTTTATTTGACAAACAGTTCATCAGACTCCTACTCTCAGACTCACAAATATGAATGGTTAGCTTCTCTTCAATAAATGTCGAATGTTTGTGCAGACTTGTGGTGTTTTATGTCACAGCTAATTAGAATCCTATTAAATGAACAATAAACAAATTATTTTGGATTATTCCGTTTAAAAGGCTACCGCTGAAAGGCATACTGAGTTTTCATTAGATCAATTAGAGAGCTTATGTTGAATATTACAAGTGACATTAAATTTGTGAAACCTGCCTTTAGTGGCCCATTATAACCCTCTAATGGCATGCGTATATAAAACCCCTCTATCTCCACTGCAAATAAAAAAGCAACTGAACCCCAACCAAATCCATGAATGATTACCCCCCCAACAATAAGCAAATCCGCAGAACTAAAATTCAATTTTCAGCAATCCCATAGTCCTACTGCTAGACGCCATTCAAAGCTCATGAGGATTTGGACTTAAGGCGACTTAGAGGTGATTTATGCAGTAACCCAAATGGCTGTAAGAAAAAGGCACAAGTCTCAGAACAAGAACCTGTCTACGTGTCATGACTCACTAGCTACACTCTGCCTGATAAGGTAGGGCACACTCCTCTATCAGATTGTCAGGGATTGAGCTCTGTTGAGTTTTTCCAGCGTGCACACCCCCTGTGTCATGCAGTCAGAGCAGAGCATCTCTCACTGCTGGCTATGGGGAGAAAAAAAAGATCATAAATGTCAAAACAATTTCAGATATCCCTGACATGGTTGTTTCGAACAGTTCCGCTTCAGTTTGCCAATCTATAAACGGATCAGTTTCCATATCTCAGTGGACAATGCATTCTTTATGAAATATGAACAGCAATATGTTTGGTGCCTGAACAACAGTGCAGACATATATTCTCCCATACTGTCATTTCAATTGTCAGATTAGCCATACATGTTTTTTCCTCATTTTGTGGCACATATCTACAATGTTTTATCGTGGTCCTTTATAACAGCGTGTGTCAACAACTGATGGCTTTGTGATGCGAGCTATGAGGACTATTTGTTATATAAAATCAAGAAACAGGTTGGAAGAACTCAGAGGCCTGATGCCAGAGCAAGAGCAACAAAGGCGTTGAAATCGTCAACATTACTCAGACTAGAGATCGTATCAGGACGCTGTTTTTTTCCATATGACTATCAAACAGTGGAAACTTTCTGGATTACCTTTTATTTGACTGCAATTTGGAAAATCACAAAGTCATACTTAATTTTGGCATTGAGTTTAATGTTGTACTGATGCTTAGACTAACTATATCCTTTAAAAGATATTAGTACAGTGTTACAGTAAATGCATGTCCTTCAGGGTACTGGCTGAATAACACAGTACATCTCTGTACCTCTGTACCTCCATCACTGCAGTCACAAACTAAGAAATTAAAATAATTAATAATTCAAACTCAATCTAAGGTCAGACTGAAAGGTAGAATATAATCAATAGCGCGATAAACAAATGAACCTCACACCCAGGCCAAATTGGCGTGATAAAAACAGATAACACAATTAGAGTCAGAACCATTAAGAACTTTAAAATACAATAATATGACCTTATACTCAATACTAAGTTAACAGAAAACTTCAAACTGGTAAAAAATAAATAAATAAAATAACATAAAATAAATAAAAATAAAAAACAATTCAACATTAACAGTGTGTATGAATGTATCTTTTCTCTCCCAGTGTCATGTGTCAATAGCATAGATTTGGAAGATACCTCATGCCAATTTCAAAATGCAGAGGACCTAAGATGGAACCCTGAGGAACACAAACATCATCTGAGAGTTTAAAGGTTGTTTAGGCATTGATTCATAATGAAAAAGAAAAGTCAAATATCGGTCAAGGATTTATACTTAAAACTACTCAAATAGCACCAGAGAGGTCAGTTACACAGGAATGAAGCTATCTGACACTGAACTGCCTTTAGACTGTTTTAACAAGGGCACATCCCGCTGTTATACTTTGGTTTGTAAATACATTCGAGATGGTATATTAAGAATTATGACATTGACTTGAATTATTGAATTTCCCCTCTTGAATAAATGAAGTTCTTCTTGTCTTATCTTGAATTTCTCCTAATACTACAAATCTTAGCTCCGAAGTGAACTGTAACCTCTTCACATTTAGAGTTCATGGACATGCCTCCCGACTGCACAGAGACAATTTAACAGTAAATCATGTGGGAGAATGCGCTGCAGCTGTTTCAGTTGCAGACACTCATTTTGTGAAATGTGCCTGTCGTACTTGTTTCATCGCATTATTATAGCGAGCTGACGGTGGAGCAGATAAAAAGGCCAGTGGCTTGTAAGAGACAGAAGCCTAAACAGAAATAAACCTAGTGTATCCATGCAGACTTTGAAAAGCAGACAGGCTGCCACAAAACATAATGCCCAAATCCCATTTAACCAACACACTGAACCTGTTTGAGGTCCTGTAAAAGTTTTTTTTTTTTTTTTTTTAATTAAAAGATGCTCAATGGCACTAATCCAGGAGTAGAAAGAGGGGAGTCCACTGTCCACTATCTTTCCTGATGCTGTGGCAATGGTGTACAATCGTGTCTATGAGTCATCCATCCATCCTAAATAAGGAAAGGAGAGAGACTCAACTGTCTGTTTCAGCAAGAGGCGGCCCTTAAAGGCAACAGATGGGGAGGGAAGACTTTGCTCCCTGACTCTGTTTAAGGTTTTCTGTGTTAGCTTGTTAGCTGCCATACAGGAGCACAAATGCTCTGGTGCATTGCTGATTTGTAGAATTTGGCCAGTGGGGCAGGGATGAGGCAAACAGCTGGGAAAGGAAGAAAATGTTCCATAAGACCTGACTAGATGTAAATTAAGTGAGTAAAACTAAGCCTTCAGTGATGAGGGCTCATGCTTTTTGCACCTATTATTCACCCAAAGTGCCTCCTGACTGCATTTGTCGGAGAGAAAAAAAAAAAACAAGTTGGGCCAAACGCTTTACTAATTCAGTCAGAACCATAAAGAGATTGATAGATTCCAAATCTATGACTATTAAATTTAATGGAATGAAACTTCTCATGAGCAGCTTTGATATTCATGGTGAGACTGTCACAGTCTTTTTTAAACAACAACAGTTTTAATGTTATTTTATATTTACCAGACCTAAAGGCTTCGTCTCTACTTTGACTAATGGCCCAAAGTGTTTCTCAGACAACAGCTGACCTTAATGAATGCACACATGATTTTACTACATTAACACATTTAGGCAGAGGAAATTCTGTATATTTAGGCTCTGTTTATACGTACGCAGTTATTGTTAAAAACAAAGACATTAACCATCGTTTGCACCCTTCATTTAGACGCAAACAGAGAATTTGCCCCTGAAAACTTTCCTTTTTTTAAAAACAACGGCCAAAGTGGAGAATTTGGGAAACTCAGTTTGCACATTTGCATTTGGGTAGTGGACGGCAGATTGTGCGCTGGAAAGAAGGAAGTGACAATGTTGTTGTTGCTGCTATGCGGGATTCTGATAGGCTAACGTGGACTTGAGCGTCTCGCTACACTGCCACCTACAGGTTTGGCATGCTCTTGACAGCATGTATACATGGGTTAGTGTAAACGAAGACTTTTCTGAAAATGTATTGGTGTGTGCATGCGTTTTTTTTTTTTGTAAACGGAGACGTAAAATGTCCGTTTATGAAAATAGCCGGGCACGTGTTAATGTAGTCTGATTCTTGATTGTTTTCACACTGACTGTCAATCAGTAAGTGGTTGGTTGTTACGTTTTGAAAAGCAGGTGTTTAAGTTTGGACCCAAAAGCATAACCAGAGGCAGACAAAGCAATTAGGTTAATTGATTAATTGAAGGGAAAAGGGTGGAGGGGAGGGATCCAGGGTTCAAGGCATGAGGTGAAGGCTGGAGATGTGAGGACTTGAGGAGGAGGCTGGTAACTGAATCCAGGGAGAGAGTGTGGCAGCATGATAGAGATTAGGCAGTAGCAGTAGGGGCTTGTGGAGGCACAGGAAGAGATGGAGGACAGCAAAGTTTGTCACTGATAAAACACACAAAGCTGGAATGTTAAAACAACTGCAAACTCACAAGAGAACACTAGAGAACTGGCCAAGATACCACAACAGATGTGGGAATAATCTGGTGATGGAGAAGCTTCACAGCGGGGCTTAAATGCAGGTGGTGTTCATAGTAATTTGGTGCAGGTGTGAAGGTGCAGGTGGGAGGAGGGAGCCGCCCAATCTCTGTGAAGAGGAGAAAGATAGACTCCACCCAAGACAACAGCTCCGGATAATGCCAACATAGAAGCCAAAACATGTAGCAATCACCATATTGGTTTTCAAAACTATATTTTTCCACTCCAAATTTACCTCTAGTGTTCAAATTACCAAATTAGACTACAGCTGTTAAAGGAGAGTAAGGATTTTTATATTTGGGGGAAAATTCAGCATGCATCAAAGAAAAGTCAACGTTCTCAGAATTGGTGATATCGAGCAATCACAGTCTAGGTCGAAAACACTCGGAGAGAAGCTCATGCAATGTAGGATGAAGTGATCCTCCTTTTGTCCCTCTTTCTGTCAAAAACTGGAATCAGTACAAATATTTTGCACGTAACAGCAACCAACTCTTTTTTCTCATCTTCTTCTCTGTATATTTTGTCTCCTTTACCCTCCAACTGGAGCTTTTCAGAAGACCAGTCACAAAATACAAGAACCATGACTACTTTGCCCATCCCTTAATACTTTAGAAATACTTGCAGTGCATGACTGACCACTTGAAAGGGTAAGAAAGGCTAATTTTCCCAAAAAAGAAAAGGTTTTCATATTCAAGTGAGTTTACATTGATCTAAAAGACTTGCAATTATCATATTGCAATTTTTTGACCAAGACAATCAAACTTCCCCTCAGGAGATAAAGATAGTTCATCTCATCTCATCTTATCTCATCTCATTCCATCTTACTATTGTACCTTTAATCAGAATCAGAATTACTCTATGATCCTACACTTAGAAATTATAGACATTTAGGGCTCTATTTTTGTTCCTCGCCGGTGGCGTGGCTCGGCGTAAGTCATATAAAGTTGCATTGTTTGAACCTCACGCGACAAAGGTGGGTTGTGTTCACAGATCACAACATAAACTCCAATAATGGCATTAAAATCGGAACCATCTGTGCGTAAAGGACGCTTTGCGCTCCGTGCTCACAGCTCTACACTGCACATGTATCCATCGAAAAACTGTGTATTTAATTTTTTCTGTACACACTGACGCTGCTGGGATTTTAATTTCTTTAAGGGAACCCTCCCAAAAGGATCAATTAAATTCTGTCTAAACCAAACTAATCTAATCTCTCAGCTAATATAGGGCAAAACTTACTGCATAAAGCCTATCACTTGCTGAGCAGGAGACCATCGTCCAATCAGCTAACAGGGTTTTGGCATACCTAAGCAGAGAGAGAAAGAGAGAGACATATATACACAAACCCATCTAAACACCAGCACTGCTGAATTACTTTTAACACACCAAAAAATCCTTATATTAGGACCACAGTCATAATATGTGCAGCAGCAGAACAGAGACAGTTATAAGAACCGTTTTACATTTCACATAAATTAGCGCACTAAAGTCCTACTGAAGTACTTCTAGTGTCTCACCCCTCCTGCACGTGTCCTTTTCCATTTAATTTTTTTTAATCTCACAAACTGTCAGACCAACCAAAACTATTTATTGGGCTGATGTGATTACAATCAGTCTGACAGCGTCTATAATCAATCAATCAATCAATCAATAAAAATCCATAGCAATAGAAGTGACAGACTGTTACTTAATATTGACCAATCAAAATCAGGTATTCAAAACAGCTGTAAAATGAGGGTTCAGAAATCCTCTGCTGAAGTGCTATAATAAGTGGGAGGTGAAGACAGGTGTCTCCTTTTACAGTACCATGTTATTTATCTGCACAGGTGCTTCCAGCAGGAACAGTAGGCAAGTTCAGGCTGATGATGATGATGATGATGATGATGATGACGGCCATTTCTGACATCAGCTACAGGGTGGAGTGGAGGGGTGTGTAATAACAGGACAGGAAATGGAAGCGCTCATTATGTAGCATTTACGTACGTGTCACTTTCCGAATGTGAATCACCGCATCACTGAGAGGGTCTTGATAGACACCATGTCACGAAAGCAAATCTATCTCTGACAGGCAGCAGCCAACAGGTTATTTTGTCGAGGCGATACATCCTGTGCAACACTGAGGAATGATGACATCAAAGAATGAACAAAGAAAGTGAAGCTTCCTGTGTACCGAGTAAGTTAAGTTAATCCTTGTTTTGTCAGATCCAAGTTCAAGAGAAGAAGAAAAAAACTACTTTAACAAAAGTGCTTTCCCTGTACAATTTTTTGTGCAAGATAAATATGATGAGAGCTATTTCACACATCAGTCAGAGAGCAGTGGAGTGGAAAGATAATAATGAGAGGCGCGATACAATGTGTTTCTCAAGCAGCATTAAAGTGTCACTTCCAGGATGTCAATCATCATATATTCAATGAGGGGCTTCAAGAGGCCACATCAAGTTGGTTACAGCATAGATGGTTTAGCACAGCTGCAGGAATGTATGTGAAGTCTATATAATGTACTTTTTATTTTAACATTAGGTACTTTTTTTTCACCAGTGCCTCAGCTCTATTTGCTCTGACTTTGAGTTGTTTAGATATCATGTATTTTGAAAACAGGATTTTTGTAACCAGACACCTTCAGTATACAACCTACAGCTGTTATTCTGGGTGACATTATGGTAGCCACATTCTGAAGACCTTGTTTACCAAGTAGCACAAATGAAAACAGACAAGTGGAGCCTCATTATGAGATCAGCTTCAGGTGATGCCAGCTGTAGTATGCAAAAAGTGCCAAATCTCTGCATCCTTTCCTGGACTCTTCTGGTATGGGTTTGGCAGCTCTCTAAAAACACATTCCTCAATTGGTCATAAAAAATACCCTGTGGTACACTTTGCAGCTTTACTGCTGCTCTGTCAAGCCATGGTATTTAGCTTCAAGAACAGTCTAAGTGCCTCACAGTACGTTAATTTTAAAACAAGGCAAAAGAGAGGTCCGTCTTTCAAGACCCACTCTGATGAAAATCACGCTTCTCTTGTTGTCTACATGTTCATATGGCATATTTCTGACGCTAGAGGACATATCATTCGAAAAGTAAGTGCGGGATTGAGTTTCTGAGTATTTCTACAGTCAAATCACTGTGAACCTCTCACAGACCCAAATGGAAGGTTCAGACACAGTGAGATTTCCTATGTCACAACTCCAAACTCCACCCCCGTTGTTCTGCTCTGCAGGCCAGACTCCAAGAAGTAGAGAGGACAATCACGGAACAAGCGTGTGCATGAGCAGATTGAAATGCTCATAAGAAAGCTGATCATGATATTGACATGGGATTGACTATGTTACCTGCTACTTCTACTACATCGGCAATGTTAGGCTAGAAGCACGAAGAGGAGTGAGCAGAGCAGCGCTGTCTCCACCTTTGTCTCAGAGGAGAATTGCTATTGAGCTACTGAAACTCTGCAGAAGAAAAGCCCTTGAAAATGACACAGGTAACGGGATTTTGGATAAAAACTTAATAATCACAACTATGACCACAATAACACTATCAATAGTAAAAAAAATTATTTAAAAAATCCGTTGGCTAAGGACTTTAATTCGAGGCTTAGTTCCTATCTCATGTGCAAGGGACCCAAGTGTAAATGTTGTGCTGTAAAGTAGTTAATTAAAAAACGAATGTAAAAACAAACTTTATAGATGCACAGAACTGGATCATATTGTAACTTCAAAATCCAGGGTTGTGTCAATATGCTCAAAGCAACTGCGCTTTCATTTGATTTAATTTTCATCAGTAATGAAGATTTAATCTCAGTGCGCTCAGAGATAAAGGCTGCTTAAACTTTTTGTCACTTAAATGCATCATTTGCAGGTATCCACTGTTATTTAGCAAAGCGTGTAAGCTGATCCACTGGCAGCTCTCGCACATCATCACATATGCTCACAGTCAAAAAAACAGTGTTAGACAAATAACTAAAAACAAGCTATTAGTGACAATTACTCATAATTATCACCTAGAAATGGAATTCCTGACTAATTTACAGCATGTGATGGCCATGATATAATACACACATCTCTGTCAAATAGTATTAAATACAGGGAGTGTTGGTGATTGAGGCGAGCACTCTGGCTTAATGTGAAAAAATCAGTCTGAGTCCTGTAAACATTAATACTGCAGTGACACCTGTGCCTATGAATGATGGATGCACAGCTAAGGGCTATAAACGGCAGTCACATAATTTATTGTCATTGTGACCCTGTGAAAAAAATCAAAATGTGCTGTCTGACCTCCACTTCATTCACAAGCAGAAACCAGTTCAAAACTTTTGTGTCAGATGTTTGCCATAACTCACTGAAAGAAACTTTGATGGGCCACCACAACTGTAAGCATTAAAGGTCCCATATTATGCAAAATTCACTTGAAAATGTTTTTTTCAACAATAGTATGCATCCCCAGCCTGTCTACAACCCTCCCCCAATTTGAGAAAAGTCTACCCTCTCCCTCTCTTGCTTGCTCCACCTTTCAGAAAATGTCATCTCAAACGGGCAGATTGAAACTATCGCCTTCCATGACGTCATGGATGGCGATAACTCCTGTCCTCCGGGTTGGTGAACCTGCCCAAGATGTTTGTTCTGCCGCCAAAAATTTTCACTCAGACACTATTTTTCTCCCTCCCAAACAAAGGTACGAGCAAGACACGGCAGTTGCTCTGTTGTTGGCTGCACGAAGCAGCACAGAAGTCTTTTTCTGTAGACTGCAAGAACATAGTCACAAGAGATAGCTAGACTTACAATATTGCATATTCACCAAAAAAGCTCAAATCAACAAGAAGATAGCAGAGACGTAAACGGAGCTAATGTTACCTAGCTACATATAAGTCACAGTGTACCAACACATGGAAAAAGAAAAATATTTAGACACATAATGCATGTTTTCAAAGGAAATGTGATTTATTTAGGTGCAAATGTGCGGAGGGGGGTTATTAACCTGATTTTTGATTATCTTTTTGCATGTTTTTAGTTGTTTTTTGCTCTGCACACACTTTCATTATAGATTCGCTTCACCTTTTTTTTTTTTTTTTTTTTTTAAATGAGACCCCAGGTGTGTATTCTGACAACTGCCAAATCAAACACTACCCATGAAGTTCTGAAGAATTGTAGAATTATAGAGAAATCAACAGCTATAGCAAAGGTAAGAAGGGTGCCTGTGGGGAACTTATCACCCTTCGCACTAATCACATTATTTCTCTTTGACATTAAAGGCCCAGAGGACACCTGTCAGAAGTGAACGATATGCATCTTCTTGAATAATGTCTGTAGTGAGAAAAAATAAGGTTTTAAGTTACAATGAAAGAGCAACTAGTTGACAACCAGTATTTTGGATTCTTTTTGTGTACATAAAGAGGAGTGGGAGAACCATTAAAAAACAGCTGCCTCCCTGCTCTACTTTGTGTGCTTGTAAAGTTTTGTTTTGCAGTGAAGTGGGTTTCATTATTCATCATAAAATTGTTTTGTTGCTGTCATCGCCTAAGTGGGAAAATACAGCGAAACATGAACTCAACATGAACTCATTATGGAAAGAGCCATATCACCCGTCATAAGTGACTTATGGGTTCCAATCTCACAATGCAGCAACTCAAGACTCCATCACATATCTGCTTCACAAAAAGACTCAGTGATGAGTTCACAGTGGTTGTAGTATTTCTATTATACAAATACTTTTTTAAACGGCTGAAATCGAAGCAGCAGAGTAAAGCAAAGGTTAAGCTCAAGAAAGATTTTATAGCATCTCAAAAGGTTTACTTCATTCCCCCTGTGCCTGTTGATACCCATGTCTTTTCGAACTTCATGCCCCCAGGCTTTGAAGTTTTCCAGACGAAGCCGAAGGGTTGCTCTGGTGAAATTGCCAGGAGTTATTTTCTCAGACTCGACAAAGCTTCTCCAGAACCAGGGAAGACAAAACACTCTATTCTGCAGCCTGGGTGGAACTCCTGAAGACTCATTAAGAGGCTCAGAAGACTCACATGTAGGGATTGGAATTGATAAGATTATATCGATATCAATGCCATTATTGATTCTGCTTATCGATGCAACAATTCCCTTATCAATGCCTTTCTTTGATTTGAAAAAAAGTAGACTGTAAGTTTTCACTGTTAACTCAAACAGAAAAATAACAGAAAAATATGTACGACACCTTCAGTGAGAGTCTCAAAATAATCAAATGACAAACTATTTGTACAGCATTTACTTTTAAGTCAAAAACATAATACATTGTAAAGTCTGGCATTCATTGTGCTTATGTTAACACAGGACATACGTGCTGTTACCTTTTTAGCTACCTTGTCCCTAACCGAGATATGGAACAGCCACTTTGGCTCGTTTAAGGCTGGTAACCAACGAGTCCAGCTGACATGGCAGGAGAAAACAGGGGAACAGACGGAGCATAACTTCAGAACGTTTAACTTTTACTTAGAGCTGCAACAAACAACTGCTGCGATGCACGCCAACAGAACAGACTCTCTCGCAGCGCCAGCAGCAGCGGCTGATGACTGGTGTGACTCCTTATATTTGATGCCATGCCCTGTTGACAAATGTTTAAGCATGTTGCTTTTGTTTCCACCTTTGCATGTTATCACTGCTCAACAAACGTTGCACTGTTGTCATCCATTTTAGTAAAATGAAGACACGCATTAGATCGTTTCTGCCTAATTTTCAAGTCTCTGTTCTCGTTCATGTAGACTGGCTCTCGCAGGACTGTTGTTTAAGACACCCGGAGGAAGGAATCTTTAAGATAAAATGTAAATGATGTTGATGAATTGAACCATTTAGAACCGGTTCTCAACAGGAAATGGTTCTCGATTCCCATTCCTACTCAAGGATGTATGTAGCTTGTCTTAGTTTAGGATGCATGATGTTTTTGAAGTTATTCAATCACGTATTTTCCTCTCATCCTGCCTATCTATCAAACTCCCTTTCTGTCTATGAACTTGCAGCTTTAGAATGTCTTGGAAAAAAATTTGTTCAAACCTTTGAAATGTATTAAAGTGCATGATGTTTTACTCCTTCTGCTTTCTGCATGATTTCTGACTGAGACAGAAATAGGAGCTGTAGTCATCTGTGAGAGGGGATATCAAAGCCTCAATGACCTTTTTCCAGATGATTTTGGATGGAAAAATAATTGAAGAAATATTCCACACTTAAAAAGAAACAGCAGGGAAAGACCCGAAACATTGAAACATCAAAGCTCAAAATGCTGTCAAAATTTACACCTGCATTAATTGTTACTGGCGGTACTTTGGCAGGCAGAAACTCACAGTGAATCAATTAAATGGAGAGCTCCTCCTGATGCGGTCTCATGTAGCTGCAGAAAACTCAACAGCATCTATTACTTTTTTATCTAGGGTGCAGTTTCTCAGGGACGTGAGCCGAATGGAGCTTTTATAGGCACACATAACCATGTTGTCAGCATAACAATGAAAATTTATAGTAAGTTAGTGAAAGCAAAAGCAGGTACATTGAGAGTGAAAGGCCTGAAAGCTAAACCTCTCAGACCCTTAAAGGTGTAGCGTCGTGTCACCTGAAGGGGATCAGTGGTGACAAAGGAAATCCTGTATGCGAAACTAGTGCCAATCCAGAGCCAATTTAGAAAGCCATTCTTTAAGTCCAACAGTCTGAGCTTTATTGTGAAACTGCAACAGACTGCTGTCCAGACTGGGAGGCAGAGAGCACAGGAACATGGATTATATTGGACGGTTGTTATAAAAGTTTCAAAGAGAAGCAATAATGAAAGATTAAAATACTTCTTTCCAAATGAGGATTTCTTTAGTAGACAAAGCAAGGCACATTAAATCAAATATAACAATGACCTGAAAATCTTGTATTCCTACTACCATTGCAGCAGGCTTTCTTTGTTTTTTTTTTTGTTTTTTCTTCACAATCCTTTGATGATAAAGTGAACAGAAACAGAACGGTGAGCAGCTTACTAATTACCTTTTTTTCCTCCAAGGTCTCGGTGTTTGCCACTATTCCTCTCAAAACAAAGGTGAATAAGTCTTTCATCCAGAAATATATATTTTTTTTATCCGTTAATCAGTACAAATGAGAGCAGAAATCTGCACCAAACAAGGACACAAGTACCACAATGAAACCATAACCTTGTACATATCTCAGGTAGGTCACAGCATTTGGATATTGGAGGACAAACCAAAAAAATTCCACCACTGGCAAAATTTCTCCAAATGAATCAAATCTTGGCCTCAAAGAACAGAATTGGCATTTATACCCATGTAGCAAAACTGTGACAGAGCACCTGCAGACTTTAAAGGGAATGCTGCGTTACAAAATAAGAAAATTCGTCATGGACAGCTCATCAATCATTTCATAAAGATAAACTTACTTTTGTAGTCTTTATTCAGGGATTATTTGGGGAGCAATCTCTTTTTTTTTAATAGGACAGCTTGAGAGACTTAGGGGGCTTTCACACCTATGTTGTACGGTCCGGACTTTCAGACTTTTCTGTTTAGTCCGAACCCAAATGACAAGTGCGAAACCTCCCCAGAACCTTGGTCTGGACCAAAAGAGGTGATCTTGCTACTGACCAAACTGAACCACAGTCTGGTTCATGCCCAGTGTGAAAGCATTATTTTGAAAGGTTCAGACCTTCGTACCAAAGATAGGGAATGGAGATTGTCCGATAACAGGAAATTTTATAAAACTGTAGGTAAGGTTATACCTCACTATTGACAGTTAATCTTTTCAACACATACTTTTCTCCCGAGCCAGTGTTGCAATGACTTGCAGGATTGCATACTTTCTTTTCCTTTCCTGTCGATGTCAATAAAGTTGACACCAAGACCTTGGTTTGGACCTTGGTCTGGACTTTCAGGTGTGAAAACACCCTTAGGGAGGATTGACATGCACCAAACCATGCCAGAATCAGGACTCAATCCTACCACCAACGCAGCAAGGACTGTGCACGTACTTGGAGCCCCTGCTTTGCCAAGTTGACTGGATCCGTTCCCCTGAGGCAAAAACCTTTGTTACCACTGGCATTCTTAGTACAACCTGCTGTGTGTGTACTCATTATAGTCAGCATTAAAACCCACAGAAAAGCAAAGGCATTCAAGTAATACTTTAAGATTTGAAAGTCCATAAGTCCTCAACAAAAGATAGATCGACAGCAGAGGATGGTTCTTCACAATAAGCCGCGAAAGAAGTGGCTCTCACAGTCTAATCTCTTTCTGACATTTCAGCACTAAGTAATTCATAATACTGGATGACTCTTGGAGTTTATCAGCCTCGCATTTGTGCGCGCCTTTCAACATCCTCTCTTAACAACTCGAGTGTTGTCATCTAGCCACGGGAAGGAGAACAGTGCTTGATTCATTATAATTGTGTTTTGATTCCAAAGTGGATTATCAGGAATAAAGAAATAAATAAATCAGCCATTAAATAAACAACCTTGTCAGCACCATGAGGAAGGAGTGGAGTCGTTTTGCATGTTATTGTAGGAGATGGAGGAGGAGTGAGGAATGCTGTGTAAAGAAGAAAGCCTTAGAAGATGCGTTCAGACCAAACGCGACCAGGTCGCGTCGCGTCGCGTTGGTCGGTCAGGTCGCGTCGCGTGGTGCTCTGGTGTGTTCACACCGGGTCCAAAGTTGCAGTCGCAGGTCGCGGCTGGTCGCCGGTGACGTCATCCATGTCACTAGCTCAGTTTTCAGTTCATCAGTGCTGCCGCATAGGCTATCTGTGCATCCGCAGTAGACGCCGCCGGCGTTTATGGGTGCATGAAACCATCCGGAGGAGGACGGAGCTGGGTGAATTTCACCGCTTGCTCCAGGAACTCCGCCTGGACGACGGCCGCATCCAGCGGTATTTCCGTGTGTCGACGGCGCAGTTCGAGGACCTCCTCGCCCAGGTGGGAAGCAGCATCTCCCGCCTGGACACGAAATACAGGCGCTCCATCTCAGCTTCGGAGCGCCTGTCTATCTGTCTGTCCCTCATATAAACGTCTCTAAGCCCCTTCCACCGCTTGCGGCACACATCCACTGCAAAGACACACACACACACATACGTTGAAACATGTAGCCTAGCAAGCAGGGGCAGTTAGCTGGGTGGTAGCTAACGGATGTGATTAACTGCTCCTCCATTGTGATTCTTCTTCTCCTCTTCCTTGTTTCGCCGGTTTGTTGACGTCAGCAGAGCCCTGATTGGCTGTCGCGGCACGAAGTCGCTCCCAAAGTTCAAATATTTGAACTTTGGGAGCGACGCGACTTGGCGTCCTGCGACCTCGGCGACGCGACCTCGGGGACGCGCCTTGGCGACCGGTCGCCCGGTCGCGCATGGTCGCGTCGCAGGAAGCCGGCGGTCGCCAAGTCGCGTCAGGTCGCGGCTGGCCATAGACTTTGCATTGGGAGCCGTCGCCAAGTCGCGTCAGGTCGCGGCTGGTCTGAACGCGGCTTTAGAAGATGAAGTTCATGAACACTACTCAGTCTTCATGATTACATCATTATCAGAGATTCAGCATATTTAATGATAGTGGTGAAGACAAACCATAAAGGATTATCTAGTCTGTAAAATTGACAGATTCAGGTTCAGATCCACACACTTTCCTTTTTGTCCTGTATCAAGCAAATGATGCTATTTGTTTGTCGTTTTGTCAAGAACACAAAGAAAACTTCCTGTCAGTCCGTCAAAGATCATTGTTGGCTGGTAGCACAAATTTCTGCCCTTGTGCTCACCTGGGAGACCACTGAGAAGCTCTTAACCTACCTGAGGTGTTTTTTTTTACTTTACAGAGAGTCTCAGGCATTAACAGGACTGCTTAGTCATGTTTTATGTAATACATCTATCAATTTTGATTAAGTGTATAAGCGAGAATTTCTTAGATAGGGATGTAATTCATGTAGCTTAAGACAATCCAGCCTTGACTTGGTCTCTTTCCTCTCACAGGACTCAAATCTTGTTCCCCTGGATACAGTTTGTGCTGTAGTCTGATCCATATATCACCCCATGACATTATCCCATTGTACTGTGTGACTATACTAAGTCACCCACTGGGGCACTGCCAGGGATTTTTGGCCTCCTAATAAAAAATATCACAATAGACCCCACTTTACAACCGTAAACATACAACACTGACTTCACTTTGACTGCAGTGGTAATAAGAAATCAGCAGATTCTAAATGAGTATGTATATAACTAATTGTACCACCTTTTTACCAAGGTTGGTATCGTTCTGCTCGTGATTCCCTGGTTGTCTAAACTCATCAAGGCTTACACAATGTTTTGTAGAAACCTGCTATCATTACTACATTTGTTGATAGTAATATTTAGCTAAAAGATTAAAACCACTCGGACCCGGTGTCCGCACATGCGCGGGTAAGACCGTGACATGAGCCTCTCCCTCTCATCTCCAGCCTCTAACTTCACAAGGACGAGATGACAGATTTTTTTTTAAACACTTTTTTAAACACGTTTTAAAGGCGCTACGGACATGAGAGACTCCGGTAGAAAAGAGGAAACTGAAGAAGCCGTCAGGTAACTTCACCCCACTATCATACATGAAAACAAATCAGAACATCCTCCTCGTTAACATGAGAACAGTCTTACCTCACTACGATGTAGATATACCCCTCCAGTTTCACGATGGCAGGCAAAGTTTCCACAGGAACAGAAAAAAGACAAAAGTAATCCATTCTCGTCATTTTCCGCGGCGAAATTCGCCGGTAAACTTTGTTTTCAGTCTTTTTCTCCATAAAGTTCCCCACAAGCTAACGAAACAAACATTTCCTTCTGATTGAACCACAAAAATGTCAATCAAGCTGACAGACATTTCAGTCTGGCCAATCATAGCCCAAAGCTCACTGTCCGTACCTGCCCATCTATACAGCGATTGGATGAATCAATTCCGGTTTGACTGTAGTCGATTCATTCTGCCAATGGAAAGCTCTCAGACGAGGGGTTGATCCAGGTAATCTCCACCGATTGGCTGAGATACAAGACAGCGATGCTAAATGCTAACACCATAGACCCTTGGTCATTTACCTCTTCCCAAAATGTTCATGCTGACGCTCTAAATCAGAATCAATATTTGGCACGTTTGTAAGTTTTCATTTGAACAAACTGAAAAAAGGCATCCTCTGTGTTAACTGAAGAGCAGCACTAAAGGTATCTGGGAATGTGCCTAAATTAAATTATGTTGTTGAAAAACTGCCAAATCCCTCTGTTTACTCTGATGGAAATAAAAACATACCCATGACTTTGAAGATACGATCACACACACAGAAGAAGACCTGTAGTTTGAGTGAATTCATCACAAACCCGAATATTCAAATAGATTATTTTAAAAATCAGGCAGCAGACGATGAAAACTTGGATTGTAGGTTTTCTGATGAGACAATCTCCTCACAGCCTGTTTGATATTTAAAGATGTCCTGTTAATCAATTTGTCTGACATCCATCTGTGAACAGTTAAAGACATTAAAATCACAGTTGTAAATTATCAGTCTTTTCTCTGATAGTCACACTTACTGTAATACCTCATAAAGAGACACAGTCACCAGTTCAGTCTCTTTATTGACTCTTTATTTCTCAACATACACATTAATTTATTATTTATTACTTTGTTTTTAAAAAAGACACATTTCAAGAGAAGATGGTAGAAGTAGGTGCAGTACATCAATGTGTCGATGCATAGCGATGCTTCACGATCAGCATCAAGTAATTAACATAGATGCTTAAAATGGATAAATAAATAAATAAATAATGTCGATGCTTTGCCGCAAGGCCGGAACAAACAAAACACGTAACCAGAACCTTAACGCACGCACCGCCCGGACTGTTAGTGAGCGGGACCACAACAGACAGAGCCATTATTTTCTTTGCAAAATGGTGACAGCTTCAGCACCCTCCAAAGAGCGGCTGATTTTTCACCACCGGGGTGTAGAAGTACTCTGAGATGAAGACAAAATCAATCTTGTATGGAAAAAAGCATTAAAAATGGCAAGAATGGAAGAATCGTGGCACCAAAAATCAAATCGAAAATCATTAAAATCAAAGAATCGAAGCTCCCATAATTAAAATCAAATCGTGAGGTACCCTTGTTGGAACACCGTTAAGATAGCGCAGCACAGTCTGATCCCTGAGTGGCCAAAAGCACATTAACTTTGTGCTCTGTTTCTTATTTTGAATCAGTTCCTCTTTTTAGCCCCGGTAATAATCACTGCCTTGTTTATCCACAGCGGAGAAAAGTCCCTGTATGACACCTGTTTGACCATCATGTCAAAAGTCCACCTGGTATAATGAACCAGAACGTCTTTATCAAAACATAAGGATGTGGAATCAAATGTCATAAACCTGGAGGCCACAACCCCGAAACAGGAGATACAAACCAATGTGGTGTGAGAAAAAAAGAAATCATTGATTTTGTTTTTTTCATGTGATGAAGCCAAAACTTGCTGAACGCGCTGGTGTGATGCTTTAAAGACTAAATGGGAAGTTGGTGATTTTATTTGGCAGACTCCCAGGTCTGCAGAACTCAGTAACATCACAAACTCAATATTTTCTCTCTTCTCTGTTACATATTTGTATTGGCACACAGCCAGTAGTACATATCTTAAAATCAAAAGTATCTAGGCTGTAGATGCTGGTTCAGGCTCTGCACCTCTGCCTCCAGTCTATCCCTTGGCACAGGCACACGCAAGTCTGTGGTAATTTAATGCTTGGCGCCCAGGCCCTGTGATCCTGGGGGAGTGCCTGTGCCCCCGTAAGTGAGGCTGAACACTTTATCCCGTGGCATTAGTCGTCCATGTTTGAGTTAATACCCTAGAGTAGAGCTTCTATCCGAAGGCATTAGTGTCTGACACTCCACAGCTCAGGATGGGGGAGGCTCTTCCTTCCTCCTCCTGCTCTGACACTTCCCCAAATTCCTCTGTGTTGAATTTCTTTCATCCCTGCACTTGGGTTTTTGATCAGAGTTGGCAAAGTTAGCACACATGGGTGCTCTCTTCAGATAAAAGATACATGAAGATGTTCCTTGTAACCAGATGTGCTACTGATTATGGTACTGCTGAGTTTCTGGAGCACATTAGAAAGAGTCTTTTAACCATCTCCATGGTGACTGCCCTTTGTGCTGTCTAGCTTTTTATCAGAGGAGTTCTTCGTTCAACACAAGTTCTTTATAATTCCAAGGAAAATCAAGATTAAAGAGTTACTCTCTAGTCACAGGAATGCCAACTGAAGTCATAACATATCCTGTTGAAATGCACATCTATATTTGCTATATTTCTATATATCTATATTTGTATTTAGCATGTGAATTAGGTAACCCTTTCTTTTATGGTACACGTAAAAGTCAAGTACTAAGTCAATACTGTCTAGTTTTTCTTTCTTTCTTTTTTCTGTGCAGCTCCATTTTCAAAAGCTATTTGGGGTTCTTATTTTCTATGATTGACACTTGATACAGCCTATGGGCGTGCGAAGATTGCGTAGCGATACGCTGTTTGAGCCGAGCGTTATCACAGCGCCGAATGCGTACAATGCTGCTGCGCAAGTGGTGGTTCCAGGAAGCGGAGAAGATCCTGGAAATACCAGAGCAATTCAGCTTCAAATTTGTATGATGATGGAAGGTTACCTACCTGGTAGCTAGACAGTATTGACTTGGTAGTTATCATGTAATTACCGGATAATTTCATGTTATTACTAGGTAATTACCTGTTCATTACCTAGTAATAACTGTACCGTAAAATAAAGTGTTACTGTGAATTATTCAAGATCCTTAATGCATCACAGTTTTCCTAATCTGCAGTATTTTTTAATGTACATACAGCGTGTCTACTTAGCTACCTTCACTGATGCTACTTCCAACACTCATTCCAAGTCCATTAACACAGCCATAGTTTAATTGCCCCTCAGCACTAACACAGACACACATTAAAAGCACAGCGACACGCACTGAGATTTAAATGTTGCTTTCAAAGATTAAAATTGTTTGTGTTGTTATAATAATGAAAGACAAACAGTCTCCTGTCATTTGAAGCAATTAGAGGAGAAAATCCCTCTTCTTTAATCTATTCATTCTGTGTTCTGTGGAGCATTTGTGGACTGTCCTTATTTAATGTAGTCCAACCTTCTAGGATTATAAGCTATTCTCTCTTTGCATGATCACAATCACGGGAATTTTCTTGATATGCTGCATAATGAAAAAACACACCCACAGTAGGACTTTGCAATCAAAAACGCGTCTCATCGGGTTTGTAGAAGAAATTCAAAATAGTCTGAGGCCGGTGGAGGATGTTCCTTCCCCTGCCTGCCACCAACAATGCTGATAGCAGTAATATGTGCAGATAAACTCCCTGACCTGTCGCTTCATGTTATCACATTCAGAAGCACAGCGCCGTTTTCACAACCTGTCTCCTTATTCTCATGATAACCTCAGGCTCTGAAGAAAGCTATCACACTGTGGTGTTCACTCCACAGAGGATGACTATCTGCTGAGCCATTGGCGTCAAACAGGAATCAAGATATTCCTGATAACCAGGTAAGTAATGTAATATTCAGCTATATGTCATTTTTAAGGCTTCATCCAAATAAAAGCTCTCACCTGAATACAGTTATCTTAATACATTTATTATAATCCACAGCACTGCTGCTGAGTGCTTTATTTGATAAAATTTTGATGCATGCTAAATTTGAGGTCATGGTAATCTCAGGTTCTTGTGTTCTTCCCCTTTTTCTCCCTCTTTTGGGTTTTTCTGTACCGAGTGACACTGATAGCTCGAAACCTTACCCCGCTTCCAAAAAATTTAGGAGGCCATGCAAAATGTTAATAACAACAGATTTTGAGGCTTGGTGCTAGAAACATAATTGACCTATCGACAAATTCTGGGTACAGAAAGACCTGATTTCTTCAAGAGGCCTACTTAGGGACTTCGTTGGCCATGGAGGGATGTGTCCAGAATTTAAAATTAGCTCTGTTACTACATCGCTAATGACGACTAAATAACTGTTGGTAAAATTAGTAGATTTAAAGCTATGTTGGTGTAACTTGCCTTAGAACAAATGTAGACATCCTTGTTGGTCTTCCACACAACTTCATCCATAGCAGACAATTACTTTGGTCTTTCTTTGGTTATGGAAATGGAATAAAAAACACCCCATCGCCCATCCTGTCAAGATTATCTTGTGGTGGTATTACATCTACCCCATGCACACCTTTTTTTTTACCATGTTTCTTTCTGTTATACTAAAATTAACGCCTAAGCACAGATAAAAAATCATGACTTCTAGTGCTTCTTTATGGACCTGAAAGCAACAGATGTCCAAGTTCCGGTCCTGGTGCAACTGATGCTTAACTGCCATTGGCTCATCTGCATTCCAGGGGCGGGGCTTAGCAATAGGTCAATTGAAAAATAAAGTAACACTTGTGTCCTGCTTAAAAAACACCTCTCACAAATGGCTAGGTTTTTTGACAAGTTAGTTTAAAAACTCAAAATTAAAGATGGGAGGTTTGCCAACCAGATTTTAGTGTCTCTAGTAGTGTCTCCTGCGCCATGTGCAGAGGCTACGTAAAGTCTTTGTTGCACTCGCCACAGGATCTTGCAAATGTTAATCCTCCCCTTCTCCTTACATATTTCATGTCAATCTCAAAGTTTTCCTGCCAGTAAAGGCAAAAACCTCCAAATATAATCTTCTATATGAAAAAAAAAGGATTGAGAAAATCTGAATCTATTTCTCTGCAAAAGAGATGAGGCCCGTGCCTGTTTAAAATAAACTGAGGTGAAGTGGAAAACTGTCTTGGGGTCTGAGGAAACAAGCGTTGGCTTCTTTGTGGGAACCTTGTAAAAAGTTTGTGTCGTCCTCTCTA